GATGCGGCTGTGCGCGCTTATTTGATTAGGATCTGCATGTCTCGGTAAGGCATGAAGATCGTGGGATGGGATGCATGTGGTGTGCCTGAGGCGTACGCAAGATGACCGACGTGATACAGAGATGCTGCTGAGCCTTGAAACACGTGTTACTTGATGTCTAACTCAGAGCATTGACATAATTTTGCGCAGCTGCGGATGAGCGGCGCTCATACTTGTGCAACAAGAATTGTGAACGTAAATGGCTCAAGCAATGGCAATGCTTCCACAAGCCAGCAGAACGTGAAAGCAGATCAGGGTCTGCGCAAGTCGGGGCGCATAGACTTCTACCACCCCTGGGTGGAGACTGCATTGCATGCATGGTTGCGGGATGCAATGCATGAAGGGCTTCCAAATCGCTGGGACGATGTTGGTGAGAGATCCTGGTTGAGCTGATGTTTCAAGCGGAGGAACCTTGATTGGTGCATCGTTTGGGTTATGCTGGGTAATGCATCATCTGACATGGATATCGAGCGAGGAGGCTCAGGATGATGTGAAACTGGCGATGCTGAGCCTGATAGCTGAACTTGCCTTTGTAAGAGAAGGCGTGTGCTGCATACGTGAGTAGATGAATCAGCTCAACAACGGAAGGAAGGAACGGGAGAGCGAGTAGCTGAAAAGATGGGAAAGCATGATCGTGATGCTTGGTATGGAATCGGCTGAGCAGGACAGCTAGGTGGGTGGTATAGGAAGGGTCACGTTGGTCCATTTATTCCTCAGTGAACAGCTCAGTCAAATCATGCGTGGTTGATTAGGAGCCTCTCATGAAGGAAGTTTTGTATAGCATCTTGAGATGTATTCATGCTGAGCAATATTGGCGCTGTTTATTTGATGTTATGGAAAAGTAGACAAGTGCACTCTGGGAGTGATGGTGGCTATTCTGTCAAGCTTCCTAATCGGGTAATATTGAGTTGAGTGTCAATTATGGTACGGTCACCCTCACTTTTGACCAGGTGAATGGCCCGTGCGCTAGGGCCTAAGCTCACGCATCACTCTCAAAATCATGTCGCGCACGCTTTGTCCGTGCGGCTCTATATTGTCCTCAAATTGAGCCGGTAACAACGTAGAACAAGTAGACAGTTATTCGGCTGGTTATTAACCTCCCTTCCAATGTATATATTTCTATTATCTATGACTCCTACATTCTCTTCCGGATGGTTGACTAATTGACGGACGCACGCTCGACACGCCCTTAAGACTAAAGGTAGCCGTTCTTCACTCCATCTGGACCGAATCTACACTAGTACTACACGCCGTAAATCTTTTGTTGCGAAAAACTCATCATTCAAGTCAAACTCATGATCCTCATAGATTCCTAACGGTTCCACCAAAAGCTCGGCTGACCGAACCGCCCCACAATACTCATACTGATCATTAGTTGGCCTCAGGATAGCAAGTTGATGCAATCCTTTCAATGCCCACGCGCAATCGTCCCATCGATGCGAGCGTGGACCTTCAGAGTGGAATGTGTTCTTCAATCCGCAGAGAACGATGTGTCCTGTGGAAAGAAGACAATATCGTAACTTTGACAACGCTAGAACTGCACCGAGAAATTCCGGGTCGGGGTACGACATATCCGCCAAAAGATGATGATCGCGGATGTTGAAACGGTTGAGACTATCCTGATACTTCTGGGGTATGCCACTCATAATTTCGCAGTAGCGCTGAAGAAGTTCTTGCATGCTGTAGATGCTTTCGAGGCGTTTCGGAAGCAAGGCATTACCCACAGCATCCATGTGGACGTGAAGCCAGGATTTGAAGATCTCCGTTACAGGTTTGCCGGTGATTTGTGAGGCACTTTCGAGAAGTATCTGGTCCACGAACTCAAGGTGTTTGTCGGTGTAATCAGACGGGCAGGCAGTGCAGCTACAAGCCATGATGTCTCCGACTGGTAAGCCTTCCAAAGTAAGCCGCCGTTTATCTTCCAAAAGATGAAAGTAGCTGGATTCTTTTGGGACCTGAACCTTGTTTGCAAACAATGGAGACAGCCCTGGAGGTACTTGACATGCGGAACCCAGCTCGGATAGCCAGGGAAGTCTAACTCCATTGCCGATTCAATGAATCTCACGTCTTCAGTGTTCTGGTTGATGTACATTGCATATCTCCAAGAAACTTCACCGAAGTATAAATTGTAGTCCGGTTGTAGAGAATCCGGCAGCTCACGGTAGTTCACCAAGCCCAATAGGTTCAAGCTTTAAGAAACTTACCTTGAGCCAAGACGTATAGAACGCTTAACTCTACTTTATACACAATACAGATCAATTAGGCGAACCTTGGGCGCGGCTGTCCACCAATGATCGTGCGAACCGCTCTCTACGATGAGATGCATGAGCTTGGTCATAGATAATCTGGTGCGAGAATGACGTGTTCAAATTATTCCGAGACACAGCGCACAGAGGCACTCACCTGAGAAGGCTGGAAATTCCTGTTTTGGGAAATGGTACGCAAACGTCCCGAGCGCATAGACAGAGCTGCACGCACTGAAATGCTTCACCGGTCGATGCTGCAGGGACGAAAACATACGCCGCAATTTCCGCCGCACCGACTCTTACCTAACTACCTAATACGCATTCAACATTATCCATAACGGCGGCTAGAGCCGGGAAGAGGAAGTGTTTACCAGTGCCAGATTTCCTTGGCTCCTTCGTGGAACGATGACTGATGGCCGGCGTGGTATCAGACGCTTTCACACTTCCGGGATTGTACAGATGGCATCGCATCTTTGTGAGTTAAACGCCCAGCTGGGCGTCCCCCCAACAAGCAAGACATACGTAAGGAAACCCCTTCTTCTATACATCTATTCAATCAAGGAATTCGCAATGAAGATCCAAAGGCGCCACAAAAACGAGCCCGTTTTGAAGACCTCTCCGAAGCCTTTGGAACAGGCGCACCTCACCTTCCGCTTCGAAACGCCAACATCGTCGTGTATTAAGTCAGAAGGGCACAATGCACCTTTTTGTGCGACCTGTTTAATCTGTTCCACGCTCCATTCGACGCGTGCCAACAGCTCGTCTATCTCTTCCACGATTAAGGCTACTTCTTGAACGTATCCCAATACTCGACTGGCAACCATCAATTCACGGTAGAGACCATTCAAATCAGGTCGATTACTGGTTTCTACTTCTTCAGATTTTACCGTGCTGAGTTAGACTTTTATCAAGTCAATAGATTCCCACGCAGACCACCAATTTCGAAACGTCTCATCAAAAGGCCGATCCCGAAACGTTACTTCATACTTCACAGGCCCAAGAGAGCGTACTACTTCATCAGGAAGCTTCAAATTCAGTTCCACCTGCATCCTCTCAGTGCGAATAGCTTTCAGCGGTTCCAAACAAGCTAACAAAGCTATAGGGTCGTCCATCCTGAGAGGAGCACTGTGGAAATACGGATCAATAGTCAGAATGTCGTAACAAAGACTCTGTAGGTTAGGCAGGCTGCTCAAGTCTTCGCAGATTTGATCCCAGTTCGGCAGTGACCCCAGCCACTTGTAGCCTGCTCTACCGCCGTTGGTAGGACCGTAAAAAGGTGAGCAAGCCGTGGAGATGTGAATGTTACGGACGGATTTCCACTGCACTGCTGGGATGGCTTGCTTGAAAGCCGGCAGAGTGATAGGGCCTCTGAAGTGGAAGACGTTCTGTTCGTAGAGAATAACCAAGGCTTCTGAGTAGCTACGCGCCACGATCAATATACCACTTTATACATATTGAGACACATACTTCTTCGGCAGCTTAGAAGCAATGCAAGGAGCTGGTCATCTGTCGTGACCACCGCTCGGTGGTGTATACTTACGAAAGTCCCCGATTCGGCGAGCACACGCTCTTCACCAAAGCAGGAATGTTGCCATGTTGGATGAGGACTCTCCAGATCGGTGCAGCGCCAATGCCCCAGTCGTCTATGCTTCCTATCTTTCTTGTTCAGACATATGTGGAGGAAGCATTCTGGATCACCCAAGACAGCGGCGTAGATGGGAATCCTGAGTTCGGCACTAAGCTTCCCAAAAAAAGGCGATTGTAGCTGGCTGATCCATCAATTTCGGAACCTCACATTCGACTTGTAGTGGCCAAACAGGGATCGGAGGAGATCGTATACCTACCGCTTGAGACACTTTACTGCGCGTTTTTCGGAAACTGGGGAGACGATGCATTTTGCCTCTGTCAGAATCGAGGGTTCGGAAAATGCAAGACTCGAGTCGCAGAATGCGTGTTGAGGGGATCAAGCGTAGCCTCGGTGGAGACTCTTCCACAGTAGCTAAGCACTGTGCCGCAAGTGTATGTTGGAGGCGCGAGGCAATAACCTCGCCAAGTTCCGGTGAATTTTGTGGCGGTGTCGATGGATGTTGTAAACTGTGGTATCTGGTACGACAAACCTGATTGCTCGTGATTCAGAATTAAATGTCACTAATTCCTACCTCTGGAACGCATGATCAAGACTTGTCATAGGTGCGCATAGTTACCGTACAACTCATTCAAGAAGCATCGCATCAATCGACTGCGCGTATCTTCCCTCATGGATCTATATGCGAAAACCACGTTGCACACCGGTTCAACTCGGACACCCACCACCCAAGCTATTAAACCCGAAGTTGCCAAATATGCATCACATTAATATACGGCCATCCGATATTGCAGTCTCGAAACAAGTGAGCTAGCAACCACCATGCCTCATCCCATCCGCCATTGCGTGACCATAAGTGACGAATCGAACAACGCAAAGAAACAAAGGAAAGGGTATCTCGAGTCTAGACGACAAAACGGGAACGTATCAGAAAGCTTCTCACAATGAGCGCTCCCACCGCCCAGCCTCCGATAACGCCCCTACGCCATCATACTCAAGAGTCAAATGCGTGGACCTCCGAAACGCCATGCCCATAAACACTAAACTCTCCTCATCGATTTGCCATAAACACAAAACTCTCTCCTCATCGATTCGTTATGCTGCGTGGCGCGCATGCGAAAAGAAGCAGCTTAAAGCTCCATCTTCTCCATTTCGCCTTGGCTCCAAGCGCGCACGTTGCTGGGCTTGCGGCTGGTCTCCCTGGACATTTCGCGCTCCTTGAGACTCTCCACGTCGCTGTCGCCATCGCTGGACCAATATTCGGCGCCCATGCTCGTCTCGCGGCCCGTCTCCCAATCCTCTTCATCCGCGTCAACTATTTCTCCTGGGTGATCGATCACCATATTGTCCAGCTCATCGCTCTCGCCATACTCTTCTAGCCCCTTTTTCGCCTTAGCACCCAACCAATACTCGGCGCGTTTCCTACTGCCTGCGTTCGAGCTGGTCTCATGTTGGGCATGTTTGAACCGCGTTATAAGAGAAGTGGGGACGGCGGGCGAGTTCGAAAGCGAGGAGATGCCGCGGAGGTAGAAGTAGCAAACGCGTTTGCGCTCTTTGTTGTACAGGAAGCAGTGGTGGCTCCAGATAGCGCCGTCATCTGCGAATGGATCGTCCGAGGGTTCCCAGGCGTAGTATTCGCAGTTGGCCATGTCCATCTCACTGTCCACAAGCTGCCACGAACGCGGACTCCATATGGGCGAGCCGAGCGGGGTCAGAGCGCCGGCGGGAAGCCCCTGGCTATAGACCTGCGGGCGAAGGTAGTACATGGTAGTGTCTACTCTGTGCACGAACGACTTTCGCGTTTCGCGACGGAACTCATCGGGATTCAACGTATTGGCGAAGTCATAGTCGATATGAGTTGCGTTGAGCGTGGCTATCAGGTATGCGAAGGTATGCCGATTTGCGGCCTCGTTGAAGCTGCCGAAGGGGGTGTCGCGGGCGATGTTGAGCTCGTCGGAGAACTGTGCGGCTGATCGTTGCGGAAGATGCGCGACTGCTGCGAGCAGCTCCTGGTGGCGCTCTTCAAGAGTGCGCTCGATGCGCTTGTACAGCTTTTTATCGCTGCCTGCGGCCTTGATAGTCCACACGTCGCAGCCGCCGATGACAGCCGAGTCAGGGGTGTCGAAATTAAGGGCGAGGTTGACCTGACGGATGGTAAGTCTATGTCGGATAAACACTACGTTCCTGATGGTACTCACCTCGTGGAGGGCGCAAAGATCGAGGTACTGTCCAAGTCAGTTACATCATCCCCTACGCTTATCGCATCCGGCACTCACCTTCATTGCGTCGTTCTCGGGTCCTGCTCTGTCGTGTCTGTGTGAATAACGCTGTCGCGTACAATAACACGACGTTTACTGACGATGGCCGGGTCAGCGCAAGCCGTCGCTCGCTATCGGGTTCCTTTGTTCGGGTGGGGTTGTCCTGCGTAAGCCGGCACAACGCGTACACACTGCTCCAGGCTGGCTGCGGAGAGTAGAATGCGCTTGTTGTACGGCCAGACGTGCGTCTAGCAGAATGAAGGCATATGGTGCCCGATAGGTTCTTGCGGTGGTGAGGGGAAGGTGGTGTGAGTCGCAGCAACGATGCGGAGGCGGTGATGTTGGCAGCCAGGCTAGCTGCGCGTGCTTGGCCCCGCTTTCGGATTGGTCCAGCTGTTCGAACCAACTATGCGACGACAGCGCGCCGGATGGGGCAGACCTGAGGCTGCTATTCGACCTCGATCGCTGCGTCAGTATCCGTGGCTGCTGTTAGCATCGCCGGCGCCGGCTGACGTCCTTGGTGAACTTGGCCGGTAGAGGTTCGGAATACATCGGAACGATCAGCGGAGACGATAATTAACACCGGTGAACGTGGTGCCGCTCTGCCTGCACTGTGGAGTAATGATGTTAGAACACGTAAAGGTCATCAAGCAGAGTGTCAAGTCAAGGTTGCAAGTCTCGATGTCATGACATGAAGATCACGTTCGAGTCTCATAGAACCGCTTGTATCAAACCTAGCCATTGCGACACATATCGCTAGCCGTAGGTGTATAATTGGTAGATAGAGTACATCCATCGCTACTCGCTCAACAAGGCAGCGTAGCAGATGGTGCGTTCTCAACATGCCGTAGACCCGCGCTTCGAAAGCTGTTCGCCATTGTTCGGGCCCGTCCTTGACAGAATGTGTTTAGCAAAGTCAATGCCATAGTTGGCATAAGTGGTATACCGCACGCCATTCAATGTCCTCCTCGCCATTCGCCAAACGCCTTCAATGCAATTCGTGATAATGGCCCGTTGAAATGTTCGCTTTAGTAGATGCCGCTGTCTCTCAGTCGCTTCTTGAACTCATCTGCGTCCTGCGCACCGGGTGGATAGTGTCAGCATAGATCTTGAATGTTGTTGCAAGAGCTGGCGCGGGTCATCGAGCGGTCGGTATGTGGTGGGCTCCACTCTGTCCCGTATACTACATGATCTTGGTCACGATGTCGTCCTCGGCCTGACACAGGAACAGCGTCAGCAACCGAGCTTCACGTGGAAAGAGTGGGACGTAGATGTCGAGTCGAAGCACGCATCACTCACCTCCATGTCCTCTAAACTGTCCTGCTGCCCGATGCACCTCAGCACATTCTTCTTACTGCTCTCCTGCAGCTCGCCAGCAATGAGGAGCTCGTCGAGGATGAAGTAGGCCTTTTGAAAGTTGAAGATGATGTCTAGCTCGCAGACATTGCCGTAGTACTTGTCCATCTGCTCAACATAGCGGTGGACTATCTCGAGGGCGAGCAGCTCGTTGTCGGCGGAATCGCAGCCAGCGATGAAGAAGAGGGAGGCATATCGGCGGTAAACAACCTTCGTGTCTGGGGGCTGCCTGTCAGGTCCGTGCTTGTACGCCTCCCACGCTCACCGACCTTTGTATTCGAGAAAGTTGCACATGCGGGTGCGGCGAGCAAGCACGAGCTGCGAGACATCTTTCACGATCTTGGCCTTGTCCTTGGGCGCAAGTGTGGTGAACCACTTGGCTAGGCGCTGCAGCTGTTCAGTAGGGGCGCTACAAAGCTCCTAACGACGACATACGACTTTGCCCTGCCGTGAGAGCAGGATGAGATATCTGTGTGCATCAGTGCTGGTCGTATGCAGGTCTAAGGCGAAGAGACTCACTTGATGGCCATGGTTGTTGGAGGTAGGGGAGGTATTAGAGGTGCGTAGTGGCCTGTAGAAAAACGGAGGTTCGGGCGACCACAGACCAGCCAACCCCGCGCAAACGTCAAAGCGCTCTCATTGCACCCCGCCAAACACTTCTTACTTCATCATAACCGTCTTGTCCGGAATAACGAATCTCTTTCAGTTGTGGAATTTCCACCACTGTCTCGGGCACGCGACACGATCCACATTACAACTTCGATTGGTTCTCCGTCCAAAGCTGCTTACAAACACCCTTTGTCTTTGCGATCGCGGCTCCGGCGCGTCTACTCTCCATCCTTGACTTGGCTTTCTGAAGAGTATATCACTTGGATACAAGAACCCCGAAGAGACTTCAAGGAGCCAAACAGACTCACACGAGTCTATACAGACATCATGAAGCTCATTCTCTCCACCTCGTACGCCCCCTTGCGCCTTCCTCTCCGAACCTCACTCACCTGAACGTCGTAGGAACATAATGTCGGGCGGACCGTCTGTGATACGGCGGCATACCTTTGAGAAGTCGAACACAGAACTCACCTCCTCTCTTCGCGCAAACTTCACCGCCCACCAGTCCTCTCCTCCCACACCCACAACAAACGGCAACACCACAGCACCGAAGCCGAAACCACCATTCAAGTCATGGACAACCCAACAAGACAACACATTATGGATACCCACGCACACCCCCTTCCCTCTCTCAGAACCCCGCGAATCCTACGACATAACCGTGAAACTCTTCTACCTCCCCAACGTACCAGCGGACACACGATGCGTCCAAACGCGGGAAGCCATCAACCTCGTCCTCAAAGAGCTCGGCACATCCTCAATCGACCTCCTCATCGTCTCCTTCCCAGGCATATCCTTCGACGCCGACGACGAAGAATCTGATCTCGACGACACACCCTCCGCTCCCGATTCCCTCGCCGAAGCTGACTGCGACGCAGACGGCGCCCCAGAAGACATCGACACCATTGTGACGACATGGCACACGCTCGAGAAGCTGCATGAAGAGGGGCTCGTCAGCAACCTAGGCATCTCCGAGTTCGGCTGCAGCAGGTTGGAAAAGTTTCTCCCCAGGACGAAGGTCAAACCTAGCGTGGATCAAATTAATGTGAGGGATTGCTGCGTAGTGCCCAAGCCGTTGATCTTGTATGCGAAGCAGCAGCAGATTCAGCTGTTGACGCATAATGACTGCACGAATGTGCTGCCGAGGGGTACGCTGAGGGATATACTAGGGTCGGGTGAGAAGGGCGTTGGTGTCCTTGCTGGAGAGAATGAGGATGGGGAGAGGTTAAGGGGGGAGGTGCAGCCGCAGTGGGTGGTCAAGTATACGGCTGTGGTGAAGGACCGTGGGGTTGTGGAGAGTAAGGGGTACTTTGCGGTGGCGGAGTTGAGGGAATAGGGAATATGTAATGGCATGAAAGCTGAGTTTCAGGTTGAGCGTTTCTGTCACTATACTTATTTGCTAATACACTATCTGATCCGCCCAGCACTCCACACACTCCTCTCCCAAATCTCTACACACCAACGTATCTCCACAACACCAGCATGTGCCGTCAAACATATCTGGGTTGAAATCGTAGGGGAACTGCATAGGCGATATTTGCTGCGCGTTGTCAGGAAGTTCCGCTACAACCTCTGGCAGAACCTGCGCTGTCGGGTACGGCGACGGTGAGCGCGGAGGATGAGAACGCAGAGGCCCACGTCGCTCCTCTGGCTCTATGAAAGAAACGCTTCGGTTATGTATGTTGACAATTTGCGTAGATCTGTCCAGCTGCAGTGATGCTTGAGACTGCATCATAGCGTCTGGAGAAGGAGGAGCTTGGGGCTGTAGATTTAAGGGCGGTTGAAGGCTGGCGTACGGGTTTGGCTTCTTCAGTCTGTTCCTTTTTTTAGGTAGGAGGTGCGGATTAGGGCGTGGTGCGTAGTAAACGCTGTTTGGAAGTGAGGCTGGCATATTGTGAGGGTATCCTGAATAGGAACTTGTTAAGTCTATCGACCATTATAATACATATATGTGCGGAGGACGGCCGATGAATGCTGCCCTAATTTCATGAAGTAAAGAGGCATGTGAACATTCTGGGTGTCGTCAATCATTCCGTGAATCGTTAATTGATCACGCAAGGAGCCCAAGATCCATATTTTGCAGAAGGGTATACTTGAACATTGGTCAACATGAATGAACATTAGGTATTAGCATCAAGTATATCTATTTTCCACCTCTATAACTCCCAACCGTCCTAATTCTTCCCCTCCTTCCCAATCATAATCATCTCCTTCCGATACTCCGGCAAATCGTCCTCATTCTTGATCGGGAACTGCTTCACGGCCTCATTCGCTTTGAGAATCGCCTCTCTCGCTCCATCCCACGTCTTCCTCTTCCCCGTTTCAAAGTAGCGAAACGCATGCGCAGTCTCAATCCCATTGTTCATGAGATAGCTCATCTTCGGGTCCTTCAACCAAAACATCCATCCCTTTAACCCCCAGCCTAAACTCTCCATTCCCGTCCCCGCCGCCTCATGCAGGAACCCCTGAAACTTCCAATTCTGCACCATACTCCTGTCAAAGCTACCTTCTGTCTTATCTGCAGCCCAGCGAGACGCGAGCCATGCATGGTGCTTGTCGACGTCTGATTCCATGGCGCTGAGAGAGGGGAGCGGGTGCACGTTGCGGAAGATGTTGGACACGGCCATGGACTGGACGTCGTTGAAGGAGAAGCCGTTGTTCTTGCCGTAGGCGGAGTGGCAGAGGAGCGCCATGCTGTCCGCATACTTCGGCGGGAAGATGTTGTGCCAGAGGCGGACCAGCTCGGGGCCTGAGTAGGTGGGTGGCCGGCTTGTTTCGAGGAAGGGCGCGACGCTCAGGTCGGCGGTGTAGCCGGTTGCGCAGATGACGGCATCGATGTCTTCGAGGATGGTGCCGTCTGTGAATTCGATGCTGCGGGGCCCAAGAAAGCGCTTTATTCCGTGTAAAGATGTGACTCTTCCGGCTTTTAGCAGAGGGATTATGTAGTCGCTAGCTCCAGGTAGACTGAGCGTGATGCTGGGGCTGGGTAAGATGCGCCAGTCTGGGTCCAACTTGCCCCAGCTTGAGCGCATGAGATAATCCAGTGCTTTGTCGCCACACCACTGTGCTACGGAAGGGAAGTATCGTTGCAGGAAGAAACCGCTTTGACGTCGGCGCCAGCTGAGGAGCAAGTCTGCAGGTGTATTATCGCGCCAGGTAGGGAAGATATACATTCCCCGCCGATGCGAGAGGTATACTTTCGAAGCATGTGGTAGGATGTTGTTGATCACGTCTGAGGCAGTACTAGACATGCCAACCATGACGACGTTCTTGCCTTTGTATTTCTCCACACTGCCAGGTGTTGTGAGCTTGGGAACACTTGCAATGAGGATAGGGACGATTGCTCACTCTTCTGGTCGAAATTGTTGTGCGTGCATAAGAATACCTTCGAACTTCTTATCGTCCTCGAATCTGGGCATCTGTGGATACGTCTGGTACCCGTGGCAAAGAGCTACTTTGTCGAACTCTTCTACCTTGGTCTCTCCGTTGACCAGCACCTCGACGCGCCATTTTGTGTCGTCGTCGTTGCGACTCACTTTCTTCAATGCGGCATCGAAGACGATGTCCTTGAGCAGATCGAAATGTTTCGCATATAATTCCATGAATTCCTGGAACTGTGCTTGCTACAGTGAACAACATACAGGGTAAGTCTATGGTACACATCATGATTCGAGATGATACGAACCGTGAGATGTGGTGGATAGTCTGACAAGTGTGTCAGCAAAGGAGTCCTTGCTTCAGTCTAAAAGTGCACTTACGGTCTGGCATCGGAAAATCCGACATGCCGCAAGTATACTTGCTGATGAGAGCTCTTGTGGCTGTACGGTCTCCCGTGAGCTGGCATACATTTCGGTTATTACTACCTACTCACATGGCAGAGCGGTAGTCATTGAAGGATCTTTCGTGTACGCCCATAAACCACCCACTTGCTTTCGTCGCTCGAAACCAGTGACCTTGAACCCATCTTCCCGCAACGTCTTGAGCATAGACAGCCCGCAGGCTCCTGTGAATCTTGATGTCAGCCATCTAGCCCTTCTTCTGGCAGGCAAAATACGCGTTACTCACCAGTGCCTACGACGGCGACCGTTTGTTGAGCCATGTCGATGGGCTTGAGTTGCGCTACAGCTCGCAGCATCAAGTGTCGACTCTACGAAATGAGCGGAATCAGGACGGACCCGTCCCTGTATCTAAGCATACGCACGACAACATCTCCATGGAGATGGAGGTGTAATAGTGCTTACTGTGGCCAGGGCTGCACTATGCCGCACCCGGCTAAGAACGCTCGCTGTCATTGGCCAACTACGTTACGTACGAAACGTTGTCCCTGGGGGGCCAGAAGCAACTTCGTCCGTGTCCGTGTCCATATCTCTCCGATAGTTGTCGATCTCTAATATTTTTGGAGGACCCATTGATCGGAGAATATTGTGTGTCATGCGTTGTCGGCTACGTCGCAGCTTGAGATAACTTGCGCACCTGTACGAAGGGAACCGCTACCCGACAAGCATCGTCTTTGAAGAGGATAAGCTCGGCTAGGATCTTTCCTTGTACCTTCTAGAATGTGCTTCCGACAAGATGTTTGGTGGTTTCTGGTCGCCCTTTAGTCTCCAGCAACGGCGTGGTAGGTAGTAACCCGAAGAAGGAACGGGCAGAAATAGGGTCTCGCAAATTCGCACCTTTTGTTCAAAGGAACATCAAGCTGAGGTAATCCTAGTGGATCCATGTGGAGATATCATCACACTCCCAGAAGTAGTTAAACGAGCTTAAAGTATACAATCCGTCATGTACCTGACTTCACCGACCCTCCCGATCTCAAAGATCCGTTCTCGTACACTTCCTTGAGTCAATCAGCCACATCTCAATATCGCAACACAACAATGGCCATTTCCACCCTTGCGCTCTTTTTTTTCCGCCTTCGCTGCTGCACTCGGTGCCTGCGACCCATCCACCTGCACCTTCATCCCTTCCTCCAACGCCACCTCCCAAAATTATCCCGGCTCACCCTCGCTCAACACCACCACTACCTACCCATACAACATCTCCGCCTTGAATGACGTCCCCATCGCCACAATCTGCACCTCTCCGACCGGAAACCGCACCGCCGAACTCGCTTGCGCACGCACTTATATCGACGCCATCGATGAACAACTCGCCTTCCTGTATGCGCGCAGACTAGGTTATGCGGCTGTAGCGGGTGCTAGCAAATTCGCGACGAACACGAGTTTGAATGATCCGAGTAGGAACGATGTTGTGGCTGCCGGGATGGCGGCGAAGGTCTTGAAGGTAAGTCAGTCCACGGCAGCAAATGCACACTGTTCCTCATTTCTATCTCGTTGCTTACGTCCTACCACGCTGCTTTGAAATTTTTGGAAGACATTTACTAATTGGCATACAGTATGGCGCAACGGAGGCTGCTGGGAAGGTAATGGGTGGGGAGGGTTGCATGATCTATGCGGCGTTGGAGTACGAAGTGGAGACGATACAGAAGGATTGTGACAGCACGTTCACGGTGGATGTGGAGAGGGTTTGCGAGTAGGCAGTTCTGCTTTATCGCAATGTCAGATTTACAGAAGTTGCTGTCCTCAAGATAGTTAACACTGAACTCATGTCTTGTCTGGACTGCATCACAATGTTATGATATTCCAGGGTGTATGCGAACGAGCGATTAGCGACTGGCAAAGCAAGAATCGGTGCTCGAGGATTTAACAATTTCTAGAGTCTGATGTACTGACCGGCTAACGCGAGGCATGGATCGAGTACATCATATGAAACAGAGGTGAGGGGGATCCTGGAGCGACACGAGAAACGGATGCTGAAGGGACTCGATATTCATGCCATGAGCTACCAGGCCCGTAGCCTCATGGTTACGCAGTGCCGGGCTATAGTCCGAGAACCAGGTCAGTGGATAGTCCGGGGACAATGTTCCGGGGTAGCTCAACAATTGTCGGCAGAGGATGCAATGATTAAAGCTGCCTATTATGGGGCGAGGTAGCGCCGGGGTGCAACGTTGTGGCTGGCCCACATGACGCTGCCGTCTTCCCGTCCTGGGGCGTGTGCGCCAACCTCACAAGTCCAGCGCGTTTACCCTAGAGCCGCAACAGAGAGTGAATGCGACCAAAGGCACCATACAAGACACAAACAGGAGAGCCTGCTGCGAGGGTCGAAACGCGCGGCGAGATGGACACGCACGTACCATACCCGCCAAGCGCGCTAGCCAGCTGAAAACAGTCCGGGCACCTACGTCACGTTTTCCCCTTCCTTTCCCCGTTGCACAGTTTCTTGCCTATGGCTCCGTCCCTTCCGATCACTCCAACCGCCAGCTGACCTTCACAGGCCATGCTGCCTGACATTTTGGTGGATTCGCCGTCGCCTTTGTACGGCCTTCAAACATGGCACTACGGAGGGCGTTGGTATATGGTGCGGTGGTCAACGTCGTGACCCTCGTCATATACTTCATCTACCTCTGTATCGCGATATGGCTTTCGGTTCGCCAAGGATTGGGACACAATTTTCCATGGATATGCATGATCGTCCTGTCTCTTTGTCGCCTCACCCAGGTTATTCATCCTCCGCGCGGCACCCGACCTTTAAATGCTTACGCAAACAGGTGGCGCTCGATCTTGCAGCAACCGTATTATTCCCTGAAACGAAACTTACCAATACGACCCTGGAGACTGGCGTTGCCATACTCACCGAAATAAGTCTGACGCCGTTGTTCTTGTCAACTGCAAGTGTGCTCAACATGACCTCTGGACCAAAGGGACGCCGCATGCAGTGGGTTCTGCTTCTTCTGTACATTCCTCTTATAATATCGCTCATCTTGATCGTTGCTGGCGGTATCGACCCGGATTCCCGAGACACTGCTACGTTTGCCGCGACTCCATCGACCAAAGCGGGCATTGTTCTTTACTGCGCTTGTTTCGTCGTACTAATATGGGCGACTACTATAATAGCCGCGCGTTTGTACCTTGCAAACCCTCTTGAAGTCAAGATCTTGACCACCGTTGTCCTCAGCTTGCCTTTCTTTCTAGTCGACGTGGTATACATGATGTGCTTCGCTTTCGAAGGTAGTGTCACGCCTCAGCGCTTCAATGTCATCAGCGGAGACGTCACGATACAACTTTGCATGCAAGTTATCATGGAATACATCATCGTTGGTCTGTATCTTGGACTGGGTTTGAAGATACCGGACAAGGCTGCCAAGCTGAAAGAAATAGTTTTGGGAGATCACGACTACGAACAATTGAGAGAGACGTTCCTCTGGAAAATGTACGAAGCAGGCTCCGCTACAGTCGCCGTAATCGTAATGCCCGGGTTGCGGTTCGCACATTGGATGTTAGGGAGGATACTTCGCGCGGGTGGGGGGTCATGACCAATGTTGAATACCTTTCAATCTCGCGCCAGTATCATTAGCCTCGCCAATACGTGGATCATCGGCCTACCGTTTACAATGAGGACTCGTATCCGAAGGACTACTTCACGACCAGATCCAGTTCACCTTCCCTCTTTGAGCCTTTATGCACAGAAGATGTTCGATGGATAAATGACCTTTGTCCATATGCCAGGCGACACACTTCAGTCTCAGCACCATGGCCATAGTTGCTTTCACAGCCATGAGGTACTGGAAAACCATTGTTACCATCACTGCGTCCCCCAGAATGCCATCAGGTCGAATAGATCTATCTATTGCGAGGAACGAGGAGACCACGTGGAATGTGTCAGAGTGGCTCGATGTAGCGGAGCATAGAACCGCGCGGAATGCTCTTCCGTACACAAAACCAAGCCTCGCAAGTTTGCCAAAGGCCGCAACAAGGACCTTCACTGCGCTTCCTCTGTTCTTCGCTACGCAACACAAATGTGGCGGTAACAAGCGCGTGTAGCACTTCTTTGGAGCTGCTATTCTTCAAAAACTCGGCTGGCACCAGCAGCGACTGCTATGCTCGGTCCATTTGGAAATTCCCTACTGGCAATCCGTATATCCGGCTTCTGACCAGCATGCTCTTCGATCTGGCTATCCTAAGCATTTTGAACTAGTATCAAACTTGCGTCGAAGAGGCAGCTTAGTGTAGAGAGGTTAGATCATAAATGCAATGGAGATCTGCAACACTCCGTAGCTTGACTAAAGACTAAATATTACACTCTAAACATATTATGAAGAGACGATTCTTCCCCTCGTGCAGGTCTATAGTAACGGAAAATGGTGGAAATCTATACTCCATCCCAACAGTTGACACCCATCCAGCAGTGGGCACCGGAAGGCCCAGCTGCTCCACCTTGGTGATTCGAGTAGCCACAAAGGGCATCCTCTTCAAGAAATTGCCAAGCGAGCATCTGCCATGTCTGCTGCCAACAGGTCGACCAACTGTTATAGACAACAGTGCCGGATCCGCTCAAGTCGACCAAGCCATTCGCACAGTCCTGAGGTGCTCCATTGTTCCAGTCCAGGAATGCCAGGTGGTGGATGCACTGGATCAGAATCACCATGTCGAGTGGCTGACCGTTCGCCCCCAGCCTGGGATCACCTTCAGCCACGGTCCTGCCGTTGTTCCAGGAATGCGTGCCGTCTCCCACACGCCACCAGTCAGTGTCGGGGTCGTGTCGGACAGGGACACGTGTGAATCGCGGATCGATGATATATGTGACGCCTTCGTGGAAGAACTCGCCGCCCCATTTCCAGTTGAACTGGTTGGCGACCGAGGAGTAGTCTATGGTATAAGTCAGCGTCGTCTTCACCGTAAGAGGCCTCTCCAGATCAACTCACCGCAATCTGCACTAAGCTGCTTGAAGTTCGCTTTGCATTCGTCAACGGACAAAGTGGTTCCTTCCGCATATTCCAACGAGAGTACGGCTTCGTTCATCGAGCCACTGTTAAACGTTGTCACACTACCACCTTCGCCACCCCCGTTGATAGAACCGAAGTCGTTGCAGAAAGTATCGATATTCGTATCGAGGACCGATTGCTCCATGAATTTCCAGTTGTTCCTATCATTAGTCCGTGGAGTGTGCGTATCGTCTCCTTTCTTGTAGCAGACCCTAGTGTCAGGTCCAGAGCCGCCGGCATTAGGACCAAGCCAAATCTGGCTCAAGTCGCTTGCCGAGTACCATGTGAGCTGCTCAGTAAATGCATCTCCGGCACAAGGACACTTGTTGTACTTCCCTTCGGCCATACAGAGACCGTTGGAATCAACGGGCGCGCAGGTGGTCATGCCGCAGAATGGCCACCATTCCGTCTCGCTGTATTGCACCGTGCATCTCTGTCGATCGCAAGCGCAGTTCTTCAAAAAGCCAGTGCATACCGCATCGTCACCACCGACGCAAAGCGTATGCTCGCAGGGAACATCTTCCACAGGTGGGCACGTCAATTCCATGTTCCCAACTCGCGCTGTGGAAAAGGCCGTGTAGTCGGTTGCGTGTAGGTTGAGGTATCTGGCAGCGGTGTCCATAATAGTGTAGTACAACCAGATGAGCTCTGTAATGCTAAGGTCAGTTTCGTCTGCTTTCAAAAAGTTGGCAGCAGCAGGGAGACCATCGACAAAAGCCGAGTTAATGGTCTCTAAGGTGTACTTGGGCACGTTGGTGAGATCCGCAAGAGTACCAGGGATGGGGTTTCCCCGATACAATTCCGTCAACGTTGAAACCATGTTGACATCGCGGAGTAGGGACGTGGCAGTGCTGACGAGACACGCAACAGTGAAGTCGTCGGCGCGCTTAGTCGCCGGGCATGTCGACGAGGTCAACACGTCGTATGCCAAACTGGAGGCGTCCAGAGGCATATGGACAATGGTGCTTGCTGCTTCGATGGTAAGAAGTGTGAGTCCAATGGTACTGCCGTCGCCGGGGTCGGTGCCACCGCCGCCGCTGCCGCCGTTATCGAGACCGTCCGAATAAGCGGGCAACCGAGGGTCTGATGGAGCACCGTCGTCAGGTCCGTTGCCAACGTTGCCACCGCCATCGCACTCGTTGAACCAAGTCCAGGCAATGTCCGTTCTGGGCATGTTTCTGATCACATCTGCGCGGCCTGTGGCACCCATCTTGGCAAAGTATATGTTCGCGCCTCGGTCGGCAGGGAAATCATTGGCCGCCAACCAGGGAGTCGGTTGTTTGTCCTGATGACAACGAATCAGAAAAAGCCTCCTTTCGGAGAGTCTAAGAGAAAAAGAAAGGAGGTGTGACCACATACCCAGAAAAAGGTGCTGCCACCTGTGTCCTGCGGCCCACCATTCAACCACAGCCGAACCTCGCCTGTGAACTTGTCGACCCATAAGAAATCTAAGCGTAGTGGCATACGAATTAGCGAAAGTCGGGTCCAGGTATTCTCCCTGATTACGTACCTGCCTTGCCATCACCGTTTACATCAGCAAATCGATGGTTAGCGCGGTCAAAGCCCTCCGAGAACTTGAATTGCTTCGAGTACGTAAGTCCATTTACGGTGTTCAGATAACCATAAGTTCGACCGTCTTCTTCCATGCAAAGGTAGTCTACGCGGCCATCACCGTCGATGTCGGCGAATCGAAGCCCAAGATCTAGAATAAGGACCGAGTTAGCAAAGCAGATCGATGAGGGTATCAGAGATACAGATCCAAGGTCCAAGATCAGCATCAATCCGGTGTTTACGCACCGAAAGTCCCGACGCCCCAACCTTCTGTACATTTGCTGCCTGTAACGATCCCGGCACGGTATTCGAATGTTGGCGATGCTTGTCCCGAAGTCCAAGTGTTCTTCCACATATCCACATTGCCCGTGTGTTTGTCAACGGCGAGAATATCGCAGAGACCGTCGCCATCCCAGTCTCCAAAATGAAGGCTCTTACGGTCTCGATTGACGTTGATGATCTCGCCATGGGTAGTCCACGCAGGCGGGTTTTGAGTATTCTCAAACAGCTCGACACCTCCGTATGACCAAACCCAGAGATAACTGTGCCACTATTAGCGCGTTACGTTGATTAGCCTAATTTGAATGTACTCACTCATCGTGGCCTCGTCCGAACATGTCGCAGTAATGCACACCGTCGCCTTTTACTTTAGTACCGCCTGAACCAGTGTTCTTGAAAACGTCGAATGTGTACGACCATGTAGTTTTACCGTTGGCAACTGCGCTTGTCTCCACGACATGCACATAATCTTGGTGTCCGGGATCTCCTCCGGTGATCCTGCCAAACTTCGCGTGGTCTTGGTTCATGTCAGGGTCGTCAGGGAAGCCACGTGCGCCGTTGGTAGCCTCGATCCAATATGGCTTGAGCTTTCCACCATCATCCTTGGAGCCGCGTTGGTTGATGAAAATACGAGTGGAGCCATCTTCGAAGAGATATACCCAGTCCTATGCGACATCAGCGAAGACCGTTAAGATGACAGGGAGGACTTGGAGGAACGAACCGCTTTGAAATCACCGTTGATGTCAAGTAGATGGACGCCTTCAATGCCTGGCATGCCTTTGTGTTCGAAAGTGGGCGCCCCACCTACCATACCTTGCCAGTATTCAGGAGCGTCTCCTGAGCCGCCATTGCGCCAACAGTAGATATCACCAATGTCATTAATGGCACAATAATCAAGTCTTCCATCGCCTAGTACCAATAGTAAGCGACTGATGATTCATTCAGGGGACAGAATGCATGAGGGTTGGTCCAGGATCCCCTTGATCCGTTTCGGCAATTCACTCACCGTCGATATCTCCAAGGCGGATTCGTTCCTGGGGAGCCCAGTCCATTCCCGTATAGATCTGACCAATGTACTCGAAAGTTGGTGGGTTGCCGCCTTTGTTGATGGACGCGTACATGTTACCTTCGAGGTTGAGACAGATGAAGTCCTATGGGTAGTGTGAACACCTGATCGAAGTGTATGGATAGGAAATGAAGGGAACTTACGTCGAGACCGTCGTTGTTGATATCACCCCATCTAACACCGCGGTTCAAGCATTGTGATTTGACATCAATTTCTATCCAATTCGCGCCAAAAGTTCCAGCGGTGTTTTGCTTGTAGGACACTAAGAGTTGAGGGATCAAGTAAGCAGGAGTCACGACGAGGATAGTGCGAGCGACTCACCATAGGGTAGCCCATCACCTCGTTGGTCCGGATCCAGGACTCTAATCAGCTCGTCCAACTCGGCGCCACGGTCTGCATTGCCAGGATTAGTCAATTGCGCATAATGGAACTGTTTCAGGATCGACTAGATTTGATGTCAGTCTGCTGGTTCTCTTAAACAAAAACAGGCTTTGAGAAACGTACATCATCTCCAACCCACGATTCATGATTCGAGGTACTCCATTGTGTACTGCTGTGAGTGTAAGTTCCGTCATCAGCACCCGAGCCGCGCTGAGTTTGAATAGGTCCACGAAAATCACTTTGTGCGGGAATACACACGCCTCCTGCATTGGAGCCTTCATTGTCAACAGGGTCTTTTATCCAGCCTTTTTCGATGACCCTATTGATGGCAGCGGTCCAGATAGCCGCCATTTTCGGATACGTATCATGTCGGGGATGGATGCCGTCCGTGAGGTCACCAACTTCCATGTAGAACGTTGCTCCGCCTGTAAAATGATTAGCCAGTGAACTATAACTCGATTTCGAAGGCGATTTACCATTGTTGTTTATTGGGCTCATCTCAGCGAGCTGAATGTGTTGTCCAGCGGCTTGTTTGGTTTGAACTAGTGATCGCAATCCCGTGTTGATAGTATTGGCATAGTCGTTGTGGTGGCTATCGCTTTGCGGAAGAAGCGTAGAAAGTATGATAACAGCATCTGGGTCCCCCAAGGACCAGATGTCGTCGACCATGGACTTCATGCGGTCCGCAGCTGCAGCTACGTAGTCGGCCCCGCCACGATCATCTCCTTGTATAGCATCATTGGTGCCAGCATTGATAAGAATGAGATTGGGCTTGTTCCGAATACCGCAAGGCATCCAGGTGTCATGAATCTCTTGGATGACCTTTGAAGGATGACCCTCGTGTTGTCTATCCAAGAAAGAATTGCCTAAGCCGAGGTTCGTCAGTACCACGCCTGTAAGCGCTCGATACATATGATATCAAACATCCAACCGGGTAAGGATGCAGCATACCTGTAGATGAACAACCGACCATATTGACCTCATAGCCAAGATATCGAAGCTCGTCTCTTAGGGGCTTACGGTAACCATTTTCGCTACCAGAAGGGGTGTCTCCAATCCCCAATGTGATAGAGGCCCCTAGAGGCATGACACGAAGAAGAAGTGTTGCATCTTGCGCGAGAATACGCGCTGTAGATCTTGTAGAATTGGAACTCAAACTTGAGGACTCATTGGCGCGCTTTGTAATAGGGCTAGATAATGCCGTATGAATTATTGTAAGGAAAAGAAACCTGCATAAAGAGTGACGCATAGGGAGCGAAAGGAAGCTGAGGCAGCAGCTCGACTGATGGATTGTTCAACACCGATGGAAAAAAAGTGATAGAGCGTGTCTTCGATTTGGCCAACCCAGACACCTATATTATATTATAGCTGAAGGTAGTCAGACAGTCGACCCGTCGTGAATCCTCGCCATGCTCCCCAAAGGTCCGTCTTCCGGCAGGAGGCGTAGGACATGGGTGGTGAATCTGCTAGGTGCCGTATAATCTTTCACAAGTGGAGCGCACTAATGCTAGGAAGGGGTTAGTTCAGGTCGTCCGTATAATTTGATCGTACACGCGCATGATCCCACGGTCAGACCTTACAACAGCCGCAACTACCGATTCCTCTCAATGACTCGATGGAAATCACGGACTAGTTGTCAGGAGGGTAGTAGTGGCGTAAGTCGTTAGACTCGCATAGTCTTGCTGTAAGTGATGCGTTAGACTCGCATAGTCCTGCCGTAAGCAATCCATTAGACTCGTATAATCTTGCCGTAAATCCTGCGGTAACACAGAAACGATTCGCCTGGATTTTACCACCACAGTTCACGGAGAGCTTCCCTTCTAACATGGTCGCGAAGAAGACAAGTTCTTGAAGGTACTGGGCATCTATATTGACGTAAAGATAGTGAGTTTCGGCGTATCACGTTGGTTGCAATGGTCTTGCTGGACAGCATCTCGGCACGTATGAAGGCGTCTTCAATTTGGTAAAGTCGTACGAGGTTGCACCTCGGCCCTGGTTTAATGTTTTCGCACAGAGTGAGCTCGCTACGCTGCCGACACTACACTACGGAAGTGCACGTTTAGTTTGTCAATTAAATCTCATTATGGGGGCCGAGACCATACAAATTGGAGGAGCCGACTTAGTTGCCGGGTTGAATACCGAGTTCAGCCTTATAGCCGACGCTATGGATCTAAATGTAGGTACCCAAATCCCTATCGCATAGGGCTGACATCTCATGATCCTTTGGGCGAGCTGCGCATGCAGCAACTAGTCAACTGATTAAGGACCATGGCTAACCCTAATGGTCCATGTACATGGCCAAATCTGACTGCAAGGCTAGACGTGCCGAAATACGTACTAATTAGACCCAGTTGTCGTCGAAGGAACAGGGCCAATTTATGATCTAGATTCTCTAGTTTGGTAACAGACATGGTGAGATGCGATTCTAATCTGGCTTGACGCGGCAGCGCTCGCCATCTCACGCGACACAAACACTAACCTTACGCAGGATCTTGAGGTAGCCTTGAGAGTACCTGAACTAAACCGTACCTGCATTACGGGATGCATCCTTTCATTTCCTGGGAGACGGTTGCAGGATAACGACCCCAGTGGTAACCCGTGGCCATGAGGTCTAAAATATACGAGCTTTAGACCCGAATCCTTCTTTGAGCTATGTCCGGTGGCATAAAATGGTCATGCCAGCCATTCTTTCTTGGCGAAACCCTAATATATGCTGGCAGTGGACCAGCACATTTGTCTCAACTTTCCTACATAGCTATTCAGCTATTCCACTCATTTGATCCCACATGTTTTCTTTCTTCAGGATTGGCCTTTTGGCGTTGTCTGTTTTACAGCTCGTTGCTGGCCAGCAGTACTCGTATTGGCTAGATCCGCCATGTCATCAACGCGTTCTGGAAGGGGGTGATTCCTTAGGCCAATCTATCCTTGAAGTCCGTTATCACGCTGGAAAATTTGCGGACGCACTGGAGCGAGGCGATAATGGCCTTGACGATATCCTCACGTGGTTCTTCGCCATCACAACGGGCGATGTCTTGTTGGAAAAAGTTATTAGTGAGAAATCTTGGATTACTCACTGAATGCGTTCTAATCGCCCTCAGAAAAATATCGTATAATATCTCAGCTCATAGAGGACACGAACAGCCTTCTAGATACCGAGGTTCGCATCTACTGTGGTATGTATGCTGCACGCATCATGTTCTCACTTGATTGATTGGCATAGACAATCAGGATCGGATCAGAGCTGTTGACGACCATGGAACCTGGATTGACTTCCCAACTACCGAGGCAGGCCGTGCCGCTGTCCGCTTTACGGACCCCGAGAATGATGCAGTTTATCGCGTTATTGGTACGTGCTACTGGCAGAGTGGTGGACGTAATCCTATTGCTGTAAGCAATAATCAAGTTGGGTAAGCATAATATCTCAGATCCTTCTCATCCCGTCTGTGATACCTTTCCGCTGATTCCCCGCAGTAAGTGGCCGACTTCTCATTGTGACAATGAAGACTACTTGAACGCGAACTGACGATTTGTCCCCTAACACAATAGTCTCCCTTTGGGAACAAATGACGGGGGAACCCAGTGTGCACAATCCGAACCGTGCAACTATTGACGTAAGCGATGATTCTGCCCCAGGCGGTGCTCATATACTTATTACCTCCAGTTCTGTAATCCAACATGGACTGGACCCGAAATGCCATACACCTACCGCGATCTTGCCCAAAAGGAACTGGACGGCTGGGATGTTCGAATCTTGAACTCGTTGGGAAGCCACACGCTTACGCATGAGGTGAAGGATGAGACCCGAAGATACGAATTCTACTAATAATACATACAGCTTACTCATGTACCGGTGATTGGTACTCAGACATTCACAATGCAGGGACAACGCGTATACTTCGCCAAGGCCATAGACAACCATGGCATTGCAGAAGACATAAACGGCTACTATCTCAGCCCGGACCAAGTCACGTTGGCGCAGAAGTTGAAAAATAACCCTCCGTACACGATAACAAACAGCGATAGCTACGCCTACGCACTCGGATTATACATTCTACGAACTAAGCAGTGGAGGTCAGACTGGGATGCGGCAAACAACAAAATCGTACTTAGAAAGGACACAAGCCTACCATTAGGCCAAGATTGGGACCAGTAGCCGCCAGAGGCATTCCACAGAATAGGACAATGCGCTTTTCACTATTCTTTAATATGTAATCGACTAGTTTCTTAATTACGTTACAATATCTGAGCGAGGAGATCTGGTGGTGCATGTTACTGTTAGTGCTATCCCCTCAACCTTTCTCTCACAATCTCAATCGTTCTGTCCTACATACCTGTTTCGTTGTATCAACTTCACTGGTAATGGCGACATTGTATCGGTGCCGGGGGCGCGAATAGGAGACTGAACGGGTGAGGGACCATCATTGTCTAGCGTAGTTGCATGGCCTGCTTGACTCATCAAACTTCGCGCAAGTTCGTAATCGTCAGTCTAAGATTAATGAGCCTTTTTAGAGGCATACTATCCTTACGTTGCGCGAAATTCAGCTCAGTTTGGTCGAGTCATAGGATACGTACCCTACCTTTACTGTTAGCAAGGCCGTTCACATCCGATGGAATTTGAGCTAATGTCCAGTCAGTTTTGATCGTCAGCATTTTGTTCTCAGGACGACCCATATTCTTGCACAGGTACTGCTGTACACAGCCCCAAGCACCTACCGGCTTTCCGATTCGGCATATTCGGCATCTTCGTTCACTACGCTAGCACTAGACTACCAGCTACAGGCTACACCAAAAGCACTTCATATAAAGCCGACCATTTTTTTCTCTGCATTCCAAACTTGATATCATTAATCTTCCTGTCCTGTTCCTCTTTCCTTCTTTGTTCCAAATCCTGTACAACAGGAAACTCAAATCCGTCATGAAGCTTTCCCACCTCATGCACTGCGCCGTGCTCTACATGCAAATAGCTCACGCACGCGCCCAATCCGCCCAATCCGCCCAAGAACTAATAAACTCAGTCCTGAACCCACCATCAAACTCTTCACGCTACGCATCCTACAGTTCAGAAATATACTTCAACCACACGCTCTACAACACCACACCCATCGCCTCTACCAACTATTTCAAACTCGAGGCCTCCGCGAAGAAGCTCCTAGCACCAGAAGCCTACGACTACGCAGCCGGCGGCGCAGGTTTAGAAAAGACCGTCGCGGCTAACAGAGCAGCGTTCGACAAATGGCACATCCTTCCACGCGTCATGCGTCCTGTTCAACCGAAACGAGATCTCAGTACTACGCTGTTTAATAGAACGATACCCGCACCGATAATCATGGCTCCGGTAGGCGTACAAACGCTCTTCCACCCCACAGGCGAGCGCTCGACCGCCGCAGTCTTCGGACAGGAAGGCCTACCCTATACGCAAAGCACAGCATCCAGCACCGGGTTCGCAAACGTAGCTGCTGCGAACGGCGCCGGGAACCCGCGATGGTACCAACTCTACTGGCCCTCCGACGACGACTTGCTACGCTCGTACCTCACCACCGCGAAGAAAAGCGGGTTCGAAGTCTTGGTCGTGACGGTAGATACGTGGGATCTCGGATGGCGCACGCGCGACCTTGACAGAGGATTCTTCCCTTTCATCAATGGCGTAGGTGTCCAAATCGGGCTCGAAGATCCGGTCGCGCATGAAAAGCTTGGATTCGATCCGCTTGCGAAGAATGCGACGGAGGAGCAGAAGCAGATGGCGGCTTTGTATCATACTATTGTGACGAGCCGCGGTGTGAGTCCCGTGTGGGAGAATGTAGGGAAGTTGAGGGAGATCTGGGGAGATGCGCCGATTTTACTGAAGGGTGTGCAGAGTGCTGAGGACGCAAAGCTTGCGATGAAGTATGGTCTTGATGGGGTGATTGTTTCTAATGTAAGACTTACGCTCTCCGGAGGATCTACGCTTTCTGACTGATATAGCATGGCGGGCGTCAAATTGACGGCGCCGTCGGCTCGCTCGACGCTCTTCCTGCGATTGTCGAAGCTGTAAAGAGGAATTTGACCATCGGCTTCGACGGTGGCATTCGTTCTGGCGCTGACATATTCAAAGCCCTTGCTCTCGGCGCAGATTTCGTCCAAGTTGGACGCCCTGTCCTGTGGGGTCTTGCACACCAGGGTGAGAAGGGCGTGCGTCATGTATTGAAGAGCTTGCTTGCGGATCTGGAGATTACGGTTGGGCTGGCAGGTTGCGCTTCCCTCAAGGACATGGATCGGAGTCTGTTAGTGGAGAAGAGAGGCTAGCCTTGAGCTGGTCTCGGAGGATGCAGTGCCGGTAGGTAATGAGGACTTTACAAGTTTGACTACGTGTCATTAAATATCTACATACCCAATTACTGCCCTATAGAAGCGAAGTTTGTAAATCAGAAGTCTCGAAACCCCGTGGTAATATATGCAGTGCCCTTTTCTCGAAGCGAGTGAACCGTGATGCAAAAACTCATCTCCCTATAGAGTGGGAGCGAGCGGGTAAAGAAAAGAAAAGTAAGCGAACGGGCTAAGCTTACAACAAGTATAAACGGTTCCAAACACCCGGTCTCCGTATGCGACATTCAACATCCAACATGGCCTCATCGCTGTATCGATCATGAATTTGGAAGATCTAGCTTTGGTTCTTCTTCCTCTCGCGCACTCTTGACCCAATGCTTCCGGGGTCACTCGCGCTAGTAGGCTTATCCGGCGTCGAGATCTCCTCGCCGTTCAGGAAAACCTTAGGCGTGCCATTCGAAACGCCGTTGCCGTTGGCCTTCCCATTATGAGTCTTCTTCGTACCCTTTTTCTCGCCTGCTTCTTCCGTATCGCTCTCTTCGTATTCGCTCCTGTCGTCGTCGGCCGTGCTGTATCGAATGAAGCGGTACGCAATCCGGCAGATGAGGAACCACCAAAAGAGATTGACCGCCTGCAGAGCAGCGAGCAGGCCAAACGTAATGATCTGCGAGATCCAGCACTTATATTGCTGCGTTTCCCAATTGAGTTCGTAAGGACCGACAGTCTTAAATTCGGTGAAGATAGAGTAGAGAACGCGCAGATTAACGTAGTGGCGCAGGTATCCCCATGCGCACATGAAAACGAAGAAGTAGGGGCCGGTGATGGGCGAATCGAGGTAGTTGAGGACTTTTGACGTCTGTCATCTGTCAGTAAACGCACGAACCGCAGGGTTGGGTGTGGGGCTTACGGCAAGGAAGAAGTCGGAGATATCCATGGTAATATAAATGGCCAGACCCATATATGTGAAATGGAACCGATAACTGCACCAGATCAAGGTGAGGGTGATGATATGATGCGCAACAAATTCCTTGAAATCTTTGCGCGGTTTCTCCAATCCTAGTAGCAACACAATCATTTGCTGCGCCCAGTAACTCGCCTGGAGCAAGTAGTACGCCTTGAAGATGCCCTCGTGCGTCTTGTGCGGGTATCCCTCATACATGGCAGTCGTGTTGAAATACCACACGGGTGTCCGGCTCATCACATACAATCCGAAAGGCCCATAAACCGCAAAGTACATGGCTGTGTAGAACTGCTCCATAAACCTGGCCTGCTTGGCGCGATTCCTAATACCCCAGCGGATCGCAAGTGGCCGGATAAAGCGTTGCATCAGGAACTCGCGCGTGAAAGAGAAGATGATGGTATAGAAGGCCACAAAGGCGAAGTCGCGTGCGCCTTTGCCATACTGGATGGGCGTGGAGGGATCTGAGCCCGGTTCTCGCGGGAGCGGGTAGGAGAGGAAGAGGGCGGCAGAGAGGGGATTCTTGGGCGACGGATTAACGAGGTAGAGCGATATGATGATCAAGGCCAGCGTGAGGGGCCCAACCCAAGTGTGTCGCATGCAAATACGTCTGTATTTGGAGAGGGCGCGCCGTACAGAGCGACGCTTCGAGCGGCGGCCGGATTTCTCGCGCTATGCATAGTCAGCACCCCAATTGCATCATAGAGATAGCAACACATACAGTCGGCTCTGTCGGAGTCGCGGGCGGACTCCCTAGCGTCGCAAACGCAGGCACAGATGTGTCTCCCGGCAGTTCAGCGCCCAGTCCACTGCTTTTCCGCCGCCGCACGCTTCCGCTCTTGCCTAACCGCTTCTCCTTCTTCGACAATTCCGTCTGCAGTGGTGGGAAAGGTTCGACGTCGCCGGAAGCCATCTTGACGCGCGCAAATTCAGGTGGGAGAGGAGAATGCGTGCCTCTACGAGCGGCCGGAGCGGAGGTGAGCATTTTGGGCTAGGAAAGGAGCGAGTGCGCCAAGAACGTGAAAGCGGCCGATGATTGGCTGCGGGACTTTGGAGGGTCGACGTCGAGGCTGGCGGGAAATTGCATGCAACAGAACATCATCATGTTCATGGCTATGTTGTCTATATATCTGCAATTTTGTAAGCTTCGATACATCTGATGGCATTGCTGATTGTTATGGGCATTACCCTTCGAACCGGAAAGCGCGGGCACCGCACCTACATTGATTTGCCCGGTCGTACCGAGTACAGCCCTGCTCGAGCTACACACGACCCCTAAAGGGGTGCTCGGAGACTCTGAGTGATCATTGGGCAAATAGACGACTTTTTCGGCCGGGGTCGGACACCGCGGGCACCTGTACGCTGATAGTTCGCATGCCAGAAGTATGCCACATCGCTCTTCATTTATGCTTAGGGCATATTTGCTGCGCCTGAGCATAAGTCTAAGGGAATTCGAGAAGTTTTGCTTTTGCGAGCCACAACATAACGTAAGACATGAACCCACCAAGGTACCACCTGAGCACAGTGATTTGTGATAGCTGAGATATCAGGATAGATTATTGTTTTGTAGCGTTGCTATTATTCTCCATGGCCAAAAGGGCTGAACAGCGAATGCTGGAGTACCATGAGGCGGCACAAGGACTAGGGCCGAGGCATAATATCTATTCACAATAGATCAATTTCTCCATATCATGACGATCTAGCTCCTGGTAGAATCCACCGATGCAACAATTTAGACTCGTCTTCCCACATGTTGTCATCACCACCTGAATCTCTGGAGTGCGCTTCTTCCACACATCCCTCTGTACAATATCCTTGTTCTAAACACCACACCTTCGGTTTGCTCCTCCCAACGTCAAAGTATCAACATGAATGCCTGTCACGTAAGCCGCATTGGTATCCATGGAGTCGGCCTGCTACGACTGTAAGCACGCGCATGGGAGCGATTTACCCATACGGCGCCGGCAATCTCCCTGTTGATAGGCGCTATGTAGAGAGTGAATTTCAGGGCGCTGCAAACTTTCTTCAGTACCAGGAAGTCGGCTCGATCTGGTTGCTCGAGCGATACTGACTCGAACGGCTCGAGATCATAGAAATGCTTCAGGACGTGAAAAGTATTTGCGGCCACTGGTTGGACTAGCTGGCCTCTTGCCACGAGATCAGAGCGTGGGTCAACTTGACCACCTTTCACTTCCCATTCCCGGTGGCAAGCGGGTCTACCTTCAAGACGAAAAAAAAAGGCAAAAAAGAACAGTAGGCTCCTGTCCGCCCGCGGGATCGAACCGCCACAAGAGTCAGGCAGGATCACCTAAAGTTCAGGTATAATACACGTAGGCAACCAACCCGCCAATTGACATAAGACTAGGTATCGTGCAAAGTTAACCTTAACAATGATAATATATATACTCGGAGAAGTTCTATTGTAGAGTGAGTAAGTGTGTGTGCGACTGTTTGAGGTTGTTTACACACGGCGCGTGCGCACCTGCCTTTCACCTGCCTTTCTTATCGAACATAGCGTTCTGGAAAGTGCGATATTGCATTTACGAGCGATCAACTTGAATGTGCGTGACTGTATAATCACACGCGTCGGGCAATGCACGGATAGAGGTGAGATGAGTGTGAGTGAGGTTGATCAAGCGCCGACGGAAGGCCGACGCTGCTGCTTGTTGTGCTGACTCGAAAGTGAGGTATCTACAAGAAAGAGAAGAAACGACCGCTGATGCGACCAACCAAGAGTTCATCCCACCTCCCTGAGCGGGCTCCCAGGTAGAACACCGTTCCCCTTCTTCTGCAATCCACCAACAAAACTCATATGGTTCTCGTCGGATCCGGATGGCTTCGCCTGTTCTCGCCCATTAGCACGCATCTCTATTCTGGGCTTTGGTTCAGCTACAGCAGTACTAACGCTGCTAGCAGTTCCGGTGCTGTCCATGCTCGCTGTGCGTGACAGTACACCCTGCTGCCTTAGCAAGCCCTTGATGCCGCCCGCTTTACGCAAAGGCAGCTCGCCCTTGCCCGCTGTCGCCACAAACAGTAGGTACTTGAGGTTCGGCAGAGTTTGTCGAATGTCGAGAGGCTTGATGCCTATATTGTTGGATAGAATCTCAATGTTCTTGTTCAGAAGGAAGACGCCGTACTCGAAACGATAGCGTACTACGGCTTTCATAAACAGCGGGTAGGTGCGGGGTCCAGGATGCTTGGCGGTACTCATAGCGAGAGGGTCGTCAATGGTAGATGTAGATCCATTGACCTTGATAGGGTACGGTAGTAGCATATCGAAGTAGAGCGATAGCAGTGACACCATTTCCGCAACATAGCACAGTGCTGCGGAGGTCACATCCTCTTTGGCGTCTTCGAATTCGGAGTTCGGTAGCGGAAGACCACGGATAGTGAATAACAGTGCCTTTCCCCTGACGGGTTCGATCGGATATACACTTTGGAGGTCCTCGCATAGTCTTCTTCGTTGTCCGGCGATCTCGTCCTGTATCTGGGCGTTGGACTCCTTCAATGCTACATGCTTTGCTCTCTCTTCTACCATTTCCTTCTCCTTCTCAGACTGCAGCTCCCGGCCCTTTTGCATGAGCTCTCTTCGGCGTTGTGTGTTAGCTTTCTTGTCCTCCACCTTTTTCCGGGCAGCCTCAACCCGGCGTCTCTCAGAGACCACAGCGGCCTCAACTGTCTTTGCACGTTCTTCAGCCTCCGGCACTTGCTCCACAGAATCAATTGCTTCTCGATTCTCCAATAGTATATTCTCTATCTCTTCTGCCAGTCGATCCCTTGTCGCCAACGCGTCTTGAATGCAATCGTCCAGCGTGTTCAGTCGCATGATGGCATCGTATGAAGAGCTCGTGAGTGTGCCCTCGGAATTTTCCTTCGGCGGCGCGAGATCGTTGGCGCGAAGCTGGTCTGCGACCGGCATGTCGGTGAAGCTGGTGTAAATGCCATCCGTCATATGGATGAGGATGCAATTCTGCGGTAACGGATGTCTGAAGTTCCCAAGAGTCTTGCCAATAAATTGTAGTGATCCCAAGTGGGCCGTGAAGTGAATCAAGTGTTGCCAGCTGTCCGTGTCGTTCTTCGCCCACACATTTATGGTGAGTTTGTCAAGTCGCGTGACACTGGGGCCGGACGACGTGAGGTCGAAGAAACGGAAGTTGGGGTTCATGGCCCTCTCCGCCACTTCGGATATATATACTGGTTCTTCCTGGCTATCCACGTGGATCGTGAAAAAAGTGTCGGCCATGCGACTGTCGGTGATATCTTCTAGCTTCTTTTGCCTGGTCAGAGGGTTCGCGCCCATCCACTCCAATGTGCTCCTCCTACGTAGCCCTTTCGATATGCCGGGCCTTTGCGGCTTCTTTGGCGATGAACCTTGGGAAGAGTCATTGTTGCCGTCGTGGCCTTGGAGATCGCTTGAAGATCGTGAATGATTTAGTCCCCTACTCTCGCGCAACGCCAATGTCTTAGTCGGCGATTTGAGGGTGCTTGGTATTGCATCGTCGTCAATGGTCTTGCCGCGGGGTCGGGAAGGTGTGGGGGCTAGGGTGAGGTTGCGGACGGTGATGCCTTGGAGATGCCTCAGCTTCCGGTTCTAGGTATGGTCAGCGTTGGTGTACGATGCGATGCAGAATCTCCTACATATGGAAGAAGCCAAGGTCGTTCGCGCGAGTTCGGAGGGGAGTCGAGTTCATCGGCCGGGGTCTGTTCGCTGCCAGCCATGCTGCTGTGTAGCCGGTTCTGGGGTGCGGACATGTCGAAGGACGCCGCAACGGCAGAGCGAGCGCACTATTCGGCAATTTGCATGAGTAGCATAATAGAATGAATGGGTACGAGCAAAGCTTTGCTCAACCTGCATTGTACCCTTACCAATTCGGAGAGCGTTGAATGAGCAGGCGCGACATCGTTTCCGTGGACGTGCCGCCTAGGATGCGCGACTTGGTCCGTGCCCCAATTGAACTTCTGAAGTTTTGCGACGCCGACACCCTCAATTGACCTCGAAGCGCCACATTGCCATCGCTCGTCCGACCGCCAAAATGCCGCGTAACCTCGCGAGGCTGCGCTTCAGGGCACCGAAGCAGCTGCGGCCGCTCAACATTGCCCGCATACACCCCGAAGACCATGGCACCCTCCACCGCAGACTCCGTGGTCATGCCCTCGAACTTTCCAAGCCGCAGACGCCCCTGAGCCTGCAAATCGTCGTCAATCCGAAATGGAAACAGCAGCCTGGCAAGAAGCCGTTCCGAATGTCCTACAAGCCGCACACATTGAGGGACCTGGTCGATCCTGAGGACGCGGCGACGCATGGCCAGATCATCTACGTCTTCGCCAATGTCAAGACAGGTCAGGTCATTTACTCGCTCAACGAGTTGCTTGATGTTTGGCGCCCAGGTCTTTTATCTCGTACATATTCTGACTCTTTTCCAGCAATACCACCTAGAGCAGCTTCCCTTCCTCGGCAAGCACTCCAAACCGCCCACCATCCGACCCGACGAGTGGACCCCTCACTGCGCTATCACCTTTCCTTTCGCCGAGCAAGGTCTGCAGGCCTTCCGCAAGCTTCGCGAGTTCCGCCACCTACACGAGACATCTTGGGACAAGACAAACCCAGAGTGGATCAGGTTAACGGCCCACGCAAGAATGAGAAAGATCATGGACCAGGTCGCAAACACCAGTGCAGACATAGCGGAAGTATTGAACGTTCAGCAGCACCAGTCAGTGGAGATGCGGAAAAAGGCTATAGAGCAGGAAAAGAAGTCACTCCGCCTGATGAAAACAATGTGGGATGAGGCTGAGGCTTTGATCAAGGATGACAGAGACGCCAGCAATCCGAAGTGGTTGGAGCAGCAGATCAAAAACCTTGAATGGCAGCTTGGGACTAAGCGCAACCGCGACGAGGCAGACACAAAGCGGCTCAATGATGCGAAGAAGGGCCACGAGGTCCGCTTACGACGGGTTTTACGGGCACGGAAGAACATTGAGGGATTCAACCAAATCCGGGTCGACCCAGATTTCATAAAGATGCAGGAGGAACACGTGGCCCAAGCTGCACCAGCCAGGGGGACCGATGTCGAGGCGAGGATAGATGAGTTAAAAAAAGAGATTGCGCTAGAAAGAGATCTTACTAAGGTTCTGGATCGGTCAATCGAGGACATTGAGCAAACGTTGGGCGAGAAGCAAGCCGAGCTCACGGAGCTGGAAGATGCTTTCATCGCCAGCTTACGAGCTGACGCCCTAGACCACCCCGTAACCCGCTCTATCCTGCCCCCCGAACATCGGAAACAACTTCCGCGGCCCTTCACCATGGACGTGGAGATTAAGTGGGCAGACCTTCGCAACGCCGAGTACGCCGCAGGAAACTGGCCTGAGGCTATTGTCCACGATACGCTCGATTTGCGGAATTCAAGGCAGGATGTGCAGTTCCTGAATGCGGAGCAGTACCATGGATCCGTTTCGGACGATGTTCAAGGCATGCTCAAGAGTCTGGAGAGGCGGGCTTTGGAGGCACAAGGGTTGGTTGAGGAGGCGCCTGCACCAGAATCGGAAAAGACCGGAGTATTCAAATACCTTCCAGAGGTGAAGAACCCGTTCAAGCGGGCGGATGCATAGAGTTGCCTCTGTAAAGATAATGTTGGTATATGTACTATATTCCCCAGCCACTTAGGCGGTGTACAATTCATGTAGATTTCGATATGGACTAGCATAGGTGCAATGGTTCAGGTTCGTGCAGATTGCATTGCAGAAGTGAAGCATGTGTAGGTGTTCGGCCTTGAGTGTTGATGCGTCAGCGCGCTTGGCTGACCAGGGGCGACTCTCAGATCTTCTCTTTCGACTTTCCGACTTTCCGACTGATCTCTCGTCTCCCATATGATTCTTTGGCAGCACTGAATATCGGATAGAAGCACACCACCCTTCTACGAGGCAACGACATGAGACTTATATACCTTATCACAAGCAACGGGCTGCCCCTTCTCTTTCGGAGGTCGACATACGGATTTAAGCCAGGACGAACAAACGTGAATCCAGGTACGATCCTGTGGGATGGCACTCCTTTCTCAATCACCCGTAATCTCCAAGATGCACTTTAAAAGTACGACAGACGCATGAGCAAAGTATATTTGACACTTGGTGTAGACTGATTGTAACGTACATGACTCATCTTTACTGAAAGACCGGAAAGAGACTAAAGGAGTGATTCGTAGCGTGGGACTACTTTCGCAAGTCAGGCAAAAAGCAGTAAGATGGTTCGTATATAAGTGTGTTCATGACGCGTCTTGCTTGCTCTCCTCGAGGCGCAGCTAGCGTCCTTTGCTGACCACTAGGAATATGGTGTACTCTGGCTCGCCTTGCACCTCACTGAATCGTTCAACCATCTTCTCATGCTTGCATATGAGCAGCCTTTTCTATATACACACTTTTCAATATCACAGCAATACTTTTGCTGCCACAATGATATGACTTCAGTAATTCCGCGTCTTCCCGCTTACGCTGAGTCCTAATGGGCTCACTTAACACCAACCACGGCAGTATAAATTCATTTTCACTTCATCAATATCCCGACTATGCCTCGAAAACGCGCTGTGAAGGTCTGCGCCTTCTGCCACAGCCATAAGATACGCTGTGACGTGGATTTGACCGGGGTTCCATGCTCAAAGTGCGTGGAAGTTAGAGAGGAGTGCGTCTTGAGGATAAGGAAGGCGTATCCGTAAGTCTTCGAGAATTCATTGAGTACCATTTTATAACTACACTTCTTCTATACTTGTTGGGACAGAGCGTCCAAGGGTTCACCGTGCTTGAGACTTTCACTTGATCTTGTAGGAGAGTATCACGCTGACTCCAGTAGAACTCGAAAGAAGGGCCAGACTCAAGATTTTGCGAGTGAGAGCGCGCACACAACTCCGAGCGATAACGACAGTGATATCGCCGCTACTCTAGCGCATCATGATCTTTCTCAAGTCGTTGCAGCCGCTGTACCGGAGCCAAGTTCTAGACTAGCGCATTTCTTCGTTGGAGATGGTGGTTATGGCGCCATCCTTGACGCCATTGATAAGACAGCTGATCGTCAGTTCCACATTTTCGCAGCAGCAGAGAAAGCGCTCGACGTCGAGGATTTGCAGTACCTCAAGGTCAAAGGCTGCTTCACGCTCCCCGAGGAACGCAAACAGCTTCTCCAGGCATATTTCCAATTCGTGCATCCTAGCTTCCCAGTCATCGATGCGAAAGCTTTTCTTGCACAATATACCGCACACGGCTTCGAAGGTATCAACCTACTGCTTCTTTGGAGTATTTTCTCTGTCAGTGCAAGCTACGTCCCCTGTTTGGCTCCAGGCCGCAAAGAGTGTAAGGCGGTGTATGTAGCTCGCGCAAAGTTGCTTTTTGACCTGGGCCAAGAGAACGACAAAATAGTTCTAGTACAGGCAGCTTTGCTCCTGAGCTTCTGGTTTACAGACATGGCAGATGTAAAACAATCTTGGTACTGGACGGGTGTAGCTTTCAGTATTGCACAGTCATTCGGTCTACACGCTCTTACCAGTTCCCGTCCTCGAAGCCAAAAGGAGATTGTGTGGCGGAACGTATGGCTTTGCTGTCTGTTGCGCGATACGTCGCAGGCCTTTGGTAGAGGTCGGCCTCTACGCCTGTCATTAATAGGAAGTGATCTTTACCCCACGGAGATCTCTACCTATCAATTTGCAGATCTCGTACTGCACGATGAATTGCTCTACTCACCACGTGAGGCAGCGGAGCTGGAGACACTGTGGCAGAATCTTCTCAGCATCAGCAACGTTCTCCGCGACATGAAAGCCACGAAACGGCCCTTCACGCCCGCACAAGCTACGAAATTCGGGACAAGACTACAGAAGTTGGAATGCAGTGGCACGACAATTACTATTCGGCATGTAGAGCGCCATCTAGAACTGCATCGATGTGCAGCACGGATCGCATGGGCAAAGCTCACGCAACAAATGAAAGAGCAAGAGCTCGCATCGAATGACATGACCGCGGTCCTCCATAATTTCATCGATGATGATGACGAGGAGTCTCGAATTTGGGCCGCACCGGTCGTTGTACCACTACTTGTCCCAGCTATCGCCACGTATCTAACCGCACTGAAGGAGAACGACGACCTGGCGCCGGCCAAACTAGATATCTATGGGTACTTTTTGACAGCCATAGAGGATAATTACCCTGCGGCGTCAATGTTAAAGAGGGTCTCCAATGCGGCTCAGGAAGCAATTGTGGGGAAAAGAATGGGAGAGAGGGGTAAGGAAGAAGGAAAGGAGATTGCTAGCCAATTCGACGATTTCGGGAGTTTGGGCCAGGAAGACCTTTTCGGTTTATCGTGGACTGGGACTTGACCAGGAGGATGATGTGGCACTATACGTTAACTGGCCTTTCGAAAACCGAAGGTCACGCCGCACGTACTTGGCCAACTTTCTGGCCGCTGCACGCACACAGCAGCGTCTATACACAACCCGTTACGCGACAGCACTCAAGCTCCAATCATCAGCAGATCTTGCTTGTTATTCAAAACCGGTGATAACATCTTCACCGATGAAGACACATCAGCAAAGAAGAAAGGAGACGAGCCAAAAAAAGGCATGATGACCTCAGTTGCTCAAGAATCTCGCCTTGCCCTTGCTCGCCTTAAGGATGTTGTTGGGGCACGTAAATACCTTGGCGACCGCAAAGTCCGTAACTTCATGCGCGACGTCAAGAATCGATTGGAAGAGCGATTCGATAAGCTGGAAGAAGCATTGACAGACCCAGGGAACACGCGTAAAATTGTGCCCAGTCGTACACAGGGAAGCAGCACACGAAGCTTCAATCCGTGGGAAAAGCAAGACCTCGGCAAACTTTGGGACATCAACAAATGGGCTGATATGCAGCAGAAGATGGACAAATTCATGGAGAAGTACCTGACGAAGATCAAACTTGCCCACTGTACGGCAAAGAAAATCAAAGCGCTTCCGAAAGATAAGACGAAGAATACACCTGCGCAGCAGATGACAAGAGACGCATGTCCCGTATACAATGCCGTGGTCCGTGGATGGAAGGACGCCCAACGTGCAAATTTTGGTGTGCCATGGTCAGGCCCCTTCATCTCGGGTCGAACATCTAGTTGAACGATCGTTTAGGCCCGATCGGAATTCATCAGATACTATTGGCAGTTCAAATTATTGCTCAGGATTATGTTGCAAGTTGGGTAAGGGGGTTATCTTTTCCTTCACTGGACTTCTCATAGATTGTCCCGGACGCTAGTCATAGCTTGTTTTGCTTACCCTGGTCAACCCATTCCCTTCTCGTACTCTTAAACCTCGTCCAAGACTGCAATATGGGTGTTCGTGATCTTGTTCCAACCAGCAATATGCAGGATATGTCTGATCTACATGATAAAAGACCGACTCTCTGGAAAACCGGTCTCTCTCCACGAGACCATCGCCGTAAACACTGTCAGTCCAATATTCTAGCGGAAGCGCTTCGTTTTGAGCTTTTCCAATCCTCTGAAAGGCCTCGTGCAATTTTGCGTTGGGTCGCCACTGACCAACTCTCCACCAAAACTGACGAGAAGGGCAATTCGGTTCCCCAATGTCAAAAGGTGCTCCTCCGGGTGCTATATATGCAATACCCCACGCGAGTTCCGTGTCGGGGTATTGAGAAATGGCCGTGAGATCATAGCTGCTGAGCCGTCTTGACAAGTAGCGTTGTCCATGCTCAGAGACCTCTTCGTGCTCATCATCACTGTCAGTAGTTCCCTCTGGAGAGAAGTCCAGGGGCGTCCAAATTAAGGCCTCCCAGAGTTTCGGCATATTGGCGGCAGCATTTGCAAAGGCTTCGAGGAAGGGGTTGATGGTCTCATCAAATGGCGTTACACGAAACATTCTCCTTGTTCCGGAAGCAGCTTGCTCAGAAGTTCCACAGAGGCACTCGATAACACTACCATCTCCGTTGTCCTCGTCTCGAATCCGATAGCCTTTGGTGTCACGTCCTTCTCCTAGGGGCCCTTTAAAATACCATGAGCCAGATGGCATAGCGACGGAGAACATAGCATTGAGACTCTCTAGGTTTGGCCAAAAGTTTGAAGATGTGTGTGAATCATTCGAATGAGGCCAGAAGAGGGTTTCGTCCGCCATAACGCGTATCTCCATCTTCCGAAGCTGGTAGGAGAGCAACCTTAAGCTTAAGCTAAACAGGTCAAAAGGCGCAGGATAGACTAGATCTGGTAGCTGTTTGCGCTGTTCGTTCATCCTATCTTCAGCCTTATTCATGAAGTTGAGCTGGATATAGCGCAAAGAACTAGGAAGCTTAGTATTATAAACAGCACTCGCAAACTCTTTCCTATTGTCGCCTATATGTCTGTAATCTTCATCTGTAGCTGCCCACTCATCGATCCCTATCTTGCAGCCGAGATATCGCAGATTAGGACATCGTGCAGCAAGGTGTACTATCATTCTCAGGTCGATCTTCGAATACGCCAAGTCCGAGTAACTTTCGGCATTGCAGATCCTCAGTCCTCGAGGGTTTTCGGCATTGCAGATGCTCAGTCCTTGCACAGAGTTCAACTTTGGTAGTTGTTCAGGTGAAAGCAGATGGACACGCCAGCTCGGGTACCGGAGGAGATCGCAAAATGACTCGTGGATGCGCCGTATTGGTGTGAACAGTGTGAGCTGTATTCTGCCGATGTGTTCGCTCCGATCTTCCGCCTTTTTGATGGCCTCGAAGCATCTCGCAACCTGATCATAGAACGTTTGATCTTCGACTTCGAGGTCGACTAATTCCATACAACACCGCGGCGCTGAGACTGGTACTGGGTCGCGTCTCCTTTTGATACCGCGGCGAGTCGGCGGACGATACGTTGGCTCGAGAGCGGGAAATCGTGAATACACTTCCACGCGGTGGAGGTAACGATAACGATACCCGCCGTAAACTTTGAGAAATCGCTGGGCCTCCTTTGGGTCCTCGTTCAAGAATTGAAACCTTGAAAAAGCCCCACTCGCTCGTTCTGTGGCGTACTGGAACTTGCGCGACACGAAGAGAGTCCGTTTTAGAGTTTCGTGCGACAACTGCTCGCAGATAAGATCTATCAATTCCTGAGGTAGATTGTTCATAGTAAACTCAGAAGTACAGATAGTAGAGTCTGTGACTTGCTATTGTCGCGGGAGGAGTAGATGTAAGTAGGTGAGCGGCTGAGAAGAAGAGAAGATGAGAAAGGCTTGTAATGCTGCCACCTGATTATACGAGTAGTGTAACGTGGCTCGTGCGCCTAGGCTTGTAACACATGTAGTCAGCTGAAAGTAAGCTTGTGAAACAATACTGGCCAATTATATTGTGGGTCATCCATCATCAGAGCTGATCTGGCAATTCCTAAAAGACTGCCACATCCACTACTTCGCTGTAGGAGCAGCAAATAAGACAGAAACAGAGTGACGCGATGCGGTAGTTCCCTCATGCACTTAACGCCTCGCTCTGGCGCAAAGGTATTCCAGCGCATACCGCGTTGGTCAGTCAATGTGATGAGGTTCCTTATCTCAATCTTTGCGAATGGCCGGACGATACCCGGGGGTATCAGGTCCCAGGAGCTCTCCGCCAGAGGGACTAATGCAAACAGTCGTGTTGGTTTCACAGCCTCTTGAATTTCTCAAATGGGAGCAGAGACAAGCGCACCTGGAGGAAGAAACAAGCGCCTCGTGCGCGATATCTCACTTGCCTCCAAAACTTTCAACAGACTTGCTAAGTAAATCTGTTCAACTTAGGGGTGAAGTTGCCCAGATTGATAAGTTAATCCATGCGACTAGGTCCGTCGCGTCTGTGTGGAAGCTGAAAGGTTCTCTGAGCGCCTGTGGGAAGTTCCGAATTGTCCTTTATCAGAAACGCTGTACTCGGGCCCTCTCCTCCGTTATAATACTTGTCAAACTGTTCCGAATCGGCCAGGGCGGTGTAAACAATCATCGGCGTTGTGAACTTAGTCTTGAAGCGAAACCCCTTCCAGCGCTAACTCAATCTTGTGTACCGAGCCCAAGGCCCCTATCACAGATTCTGGACAGCGGCGGTAGCCACCTGCGGTTCCCAAGATCTGCTGCACAAACAGACCGACAGCAATCTGGCTCGCAATCTGCAAATCTTAGGTCTGATCACAAGGAACCAGTCCATCCGCCATGTGCGTCAAATCTTCATGCCGAAGTGTAACCGCTTCTTTTTTTCAGCTGCTCCGATGGCCATTTCAGCCCTTCAAGACCCTGCTCGCTCATGATGTTCTCAATACTAGCCATGGCCTGTTCACACCAGCCCTGCAGAAACCATACGTCTTCGAAGTTTGCGAACAGGACGACGAAATGGGCAAGCAAGACCAGTGCCATAGAATCGCGTTGCTTGAGCAGTGTTATAAACTCGACCGGTACCAAGGACATCCATCCCAGCGCAACACCAATTTCGAGCTTCGATCGCGGCAGATGAGGGTGTAGAAAGAGGCAATTTTTATATACGAGCTTGAGGCCGTCCAAAGCATCGAGAGACGTTTGTAGAGCCGCTGGATCGGAAGATCCTAGAGAGGGAAGAATGGTAGAGCGCAACGCTGAGAACTGTTGGTCGATGTATGATGGTAGGGAATAATTGTCCGGTTCCTCCAGCTTATCAGTGCTCAGTATCTTTAAGGGACCGGAAAGGATAGTGACCCAATGATCAGCCAGCACGCCGCCAATACCTCGAGTGAGCATAAAGTGATGTACGATGTCATCGACGAAGCTTGTTCCACTCCTCTGTCTTTCTGCATCTGTGCGTCGAGCTACATAAATCATTGATATCAGCGTTAGGAGCGCGCAGAGAGCAAAGGCCGCACTGCAGTTCTCAAATGTAATCTTGGTGAGTACAGAGCGCATCTGCGAGGTTGCTAGTGCTTGGTGGTAGCTCGATTGCATCTCATACTTGCTTCGCTCGTGCGGTCGCAGGTAGGAGAGGTGCATTGCAGAGACAGCAAGTAGGCCGTGCATTAGAAAGGGCTGCGGGATCGCCATCTCAGGTACAATGACGCGCCACATGTGCTGATCGGCTTCGCGATGTGAGAGTGTGTACGAAGTGGCCGATGTGAAATGGCTCATTAGGAACAAGTCTTCGGTCCATGTCAATGGTCTTGGTGCTGGTTGCTCGGTCAAAGCCGGCACAAGTAGTGAGAGGAAAGCAAAATCATCTGGTAAACGAAGTTGGTGAGGGCTATCGTGCGTCGCGACCGGTGATGGCGAGAACGAGATCTGTTGTCCTGCCGTAGTAGGGCGTGGTGACGATGCAGAAGTCAGACTGCAGTCCTCCCTCCTCCTTTGACAGTTCGCGCATGGAGCTTGTAGGTCGCACTTTCATCATCCTGAGGTCAGCGTGGCAATATGGTTGGCAGACTTCTCATTACTTTTACACGTCTTAGCTTACAGCGTGCACAACTGTGTCTCGACTTGTTATGATGTACCTTTGACGGCATTCCACTTTTGGATGTGGAGATCTTCGGAACCCAAGAACCCGGGGAGCAGAAGTCGCTCCAACCGAGGCTGGCTAAGGAATATTCTGCTTGGCCTCTCGCACACTATACCCGATACAGGATAAAGTGCGAGATTCCGCGAAGGAACACCCTCGCCCCCCGAGCTAACGTCGCGTCGAGTTCTTACATTCGATAACCGCCAGGCATATAGAAGTACTTCGTTGGTAAGCGATATGGATGGTTCATTAATTCCTTTCGCGTCGGACACGGCCATGCTGGGTGCTGGACAACTTCTTTTCACGTTACGCTGAAATCTTCCTCCTTCGCCGATCTATACTGGCCATCATCTGGAGCATTCACACGACAACACCTCAGGATGATGAAACGAGCGCACACCAGTGGGCTTCTTGTTCTCGCGCTCTTATGCCTCGCCAGCCCCGCCCTCGCAGCCCGCGACAAAGCTACTCGTCCCAGCTACCGTACCTGTCATGAGGTTTCACCTGCGTGCCCAGTAGAAGCAACAACATATGGCTACTATCCCGAACTCGGTCCCAATGCCTTTTTCCTTGCGCTTTTCGCCACACTCTTCCTCACCTCTCTGGTCATCGGCGTATGGAGCAAGACATGGACATATACGCTCGCTCTGGGTGGCGGTACACTCCTAGAGGCCCTCGGCTACCTAGGTCGCGTTCTGCAACACAGCAATCCCTGGCTTAAGCCGGCGTTCGAGATGCAGATTTGCTGCCTAGTCCTTGGTCCTTCCTTTGTGGCAGCTGCTATCTACTTGACACTGAAGCACTTCGTGCTATATTGTGGACCGAAGCACAGTCTGATGAAGGCAAGGCTGTACCCGTGGGTCTTTGTTGGGTGTGACTTTGCCTCCATCGTACTCCAGGCTATTGGCGGAGGTGTAGCTGCTGGAGGTGGGTCTTCGGACAATATCAACATCGTAAACGTGGGCAACAACCTCATTGTTACGGGTATCGCGTTCCAGGTGGCTACCATGTGCGCTTGTGGAATCCTCGTCCTCACCTATCTATTCAGATACCGGAAAGCGCGCGCAGAACGACATGCGTCAAGCGAAAAGAGCGACTTCGACACGAGCAGAGCAAATGGCACTGTGAGCAGGAAGCTGTACCTTTTTGGAGCCATGCTGGTGTTGGCCTACTTCGCCGTCTTGATACGCTGCATCTACCGTATACCCGAGATGGCGGGCGGATGGGGAAACCCGCTCATGAGGAAGGAGAAGGAATTCCTTCTGCTGGATGGCATGTAAGTTTTGGTGTTTATCATGTGCATTGAGCCGAGATACTGACTTTTATCTTCAAGGATGATCGCCATTGCATGCCTAGTCCTCACCGTCTTCCATCCAGCCTTCTTCTTCGAACCTTTCTCCCGTTTTCGTCATGCTCAGCGCAAGTCGTCTCAGCATGACGCGACGCCTCAGTTGTCCGAGTAGACGATTGAAGCGCGGACTAAAGATATATATTCTAACGCCGGGTACGGCTACATAAAGAAGTGCCCGATATGTTTTCTACCCTACCTATTTGATTAAGATCTAGACTAGATTACCACATACATTTATGGCTGTTGGAGTAGCCCAGCCTAATTGCCATTCCTAATATCGATTTTTTTCAATCCTTTTACTGTGTTTGGACCGCAGATGGGTTGACTGCGATGTGCCTTACACTACTGTCTCTGCGCGACTCGAGTGTGGGCTGACATAGAAGCTTTGTCTCAGGCCTCTAGGCAACACTTCAGCCTGCTGAAGTATGAACTCACACTTTTGGAAAACACTTTTCGATATGGGGTCTTCAAGGTCGATTCGAGGGTTGCCAATCCCAACGTTTAATAGACCCGCTATGCAGACTGCAACGCCAGAATGTAAACCCGCAGCCTTGTTCCTGATCACGATAGATCTCTATCCCAACAATAAATGTCATATGGCCAATTTTCCGGTACCCAGTCACGCGCTAGGAATAATTCCACGGACTCACAAAAGGCCGGTTTTTCGACACGTCAGAACAACTAAACTGCGAATAATTTAGAGTTCTTTTCTTCTAAAACTATTAAGAAAGATTAGTAATATAATCCTATATACTTTTTAGAGCTTAATTCCTTTGTGCTGTTGTAATAGCGAGGGTGAAAGTGTAACGTAGTGTTGTTGTTCGCTCAGTTTTACTCAATTTTGGTGGGTGAGAAGCACTTACTTGAGTCCGTGCTTTTTTTCCCGGCGCGTGCCAGTCCACACAAGTCGATCCAATTTGCCTGCAACCACTAAGAAAGATCTGGGAAGCAGCATCAAGAAGGCCTCACCGACCGCTGCACCTTGAATCCTTCGGACCTCACCGTTCCAATGTGCCTTCCTATTCGTCTTACCCCGCACCAAGTATCCTCGTATTCTCGTCTCACAACATGCCAAGTCGACACAGAGTTTCCTAAAGATAAGGAAATGGTTGGAGAGGATACCAAGCAAAGTAATAGAAGACTGTTTGGAGCATTTGTAAACTAGCAAGATCCAATGACTGAGATATAACCGCACTTAGCGCAGCATTGCGATCCACATGAAGAGCTACCGCATCCTTTCCGTCTTGGTCATTCCGTCAAGACCACTACCCTCGAATTTGAGAGACCACACTGCAGCCACGAGGTTCTCAGTTCTTTATAATTGAATACAGCCAGTTCTTGTCTGACATGTGCAGGGCAAGTTCCAAGATGCCAGACCTATCCTGGCGACTCAGACTGGCCTAGCGACCTTACGTGGCAGGCCTTCAACACTGCTCTACCTGGCGCACTGCTTGCAACGATCTCGAAAGCCTGGCTCCGCATGGGAGATTAAACGCCGTCCGCGCGCTGCTTTGCTCCTTCGTTTCTACCAAATTACAAAAGTTGCACTCCAGCCGGATACCCAGCATACACGGTCAATGGCACGAACGTAGCCGAACGTGGCACAGATCCAGCTCTATCGGTGTGAGTGGTGTCACCAGGACATCTCTCAGTAAGATGACGTTCATCTGCCTGGCCTAGTAGAGAAAACGTTAGCAACGAAAGCCTTTCATAAGGATTGAATCAATGCGTAATGCTAGGTCGTTTCGTAAGTCATACATGCGGTCCAAAGAGAACCGGCAGACGCCTCCCAATGCTAATGCAATGCCAGGTAACAATAACCATAACCCATCCCTTCCGTGCACAAGCGTACCCGAGCTATTCATTGCTCCGACCAATTCATTCCGTCGTGCCATACGTTGGACCGTAACTCCCTCCAAAACTTCTCGGGCTAGCATGCCTCTCAGTACCCAACAACGCCCTCGCCTCATCCAGAGCCCCCCTCTCGCCCCGTATCGGAATACTCTGCGAGCCGCTAGCACTCGAGTTCGGACTCTCGTTCCTCGGCGACTCAGCAGGTGTTCCAGCGCGACTTGCGCTCGGCGTCCCTGCAACACTAACAGCAGGCACCCACCCCCTCATCCACCCGCTCACCCTCCGCCAGCGGAACCGCCTCTGCTTCAGCAGGCCGTGGTCGTTGATGTCGAGAATGACTTCGTCGTCCCTCAGCTTGCCTCGACCACGGGGCTCGTTGTCGCCGTAACACCAGAATTGGACGCCGACAGCCGCATCCATGATCAGCACGCCTGCAGCTCCGAGAAAGAAGGGGGTGGCGCGGAGGATCCAATCGGCGCGTACGCTACCCTTAGGATCTACCCAACCGGAGCCTTCTCCCAGCGCAAAATCGTACCAGCCACAGGGGTTCGTTAGGAGAGACGTAGAGTAGAACAAATTGCCGAAAAAGGCGGCTGCGAAGAGCGTAGGGCTGAGACCGGCGGTCGATTTGCGAACGTGGTTCTGGTAGATTTGGGGAATGCGCGAGCCGAGGTAAAGGAATGTGGACATCCAGGAGAGGACTTTGCCGGCTATTTCTAACGCTGAGGCGTCATTTGAATCTTGTGCTTGTGATGAGAGACGCTGCGTCGGATACGCCGCTGGAGCAAATGGGCTGACGTTCCTGGCGGTCGCAGTGTTGGAGAGGACTGCTAGGATTAAAGCCATGTAGAGGACAGTCTTAGGCGACGGTGCAAGCATAGGTGAGCTCGACGCAGCTACCCGTCTTACGTGTCTGTCGGTGGGTGTGCCATTGGGTGGTGTCCCCATGAAAGACTCTTTAAATGAACTCGGCGAGCGCCCGTAGTTTGGTATCCGAAATGCGTCCATAGGATTTGATCGGGTCGGTATGTTACGGCCAGGGCTACTGGGCAATTGATCCGCCTTATCCGAATCCAAGCCATCTGTCGCAACTGGAACAACAGTCCCATCAGCGGCACTCTTCCCTGTACGCGGAGAATCCCGTACTTGACCCATACCAGAAGGCCCGTTATCATAGCCGGAGCTCTTGGGTCGGCTCCATATGGACCGCAGCGGCCGTCCATGTTTCAAGAGTCCATACCACACCCATTGTCCGCACAGCGCGCAATCTACGAATACGTAGTAGCACGCGATTATGACCTGCCAAGTCGCCTGCTGTGTGAACAACGACCCGAGTAGATTCGACACATCGCCAAGCAGCCACTCGGTCAAGAAGAATATGCTGAGTCCCGATGTCGACTTTAGCCTGTAGTTCTTGTATATCTGTGGGAGTTGTGCGAAAAGCCACGAGATGATACTACACGTTCCGAGTATTGTGGAGATCAGAGCGAGGTTCGTAGGTATGCACGAGCCGAGGGTGACGGAGAGGCTGTAGAGAAAGTCGTTCGCGGGTTCGCAGCGGTCGGGTAACGAGGGTGTGCCTATGTGTAGAGGTGATAGGTAGGGAGGCATCGTGTCATAGGCGCAGCGACAGCGACAGCGAGAGAATGGCGCACTCTGGAATAATTCGGCTCGCTGCAGATATAAGCTCCACTGTTGCCAGCAACCTGTGAAGCCTGAAATATGTTTCGACTAGGTATGTCCGCTCTTGTGTGTTCCTCCGCTATTCTGGGGTCGCCGTGTCGCAGTCGAGTGACTCGGTGTCAGGCGTCACACTCAGGTGGATGTCGTGGGTCGCAGCCACACAGGCGCAGTCGCAGCTTCCGCAGCAGCTGACACACGCAGATGTCAAGAGCGCCTCACTGATGTCGACCCTATGAATCCTTGGGGTCTCTCTAAAATTGCTCTTGAAGATGTTCGCGTCCGCAACGTTGTCCACACCTGTTGTCTGACGTCGTCGTACTCGGCAGAGGGAGCTATGCCGAAGTGGGGGCCTCGAAGGATCCGTCACCAACACCGCAGGCAAGATGGGAGTCGGAAGTAAGAGCAGGAACAATTGAATCTTCTCAGTGAACAGAGGATGCCACTTATGAGACACAAGAGACGAGGATGGGCAAGACGAAGCTGTCGAGAGTCATCATCCCAGGTCGATGTCCCCAGCTGACAAGGGCCGAGCACGACCCGCAGCGGGTACGGATGACCAAATTGAGGCCCACACGGCGGCGATCGTAGGCACCGGAGCAGGCATGACTGGACGGGGTGCTTGATAGCGGAGGCGTTCTTATCTTGTGTGTGTCGCGTGCGGCAAGATAAAGCAATGGCACCGTGGGACCCGCCGTTAGCGCACCCCGGCTTCGCTTGGGCCACCCCGACATCTTTCCCTGAGGCTTGGCCCATTCAGTAACACTCGGTTACAAAGCACTCGCACTCTTCTCTCTTCCTTTATTACAACGGGTGAACCACTCCTGAAACCATGGAATAAAGAGACCCATGATGAGAGACCAGTTGTCTAGGAATGGCACATCAAATATCGGAGCATCTATGCTCAAGACCTCCGCCATCGGAGCGCGGCGTCGATCATGTGCACCACAACTAATACCACGCACTAATCGTTCGTCTACTAGCTGCTCAAAAGCAACGTATGTGTAAGAGATTGCTCGTATATGGGCGAGCTATGGGATGGCGCTTTCAGTTACGGTTCAATGCTCCAATGTTAGCTTTTAAGTCTTCTTCTCTTTCTTCGATGTGTCGCTTCTCAATGTCATGGTCCATGCGATCTCAGAGCCTTCATCCATTCCTCTCCCGCCGGATTCTAGGCCATACTCTCAGAGAACGCGCGAGCATCCTAAAACACGTGGAATTCTGATACACGAGGTGAGCCTTGACAGCAATGTTTCTGAGTTTTCAACAGACATGTCCCGCATATCCGTCTCCACATGTATTCAACTTATGATGGTGTTTGGGACGGGACTTGCACAGAATAGCGCTTTATGTTGTTTAGTATTCGTCCGAAACCCCATAAGACAATCCCAAACAGCAAATTAGAGGTCTATAAGTCGAGTTCGAAGTCCCCGGAAAATCATTCATTCGAATTCCCTAAAAGTAGTCCCTCTCCAGGACTTTAGCTACGTGGAAAGCTCTCTTAGTCAATTGTGTATTGACGCAGGCATGGGATTTACGACTATTGAATTACGACTATTGAATTACGACTATGGAATTACGACTATAGAATTACAACTATAGAATTACAACTAGAATTACGACTAGAGAATTACAACCATGCAGTTACGACTATGGAATTACGACTAGAATTACGACTATATAATTACGACTATAGAACTACAACTATGGAATTACAACTATAGAATTATAATTATAGAATCACAATTACGGAATTATGACTATGGAATCGACGACTATAAAATCTACGACTATGTTCTTTCAACCTGATAAGCTTTGGGCAGCCCTTTCAGATCTTCACTCAAAAAGCTTGCCCACGGCCCCTACACATGACTTTGACCGCATTGCCCCATCAGGTAGCATCAGTCTTTCACTATCGACTTGTTCCTCAGCACACGCCGATATATTAGTCCGCTCCGTACTCTGCACACATCTTCAACTCAGAACCGCAACTGGTCCTGCTCACAACCCACAAATTACTATCGACACTCCAAGTCAGGACCGACCCATACCGAACATGCCGCACCCGTCTATGGACGCCACCGGCTACTACCAGATGGATTATGTCCAACATGACATCGACCGTGTTCGATGTTTCGAGATGGGCGCCATATCTTTCACAATCTATGCTCGCCAGGAGTTCCTCAGCAACGGGCTGCTAGACCTCCGAGACGAGCGCGCGAACGCTTGTCCTGAAGACGGAGACAACTGCCCAATCTGCATCGAACCATTCGACCTAGCAACCGAAGCGGGCCTCGACAACAATGTGGAAGTCATTGCTGGGTGTGGCCATATCTTTCATTTCTCGTGTCTGTGGACTTGGTTGAACAGTCCAGAGGCTCCGATCGCTTCATGCCCGATGTGTAGGCGCGAACTGTTCCCGAACCCTCACTACATGGGCGACTGGGCTGAGGTTCCACGAGTCGACGTACCTTGGGGTCACCTTATTCGGATCTCGGATAATATGGCACACACAATTACGGCGCTCGCAGACGTACGTGCTAAACTTGTGCACTCAGACGATGTGAATGCTCGTTTGGCGGAGGCAGAATCTCTGGCGGCTCAGCTACGGCCCTTGTTCATTCGGTATGAGCAAATCGAGCGCCAGATAGGGGCGGTCTGTGATAACGACCTGGATGCGTGGAACGAGTTGGACCTTGAATCTGATAGGATCTATGACACGCTGCGCCACCTGATGCGTCGAGTGGATGAAATCGTCGCGGAGATCTATGCTTCCGAGATTGACGCTCCGGATGCACTACCCGTGCCACCTGCCCCGGTCAACGCGGCTGTCATCGCTCGCATCGATGCTGCACTCGTTCGCGTACCTAACATGCCAGAGAACTATGAGCCAACCATCGAGCCTGAGTATTATCCCCTCTTTCACCTCAATGCTCTGAGGGAGCAGCGAACATCATTGGGGGTTCGCTTCATGCAGCTTCAACAACAGGCGAAGGAGCTCAATGATCGTGGCGAGCCTGTTCCACAAGAGCTGGAGAATGAGATCGACCAGGCGGAGGAGACTCTAAGGGAGATTCGACGCCAGATAGACCTGATCGAGAACTATCCTTATCAGATGTCGGAAATGTAGATGACATGAGCTGTGGGTGCTGAAGACAGGGTGCATCGTGTTTCTGATATCTTCCTTTCGGGCCTTTTTTTAGTCCCATCGTTCCTGATTACCTGTATCCTTTGAAGATTTCGGGGACTGAATTCTTTCTTTAGTGGTACTTTCAATAGCTAGTATGCATGTATGTATGCACGCGATTTTCAACTCTATAGCCCTAACTGCGAAGTCTCTTGTGAAAACCTTATCAGTTTCTACAACAAACCGCCCGCAGTGCCACTGCTGTTCCACGGTTGTCTTGAGTCGGAGGCACTAGTTCACGATCATACCCGACCAGAATCTAGCCACTCCTGAGAAATGATGTTTACACAGTTCAACCAACTTCAGCTGTCAATACGATGGAAGTTCTGAATTCGGGGGTCTTGTTTATCTTCACCAATGCCAACTATTTGTTGTCTTGTGGGACGTCAGTGATGGTCATCATCCGGTACATTTGACTTGGTTCTCTGCACAAAAAGTTAGTTATGCTTCGATATTATTCGAACTTAGTGAACATCTTGCTTAGCGTGCGGACGCTGTCGACACATCAGATATTCACAATAAAGTCGCATGCGATAGGGCGAGTTTGTCTCCGCCTGGTTGGTATTGAAAGCACCAGATCGTATAGTAATGTATCTAAGTTAGAAGCTTTGCCGAGTCAAAGCATCCTCTGTTTCGACCGCACTTCGTAGCCATCGGTTCATACAACATTAACAACAAGATTTTGACTTGGTGCAGCATCTGCGAATTAGCCCCTTTCTCCTTTGATCCTAACTTACCCTTTGTGACGCCATCAACTCTGTGCCTTCACGATGTCGGCTTAAAATCCTGAACGACTGGGCATGGCTTCAGATGACCGTTGTTCATCATGGCGCAAAACTTCAACCTGCTTTGTCTATTCACTACGTAGGCTTAGGTCAATGCCTATATATACTTCATATCCTTCCCGTAGAGAAACATCTCTAGAAAACAACTAAACTTGCACTTCTTTCACCCAGCTATCCCATTCGGGGCTAGTGCTCCCCTTAGCGTCTTAGCTTTGTCCTTTCCCCTAGTATATAGTCTCTGGCCCCTGTGCCCTCAATTGACTACTGATCTCGTTCACTTTTTGCTCTCCGTCAAAGGTATCCGTATTCAACTTTGACCCAAAACCAAGCATAAACATGTCCACCACGAAGAACAATCGCGATGATCCTGCACAGATTGCACAGACTCTCTCAGGCATCTCAGGCGTACGCTTAGACGGTGATACAGTTTCAGATGCGCAGGACGCAAATGGGTTGTCACTTGACCAAGAAGATGTGGCTCTGCATCCGAACGCCGCAGCTCAGAATGCATCAACGCAGGATCAAGATACCACAACGCAGGATGCCGCAGCTGAGGAATCCGAGAACGACGCGGATCCAGACGATATACAATCTACCATGAAAGATCCGTTCGTTACAATGGATGTGCTGAGCGCTGTTCAATTCTTCGCTCGGTCCTGGGTGCATGTTGATGCGGGTCACGAAGAGCAACACGAGGATCTGCCATCGCGAGACGAGTTCATGGACCCCAATAATCCGAATCCGGGTCTGCTTATTCTCTCGGATCCGCGTGCTAATGCTCGTCCGTGTGAGGAATCTCTTTGCCCCATTTGCCGCGAGGATATGGAACACTTGGACGGACTCGTGGTCATCGTATTGTGCGGGCATATTTTCCACCGCGACTGCCTCAACACCTGGCTCCAGAACCCTGCTTCTACTTGCCCAATTTGTCGTACCGTGTTGTTCACCGTCCCCAGCGCTGAACATGATGACGATGGGGAAATTGTTGTTTATCCTGCTCCGTTCTTCCGTGCTAGGTACGGAGAATTAGTTGCTAGGATTCGAGATCTACGTACGAGGACTCAGGCGCTGAATGAGGCTCGCCGTCGTCTTGAGGATCGGGCGGCTGGTCTTTCGGAGAATGCGAGTCATCTTGCTGAAGAGCGTGAGCGTCTTATGGCAGACTACCTGGCCATTGCTCGGCTATCTGCAGGCGGAGCGCCTCCCAACGATGAGCATAGTGAAGGAGTCATGCTTGTTCGGGTTGGTGAATACAACGCGCGACACCGTCACCTCACTGAAGATATGATTCGCCTTCGCTCCAAATTGGAGAGCGCCAACATGGATACTAGTGCTCTTACTAGTGCTCTTGAGAAATATGCCGCCGTCATTGAGGACCTTCCTCCGGATGAGCATCTTTTCGACGAGTCAGACCGTATGTTCATTGATAGACTGAACCGTTTCATTGATGAAGCACATCATCAAGCTGAAGTAGCGCAAGCTGAACCTCTGTAGTCTCGCACACGGTCTTTCTGAGGATCTGCTCCACTCACGCCGTGTTCTCATCAATGACGAGTGGGACTCGATGATGCAGGAATACGGCATTTGGCCACCGGCCAATTGAAGAAGCTGGAAGGATGGTATGATGTCTATTTCAGTCTCTTTTCTAGCTAGAAGTTTGGAATTCGAGCATGCTCCACTTGCAACTCTAGCCATACTAGGGTGATAATTCATGAGAAACAAATTAGTAAACCGAATCTCCTCCTGTCAAGAGTTATCATCCCAAGTGTTCTGTGTTCGCTGAAGCCCTAACGACCATTATTGTCCAATGCCCCTGTTCGTGTCTGTTGTTCAACCGAACTGTTGATCTCTAAGCTACTTTGGCATCTTCCAGTGAACATTGCAACTGTCTGAATCTTGAAGCCATGAAGTCGTGATTCATGTGCAATTTATACCACGGAATCAGTGAATACTCAGCCTTGCGGAATGAAATATCCCTAGGTTTGGATCAATTGCCTTTGCGGTGACAATCTCCTTAACCTGTTTCAGTGTGTCTCAATTGTTTTGGCCTGAACACTCATATCACGAGACAGTGCACAATCGCGACTGTAGGTCTTTAAAGTCTTTTTCATTGCCAACCCTCATAATTTCATGTAGTCACTAGAAATGGAAGAGTACAGTGGTTTATATATACGCTTCCCTGTCTTCTCTGCAGGTATACTCCAAACTTGCAACCAAACTTGAATTGCAGCTCAACTTTAACATCTCATACCAAAGAAAAGCCAGTACACCCGTACTTGTCTCTCCGGCATTAATCAAGTTGGAAAGTATGTCGTCTTCTCAGAATACCGACAACATGGATCTTAGCAATCCCTCCGCGGAGAACACCTCGCATGAGCATCGTAATGCTGCACAGCTTCTGACGGGCAATTCTGAAATTGCCTTCGGCGAAACCTCAATGTCAGAAGTCTCGGGCGTGGAGGAAATTCGGGACAGCCCAGAGCATGGTTCCGCCATGGAGGCCCCCCTGGCAACAGCATTCGCTCCACGCCTTCGTTCTTCGCCTCCGCGTGCGCAGAACATCCACACCGACACGCCCCCAAATGGTATTAGCTCCGCCGCGCCCGCCTCTTCCGCCGCTGAACCTAGCCAATTAGTCGATCGACGGATTATCGTCGCCGCACAAGATTTCGTGGATCGTGCACTTGGAGAAGAGAATGCCCGTACGCTGCCATCACGTGAGCAATTCCTCAATCCCGAGAGTGCTAACGGTCTACTGTTACTGTCTGATCCCCGCACTGATGTCCGTCCTCAAGACGTCTGCTCAATCTGCCTAGAAAAGATTGAGGACTTGAGTGGCGCTGTAGTCATCATTGCGTGCGGCCATATATACCACCGGCACTGTCTGTATACGTGGTTCGAAAACCCGGCACGTTTCGGAACTTGTCCTATGGATCGTCGACGTCTCTTCGTTATGCCCCGTCGGGACAATCGCCGTGGTCGTCTCGTTGACGGAAGCCATCTGCATGGTCCTGATGGTCTCCTGGTGCTGGGTCGCCGTCGTGAGGAGATTCAAGGCCGCCTGAATCCCGACGATGCGCTGAGAATTGCGGCGGCTTCCCTTGCTCGGATGCATGGGCCGCGTGAGGCACGCCAATTCATCGCTGAGGTGGACCGTCGCCGCCGACAATCTAATGTAAGCCGTCGTCTTGTTATTGAGCCCCGCCTCCGTGCTGATCCAGACTTTCGTCGCGCTGAACAGGACCGATCGGACCGTCTCGAGGCTGTGTTACATGCTCGCGCCGCTGAACTATACCGTGGTCAGTCAAACCACCGTATCGATGAGTTGGGCCGTCGCGTTGACCGTCACTCCGGTACTGAGCAGACTGCTGGCGTAGCTTCAGAATTGCTCTTCCAAGACGAGACTGTCCGAGTCCGTTTACCGCGCCCGTCAGCGTACCGTACCAGCCATGAACCTGAAGGCCCTTAGGCTCAGCTGAACCTTCCGCCGATGATGAGGCCCGGTAATTCGACCTTTAAGAGGGCTGGCGTAGATCTAGTGTTTCTTTCCAGTGCGCCTTCATTGGATTTCGAACTTCATACTCAGTGAACTTGCAATTTTACCTCTGGAGTTGGCAGTATCAGTGTCCGGGCATGGATTTGGCACTGAATCATAGGTGCTTCGTATCATATTGGTGTAAACACTTCGAAGACGTGCATTAGAGCAAAATTTTCTCTCTACTGAAGCGAAGACAAAAACGACTCGTGTTTAAGGTTAAACTTTGGTAAACTTTGATAAGCAATGTGAACAAACGCAAGAAGTATAACAGATGTAAAGAACAGTTGCAGTGCGTCTCAAAGCAGACTTGTATTGCTCGTAAATCCTCGGACTGACGACGTCTCGTACTGTTATCGATTCATATCGATTCATACGATACGTGCTAACCTCAAAAACATAAATTGGCTGACATTTGAAGGCAATAACAAATTCCTGTTCACTAAGCGTCGTCTTCGGGTGCGTACACGTTCCTAGTGTCGCCTTCTGGTGCATACATGTTCCTAGCGTCGAACGGCTCCACGATCTCGCTCGAGCATCCACTTCGTGTTGTGACACCGTCAAAGCGGTCATCCATCCACTGGAGGAAAGAAGGTGCCGAGGCTGCTATCACGGGTGTATGGCCAAGTCCAGGATATAGTTGCAGGTGTACCTCACTGCCCGCTTGGCAAGTCGCATTGTATGCCGATTCCACTACTTGAGGTAGCACATACACGTCCCCAAGACCTTGCACAACGAGAACTGGCTCGTGGCTCTTCTTCACCCCAACAGCCGTTAATTCGTCTATGATTGCAATAATTCATCGGGCCTGCTCGTTCGTGGTATTGGCTGAGAGATTAAAAACCTGGTTGATGTCGAGGTCAGTTGTAAGAGATTCCATTGAAGTGTAGCAAGCCTGCGCCTTCTTGGCGAGCTTCAGACGTTCTCTGAAGGTATGATCCATCCAACTGAACGTCTCGTTTGGGTAGATGTTTTGGAAGCCGATCACTGCGAAACCAACTTCGCCGAGCACACTACGTGATGAGGCTATGTCGGAAGTCGACTTTTGCGTCGATTCTAATGCCACGAGAGCCGTGCTACCCATGAATACACCAGGCGCCTGAGCGACTGTCCCGAGATACCTGCCCGCACTCGAGTTGTTATTTCGTGGTAGGGAGCTCTCAGCAAGCGACCAAACTGTGCCTCCACCCTGGGAGTGACCGACACTCATCCATTCGGTGGACAAGGAGGCACCGAATAGTTTTCGAACAGCAACCACTGAGTAAAACACATCGTTGGCATGAGCGGATAATGCAACATAGGGATGACCAGCTTGATCGTTGCCCAACCCAGCATAGTCAGTCGCGACAACCGCATAGCCCCTCTCAATGAGATACGACCAGCTGCCATACTCGTACAGGCTGGGGATGACAGAGGGTGCGCAGCCTCTGAAGACGCCTGAGGTGCCATGCGCCCACGCGACTGTCCGAAAAAGTTGACCGTTTGTTCTATTGGCGTATGGGAAAGCAATGAAGCCTGTAACCGGGACCGTGTTGCCAAACAGGTCGACTGAAGTGTACTGGAATCGATAGGCGGTCGTGCCTTTGGGTACGCTGCCTGACAACTCGTCAGGAACGATAGGCTGGAACTTCAGGATGTCTCCGGGTGCCGAAGCAGAGAAGTTATTTGCTGTTGCATAGAATTCCTCGTCGTAGAGAGCACCGTACTCCATGGCATCGATGTACAGAATCGCACTGAAGGTTCTGTAGCAGGTCGCATTACAACCATACTCTGCAGCAACATCGGCCGGTATATTGAGGTTGGCAACCTGTGAACCTGTGACGGTTGAAAAGAGAAGCGTGCTGAGGAAGAGCTGAGACCTCATCCTCGAGAGGTAGTGGTTGGTATAATGGAAGATGGAGAATAACCCGCGATAAGAGAGTTCTATATGTTGAAGTAAAAACGTACAGCCGAAAACATGGAAGTTGAGTGTAAAAGTGATGGATTGCTCAGGTGGAAAGTGCCGCCTATGTAGGTGGGCGCGCTCCTACCGTACGTACAATACCTCCTTCCAACAGTATAGCCATACACTGTTCTCTTTATATATGCCACGCAAGACATACTCTTGACGTTATGTTATTTGATTGTCAGACGACGATGGGCCATGTTCTAGAAGTTGCTTGTTACGTATGGGTAGAGGTGGATATCCGCCTATGGTCAGTATCTACACTTAATATGCCTACCATTCGACCACTGACCTTCTTTGCTCGGACTTGACTTGTTGTTGGCGGTACGGGTTTCCATATCCAATATAGCACACATTGCGATGGGATCGAAGTGCGCCGTTTTGAGAGTTCGAAGGATCGATAGGTATAGCACGGCCCTAGCCGCGCTATTCAACGTGATGCCAGACCCCACATAATCCAACCAATGGCGCTTCCGCCCACCGAAAGCAGTTAGGTCAGAAGTCCAATCCACGTCTGCGTCATGTGATCAAGACAGGAACATAAGCCAACACAAGGACGTGCGCATAGCTGGCGATTCAGCCTGCCTATTGAGTATAATGTCATTCGGGGAGGGCACTATAGTACCAGGACGGATCATCTAGCACATTTCCTCTCACGACATGCCAACGCAAAGCAAAGGTCAACGGTCCCGCACCGGCTGCTGGACCTGCCGAAGACGACGAAAGAAATGTGACGAGGCGCGACCATCCTGTGCCAACTGTGCTGCCCTCTCAATACAATGTACAGGGTATGGAGTTCGATTGAGGTGGAGTAGTCCACAACCGTCAAGGTTTGCACCTGAAAGACATGAGCAACAGGACATGTCGTCAAGGCAATCTTTAATGCATGGGGCGCCCCTGTGTGCATACGATACGGATCAAAGTGAGGCGACCCTGCTTTACTACCTAGGGTACGAGGTATACGGCACCCTTGCAGATATTGAGCGAAGTATCATGCATGATTGTGGGAACTTCCATTCCTTCAAGCTTCGGACTGCAGTTGACAAAGACAGTCATCCAACGGGGCGCCGCAACTTTACTGTTCGATTTTGAAGCGGCATCAATAAGATTTTTTGAAATATTCGCGGGTTCAAAAGCTCTCTTGGCAACTTGCCTTGCCTATCAGACCATCCTTGAGACAAAATACTCTGCACTCACTGAGCAGTATTACCAAAAAAGCATTGAGGCATTTAGGCTTGAGGTTTCGGATTCGTTGTCTTTGAGCAGGGAAACAACGGTTTACGCAGGAATAATTCTATGCTCTATTAGTGTACGTTGTAACGTGTGCGCTGTCTTTGAATTTTACTCACGTGAGCAGATGAGTCGGGGGTTTCCATGGATAGTCCACCTCAGGGGTATCGTGTCAATCCTGAAAGAGCAAAGCCTATTGGATGGCCTAGAAGAATCCTCTAAAGACTATATTAGCTTTTTGGGTGCTTTGGATTTACCAACGCACACTATCGGCTGGCAAAATTACAGCTTTGGCATATGGTATGATTACTGTAGGTACCAAAGTGGCATTGATCAGGGTACTGGGCTTCCATGCAGCTTGATCGACCTCTTAAGCGCAATCAACGAACAAGGCGTCGTGCAACGGCTGGCTCATTGGCAGATGGAGGACGGTTTACCAGAACAGCAAAAAGTGTGGGAACTGACTCGCCATGCCGCGATTATCATAGGGCTAGATCTGCATTTCCCCGAAAGAGATTGCGCCGCCGATGTGCGTCGTGTTCTCAACCTCCTACTTGACTCGAGAGCAGATATGGGCAACGACCTCTCTCAGTTAAGAACGGCGTTTTTCTTTCCGCTGGTTGTCGCTGGATCTCAGCCATTTTGTTTAAGCCGCGTTGATAAGCAGTTCATTTTGCAGAGTATCTCAGATCTTGCAGACGGTGCTCTAGAAGATAGTCCTTATTACAATGGAGCTTCTCGACTTCTGCGGGGATTATGGGCGAATCCTCAAAGACGATCGCTACAACAAGTGGCCCAGGACTTAAACATAGAGCAAGGCCTATCCTGATATTCATTACCAACTCCGTTCGGGATAGTGTATCATTATAGATTTAAGCCTGTTCAATTGCATATCTTGTATTAGAGTCTGCCCTACTGTGGCGGAAACCCCTGAATTTTCGTGAGGTCGTGACCATACCACAAAAAGCGCTTTCGAATATGACCAATTTGGGACATTATCAATGTAAACGGTAATAAGAATCATGGACTAGTAAGCCACCAATGTAAGTCATTTTCTACCTAATGAATGGCCAACAATGGCCATCTCTGTTCACTTGCTTCGTGTTGCTGATCAGTTGTATGAGAATGTTTTGATAATAATTGAACCTGAGCGTTATTTTGCTATAGTCGGGTAGAGTGGCTGGTCAGGTCTCACAGATGTGTGGACAGAATGAGAAATACACAATAGAATGTTTTTGTGGTGGAGTCTATTTCTGTCTAGACCCGGTAAAGGTTACGAGTTGGCGACAAACACAACATTGTACCTTAACAATGTTGTCCAGACTCGTGCACAACTCAGCACCTGACTACTATCTTTCACTATGTAGGGACATCCTGCTTTGTGTATTCACTTGATAAGCTTTAGTCGATCAATAAATATCCACTCGTCTCCATCTCAAACAACAACCAAACTTAGGACAAGTTCTAATCGAAGACTCAACACAACTCTACTCACCTAACCTCTACAAAAAACAAACATAGAAATCATGTCATCTTCGGAGAACAACCAGAACATTAATTTTATTGATGGGCTTCGGATCAGCACCTCGGCTGAGGTCATCGATGATCGATATGAAGCACAGGATTCAGCTCGCCCACATGACACTTTGGAAGACATCATGAACTACACGTCTGCAATGGAGCAAGACGAGGACGAGCTGGGCCCCGTCGACACGGAGATTCCAGCAGAGTTTCTCGTTGCTTTCCAGGCTTTTTCTAACCCGCAGCACACCGTTGGCCAAGAGGGTAATCAACGCCTACCCACACGTGCACAGTTCATGAACCCTGAGAACGCCAATGGTCTACTTGCACTTTCCGACCCGCGCACTGAAGCGCGCCCAACCGATGTGTGTGCAATCTGCCATGAGGCTATGGATGAATTGGATAAGGCCGTCGTAGTCGTACCCTGCGGCCACATGTTCGATCGTTCCTGTGTAATGACTTGGCTCGACAACCCTATTACTACTTGTGGAACCTGCCCTCTTTGTCGTCGAAATCTGTTCAAGGACGTGCCATCCCAAGAAGCGTCAATTGAAAACCTCCTCGAGGAAATTGATCGTCTGAGCGAGCGGCGGAACCTGTCTAGTAATGCGGAGGACCGTCGCATGCTCGGTGATTGGATTGAAGACGCTTATGAGGAGCTTGGTCGCCGTGACTATGAGAGCTTTCGTCTTCTCGCAGAGGGGGAGGAGGTTTCGGGCATTTCGAATGGTCCTAATGAAGCTCAGTTGGCTAATTTCATTGCTGAGTGGGTTGATGACGAGGTTCTAGATAGGGCCGGCCCTGAAGCTAGGCTTTTTCGCTATACGATTGAGCATATCGAGCAGTTGAGCCGTCGCCGCGCCGAGCGCACCGGCGGAGCTCCAGATGCTTCTTGAAAGGCTACACGCAGCTGGCGACTAATGTCTGCCTTGCAAAAGAGTAAGAAGCCAGGCGCTGTCTCGGAAGACTTGGCAGAGACGGTCAAGCTCATCTGGTTAGGGACATGCTCGTTTCTTTCACGTCCATGATCTTGAGAAAACCACGAGGCAGCCTGCCTTTTCATTATTTATTCTTCCTTGCTTTTCCTCGACCTTTTTTACATGTCTCAATCTGAACACCATAGAGCCAGAAAATAGAACTCATCCTTGTTTGAAAATCTTTCGTCGTGAATTGGTATAACGTGAAGTCGTGACTGTTGCCGTCATCAGATCCTAAAAATAAAAGGACATACGTCCTCAACCCCACTGAAACCTCTCCTCATCAACCCTCGTCCCCTCCTCCCAGCACCTCTCCACCCACTCCACGCCCACCGGCCTCGCCAGTCCCGTAACCTTCAACCTGCCCTTGGGAACATAATCCGGATTCGGAACAACCAAATGCGTAATCCCATCTTCGTCCTCACTCTTTGCAACATCACCACCTGCAAACCTAATATAATTTCGTGCCAGACTCGCTCTGAAGTTCCACTCAGCGTCATCGCAGCTCTCTGCAAACGCAACTTTCATCTTGCTGAACATGTAGTTCTTCAGATGCGACATCGTATGCGCGTGATCCTCCAGCTGTGCCATGAACTCCTGGTCATCAAAACTCTTTTCTGATTCCTTCGGCATCCCAGCGAGGATGCTCCGCATCTCATCAACATCAAGGATATCCCTCGCATAAGGATCGCCATTGTCATCGAGATTTGCTTCAACCGCCAATTGCTCCGCCTCAAGGAGGTAGAACATATGCCTATTCGGCTCAAAGGGCAGCAAGTATGGGATATCACCGTGATCAACCTCGTTCTGGCGGATGCAGTCGTGTATCCAGATCGGCTTTACAATGTTCGTGATGCCGCGTTTCTCAAGTGAAGATACCTTGACGAGGCGTTTATCCGCTACCACGACAAGGTTCTTTTCTGAAGTGTCGCGCTGTACGATCTTCGCGCCGTGCGCTTTAACCAGTGCTTCAAGCTCTGCCTTGGACTTTTTCATTGGGTGAATCTGGTCCGTCATGATGTAGATCTGCAGACCGTCAAAGAGCTTAGATTCTGGGCCGGCGTACTGCGTGCTTACGGTGTCGTTTCCGGCGACGACGAGTGGCTTTTTTGTGGTCCGCGCTTTCTTCCGACGGCTTTGCTCGATCTTGAAGTCTTTCTCTTTGTCTGCGTGTTCAGTCTCTACTGTGTTCTTAACTTCCCAGAACTCGTCGATGCTCAAGCCCTGGTCCCAGGATTTGTCTGTACGGAGGGCTTTAAACCGTGGGAAACGCAACGTCTGGCCTAGGCGGAATCTGTCGGTTGATTCCACGCTCGCGGCTTTGCATTCTAGCACTACTGAGTCGGCAGGATGGATCCATTGATCCGGTCTTTCGTGCTGACGATTCTCTGCGTGGCCGCCCAGCTCGATGATTGACGGAGGCCGACGCTGGTCCCAGTCCTTCCACTTCCCCTCGGTGCGTCCGCGAATGGAGGCATAATCTTCTCTGGTGAAGCCACCACCAACTTTGAAGAACGAAATGCACTTCCCGTAGTCCGAATCGCCTTCCTTTGCTTTCTTGTTCACGATCAATCCGCATAAGAAGGACGAGTGGGCGCCACCGCGGTGCCCGGAGCCGAAGTAACCGCCTATGACAACGCAATCTATCATCTCGCCAAACTCGGACATGTACTCCGGCTTTACTTTGACCCAGTCGTCGTTTCGCTCGTTGAGCTTGTACATTGAACGTGGATTTTTGAGAACGAGACCCTCGGATGCGTTTTCAACTACGCGACGGAGTTCGGGTTCGACTTCGGTGGGAGAATGTGCTTCGTGGTACGGATGTATCTCAATGCGTCGCGGGACGCCCTTCACTGCACCTTCAAGTGCCGCTCTTCTGTCACGAAGGGTATAAGGCGTAAGCAGTGTATCATTAAGATACAAGCAGTCAAAAACCCTGAAGAGTGGCCGTTGTCCGGTATTAGAACCAGTGGTATTCTCCTTCTCGGATATAGCTGCGGTTTTGAGTGTGCCGAAGCCGACGATGTGATCGGTTTCCATGTCCCAGGTGATCATTTCGCCGTCTAGAATGATGTTCCGGATGTTCTTGTGGAAAGCATCTTTGATGAAGCGGGTAAGAGCCCCGGCTTCGTCGCCAGTGAAATGCTTTCCGTAGAGGTAGGCATAGTCTTTGGCTTTGCGAGACCAGAATCCGAAGACTGTCCCGCCTGGTGCTGAGGAGTCCTCCAGCATGTGGAGCTGCATCCGCTCACCGTCGAGCTTCTCTTCGATCCAGAAGGAGTCGTCCTCGGGCGTGGGTTTGAGCTTCGACACAATCTTGTCGAACGAACCAACTTTGGGCTGGAAAGCGGCGAGCTGTGGTTGAAAGCATTGCATGAGCGTGATACCTGTGTCGTCCCCATCTAACCGCACTTCCGGATCGTACAATTCCCAGCATACTCGCCGGAGGTTGGATGAGATGTTGAAAAGAGCTTCGGCATCAGGGTGCCATATATCTAAGATGGTCTTCTCAGTTGCTCCGATCTTCATTTGTCTTAGGATGATCCGGATCAGCCAAGTCATCTCTTCGGGGTTCATGCGCCGATAGAACCGCTCAAAGATCTTGATCTGCTCTTTCTCCCCTCCTACTTGCGACAGCCGATCGAGCGTGTTGTTCACTTCGGCAATGCTCATGTTACCCACTTCCGACCGCAAAGGTCGCTTCGACAACACTTCGTAGCAACGTCCTGCGAAGTCTCCCGCTGTTGATGCTGACGCCTTGTGCAGCTGGCCAGGTAACTTCCAGTTGACCATTTGCTTAGCATCATCAGAGTCTTTGTTGATCTTGGTGACCTGTATCAAGATCTTTGCAATGGCCTTCTCTTTCAGTCCGTACATTGCGCGATCACGGTCTTTCTCCGGGATCATCAGCCGCATGGCCGGGTAAAAGTCGTTGCCAACTTCCTTGCGCCATTGCGCGATGTACCTCTCGATGATGTTGCGCTTGGCCTCGTGCGGCGACAGGTTTGAATGTCCAGAAGGGCCAACCTTCCTGCGCGGACCTGCCGGTCTACTCTTCTTGACAGTGTCCAATAGCGGGTCAAATAGCTCGTTGAAAAGCGTATGGAATGGCAGCGTTTTATGGAGGTTGGCAGGCCGATTAGGGTACTTTGAATCTAGGTCGTCATCGCCGCCATACATGAGCGTCTGCTCCTTGGCGGCGTCAGCATCCGGCATTGGTGTATCCTCAGCCATGATGAGTACATCGGTGTAGAAGGTGGATAGCCTTGAGCGCGCGATATTTGTTGGTGTGCCGCGCCGCGCAGGCAACAACGCGCCTGCGGCTCACGTCATCACGTGAAAGCTAATTGATCGGGGGTCCGATTATTGGCCTGAAACGTCAGGCATCATGCTCGGCGCTGGCTGTGCATTGTCTGTGTTCCAACGTTGAGTCTCCACGCTTACTTTGCCTCAGTCTCTCGTTCAAATCTGCATTGTTCTGCTTCCTGGAGCTCGTGCTACCCACATGCACGTTGCAGGACCCTTAACTATTAGCTCCGCCGCATCTGTTGTTCGTCTCCATCCAATGGGCACTCGATGAGCTCAGCCAGCGCCCGCAACACTCCTCTTGTCCCGCAAGGTACCGGCGACACGCAATACAATGTCCGCGATGCAGCCCTACGTGGCGCGTCATCGGCCTTCTCGAAGCCGCCCGTAAAGCCAAAACCCCTCGTAAACACGTACACAGGCGGGGGCAATGGGGCTCTCCTCGCAGCTACCAAAGTAGGCACAGGTGGAACGCCGCGGAACACGACGCCTTCGGGCACTACGACACCGTTGAGGAGGGACTGGACGGGCGGGAGTACAAGGAGTACTGCTAGACCCTATGCCTCGCCCAGGCAACCGCTGAGTATGTTGTGGCTTTTCGGCAGTGTTTCAACTGCATTGGACAATACCTTGCTGGGCCTCACTGACCGTGACAATAGGCAAATCCAGCAGTTCCAGTACTCTGGCAGTCCCTGAAGAGACTCCCTTCGAACTCGTGCCGTCTCCCTCGAACATAGCCGCGAAGCTGGCCGCCGCGCGATACAGTCCAATGAAACCCATCCCTCAACGACCGTTAACACCCATCATGACCGACCGTGAAGCGAATGGGCGGGATGCGCTACCCCCGCTCGGGGGCGTAGGGAATGTGCTGGCGAGGCTGGATTCGAGACAGCAAAACGTACCCAAAGTGAGGAGAGACGAGGCTACGATCGATCCAATTGCTATTGCACGAGCAAAGCACGCAGGCTTAGACAGACCCACTGATGACTCGCCGATTCCACCGACAAGCTCGTTGGTGAACATGTTCGAGAAAAACCGGCAGGTCTCTCAGAGGTCGTCAACTCCTGTAAAATCACCCAAGCCTCAGCGCGCTTTCAGGTTACCGCCTGAACCGAAGGATGGCGAACCTCTGGAGAGACAACGGACCAAGACACCGCCTGCTGTGAAACCGAAGCCAAAGCCGTTGTCTGATCTGCCGCATTCCACTGACGGGGTCGTCGAGAATACAAACTTCAAGAATATGCGGAAAGACACTTTTGGTTCACTTCCTTTAATGCAGCAAAATCCAGAGACAGTAGCCGACAAATCAACGAAGGTCGTCCGCCCTAGGCCACCACCAAAGACCCTTTCTCCACATGCCCATTCAAGGTTTGAGGACATGGCAGGACCTGTCTCAAATCATAGCAGAAGACTGTCTTCGTCTTTGAGCCACCACGAGAGTCCCTCATCTCCGTCTTCTTTCGTATCTGCTCGGGAAACCCAGGAAGAGAAATTCAAGCCCAAGCCGACCTTACCGCCACCACGACGCTCGGCAAGGCCACCGCAGGAGATAAAACGACCGAGCACTGCTACGCCACTGTCTATTCCTTCGCCTACACGCGCTCGTGCTTCATCGAAACCTACTGCTCCGATTCCTCCACCCACACAGACTACCCCTCCTAGAAGAGCTTCAGTATCTGGAGCATCCACCCCGACCGGCACGTTCTACCACTCGAACTATCAACGCGAGTCCGCAAGATCCATCACGAAGCATATGACAGGCGAAAGTCTCTCCAGTGCCATCATGGGAGCCGCTTTGGCTTCTTCTAGAAATGCCTCACCAGCCCCCCGACCCTCCTCTATGCACCTTTCCGGAAGTCCTTCGCTGACCGCGACACCGCCGCTGCCAGTACGCAAACATCATCACTTCAGTCATTCACCCTTTGGCCGCTCTCCATCACCACCGAAACCTAAGCCGCCACCGAGCCGCAAGCTGAGAACAACAATGCGAGAAGATCCGTCCTCATCATCGGATGAAGAAGAAAGCGAAAGATACAAGCGCAAGGGCACGCGAATCATGGGAATGGGCCGCAAGCACCCAAACAAACATCACGAGGGCACTCGCAAACGCTGGCGCGATCAAATCACCGAGCGTGAACGCAAGCGTTACGAGGGCGTTTGGGCAGCCAACAAAGGTCTCTTCATCACCACGTCGCCTTCGCCGGCAGGATCTCGCGCCTCATCTCGCGCTCCTCATGCTAGTTCAGAGGAGGATCCATCACTTGACGTGCTAAATCTGGTTGTTAAAGACATCTGGAGCAGAAGTCGCCTTCCTGAGCACGTCCTCGAAGAGGTGTGGGACTTGGTGGATAGTAGGGCCATTGGAAGGCTAAAGAGGGAAGAGTTTGTGGTGGGCATGTGGCTGATCGATCAGAGACTGAAGGGGAGAAAACTCCCTATCAAGGTCAGTGACAGCGTATGGCAAAGTGTGAGGGGCACGGGCGTGAAGGTGAAAGTTGGCGACCGACATTCTCACAAGGTGCACAAACCGCACGTGAAGAACCCGTTGGACGTCAAGGAAATCGTGCGATGATTGTGGTAATCGAATATCGGTGTAGGTTTTCTTTTGTCTAAGACGATATACCCATAATTCTTGGTTTCAATAATAGAGTTCTGTCTCTGAATATAGAGTTCGGCGCTGGAAATCTACAAGATGCTTTACAGCTGCCCATCCTATTCCCTCCTGATACACTGCACCGTAGGATCTTACACTCTCCCCTTGTCCACAATCGACCTTTTGCTTCGCGGTGACACAGATAGCTTGTGTCCCGTATGCTACGTTTTACAGTCTCCCTTGACCCACCTCTTACAAATACACATCATCGCCGCGTCACAGCAGCCTCGAAGTGCGCATGAACTCCTGTGTTGTCTTTTTTCCTCTACCAGCCTCACCGTGCAACAACAGGCTCATACTCCCCATCACGCGCATCCCTCAACCCTTCTTCCCCACCCAAGACCTTCCAAGCACTCGGCGGCCACACAACCGCCAACACCTTTCCCCTCACCAGATTCAGCGGCACAGCTCCAAATACCCTACTATCCCTACTCCACTCCAGATTATCGCCCGCAAGCCAACAATGCCCCTCCGGCACTCGCACGACCTCCTCCTTCACGTTCGCCCAGTCGCCCTCTTCATCGCTCTTCTCTAGGTCCTCGTTGCCTCTGCCGGAACTTATTATAGAGACGAAATCGCCCGGCATGCCGACCACGCGCTTGCACCCTATGGTGGAGGTTTTCGCGGGCGTGACGTAGGTTACTACGTCGCCGACGGTGATGTTGCGACCGCGGCGGTGGAGGTGTGAGGTTAGGATGTACGGGGTGGAGATGTAGGAGTGCGGGATCGTGGGGATCATGGAGATGCCATGGGTGGGACCTATGGTGCCGATGTAGGTCGTGAAGATGTGGAATACGAGAAAGAATTTGGCGGCTGATTTGAGTGTTTGGAGGTACCATGTTGTTGTGCGGAGGGGGTTTGGAAGGGCGCTGGAGTGGTAGAGGCGAAGGCGGGAGAGGAGCGTGGTGAGTTTATGCGGTCGCTGGGGGTTTGTTCGTTGGGTGAAGAAGGTGGCGTGAGGTCGAGGAGTTTTTGAGCGGAAGAGGAGCGCGGAGAGCGGTCGTATTCGTGGGGGAGGCATTGTGTGGCTTGCAGTTGTTGTTGCGGTCAATTGATTGTGAGAGATGAATTGGAGAGCTTCGAGCTTGAGCTCGGAGCGCCAAGTTTCTTAACTCCGCGAAGGTCGCATTTCGCAAGACATCCCCGCATCAACACTGAATCACAACTATGACAGAACCCCAAATACTTGGGCTGAGAAGCCCGGAGCAGGCCACCCCGAGGTAGAGCATCTCCTAGTCAATCTTATGTTTATACCCTCGCTGAATCTATACCGTAGACCTGCTCCAATTGGCTTTGAAGGCGAAGGGACTCTCCACGATGCTGTAAGAGGTGCTTTCCATTTCCTCATGCACACTATCTACTCTTTTTCCATCCATTTCCAATTGCCATGATGTTTTTGCTGATATGTATCAGACCTGATAAACACATACCACGACCTAAACCCCACCACAATCGATGAACTCCAAGAAGAACCGTCACCCCTCGACTTCATGCGCTACGTCGCTCGCAACCGCCCCTTCGTCGTCCGAAAGGCCGCCTCCTCTTGGCCCTCCCACAAGAAATGGAATGCCGCCTACCTAGAAAGCGTCATACGCTCCTCCCCCGTCAACGTCGCAATCACACCCCACGGAAACGCAGACTCCATCCTGCACCTCCCAGACTCCAGCGCCCTCTTCGTAAAGCCATTCGAGACCACTCTCCCATTCTCTATCGCGCAGTCGAACATCCGTGCCCAGGGAGTTGACGACACGTGGAATGACTCGACATATTATCTGCAGACGCAGAACGACAATCTGAGAGGGGAGTATGCAACATTATTCAAGGACGTACCAGCGAGCATACCCTGGGCTCGCATAGCCCTCGATCAAGACCCCGACGCTATAAATTTCTGGCTCGGCAACAGCGCGAGCACGACTGCGCTGCACAAAGATAACTACGAGAATGTATACGTACAAGTGCTCGGCAAGAAGCATTTTGTGCTGTTGCCGCCAGTGGAGGCGCCGTGTGTCAACGAGAAGGCAGTCCTGGCTGCGACGTATGGGAACGATGGGCCGCCGGACTCGACTTTACATTTGAAAAAGGATATGGTTGTGAAGATCGATGGAGCGGAAGAAGGAGAGGAGGGGCAGTATGTCCCCTTTGCAACGTGGGATCCAGATAGACCTGAAGAACACACGACGCCGTTCTCAAGGTATTCGCAAGCGCTGAGGGTGACGCTTGAAGAGGGGGATATGCTGTATTTGCCGGCGCTGTGGTATCATAAAGTGGGTCAAAGCTGTAATGCTGAAGGGCTGTGCTGCGCTGTGAATTATTGGTATGATTTAGACTTTAGCGGTGGTTTCTGGGCAACTAGCTCGTTCGTGCGCGGCGTGGGGTTGATTGAGCAGCAGGGACGAAGGGGGAATGCGTAGAGACAACGGGAGCGGTGCGATGTGATACCAAAGCCCGTGAAACCTGTTCCTCGCTACCAGATGTTTGGATGAGAGATCTATCCACAGATAGGAAAGGAACATATGGGTACGGGCTATCATTTCTATCAACCAAAGTCCCATCCTCACATCGCAAGCCTACATAACTAAGCCTCCACACATATCAACCCATACCCCCTCTCTGCATTTCAAAACCCCGGCTTTCACTCCCCCAGCCGCACCCACTTATGCTCCAACGCCTCCGCCCTCCCTATCTCACTCAAGAGTCTCATCTTCAAACTACCCATGAGATGCAAGGAACCAGGCCTTTCCTCCTTTACAAATTGTATCTCTCGAATCAGACCCGTACCATCGTTTCTCGTGCAGATGTGCTGTTGAGCAGTCCAACCCGTGGCTGTCACGATCTTGTCTGCAATGGCTTGATGTGTTCCTCCTATCTGTGATGCAGCGAGGATGCAGCCGGGCCTATTATTGATGCTGATAGAGGAGGAGGGGTTGTAGCGGTAGCACGGGTGGAAGGTTATGATAGCTTTCAATTCTGTGCTGCCAGGGATAGGTGCTTGAGGGGGGTTGGGGGCTTTCTCGGGGTGATGGTCAGAGCGTTTGCCTGGATGAGGTCTTGTTGGTGAATCCATTTTGTATAGAACACAAGTGGACAGATGTGACAGGATATTGTTGTACTCTTGGGCTTTGCCAACTTCTTGGGGAAGCTGAGAAATATATAGCTCTCGAAGGCGGTGTTTGCTTTGGTCAAGTCAGTAGGATAGTTATTATGGCTGTGCACAAAGACATGACGAACAAGCGAGTGATGTTTGCAATGGCAATGATAGCCAAACATAGCCATATTAAGAAAGAGAGACAAGACACATTGGCACATAAGACGAATACGTTAAGCAGATGAATTGCATTTCAGCGCTGTGCAAATGGTATCTCTATTTGGAATATGAACAGTGACTGAAGAAGTAGTGCATGCCACTTCTGCAACGAGTTTATCGTCATTACATTCATCATTAACCCTCTAATACCATACCTCTAGCAGTCGAGGTTGATGGCATTCGCATACAGAGCGTATGAATCGGCGTTGTTCAACGCATCGGTTGTAGAAAGCGCTGAAGCAGCAGCAAATCCATAGCCAAGATCATCGGTTCCAGGGCTGTACACGCCATCGGCATGGGTCTCCTCGTGGAGCACAGTGGTGGCCTGGTCCTGTCCGTGGCAGGTGCTGGAGACCGCAGGAAGTGCGCTGAAGAAGATGTCGCAGTAAGTGATGAAATTCTGCGTGGGGACGGTGTAGGCCAGCACGTTTGAAGAGCAGCCATTGTACGGATCGTTGCAGTTGGTGGAGGTGGTAGAGCTAGTGCTGCCACAGTCGCTTGCAACAGCCGTCAAGCGGTCATGAACTTCGGTCTTGGTGCTGGACGAGGTCGACTTAAAGTAGGTGTCGAGCTTGGTGCCCGCGGACGCAGCAGACGCTGCGGCGGAAGCTTGGCTCGCGCAGTTCGAGAGAGCGGTGTTGATGGCGGTGAGCTTGGTGCCGGTGCAGCTGGAACCGACGGTAGTGCGCTTGGTGATCGCCTTTGCGACAGTGGCAGCGACGGCGCCGTCGACGCTCATGGTGAGCTTATTAGACTCGTAGTTGAGGTTTCCAGCGAGCTCAGTGGAGTTGGCCTCAGCGTAGGGTAGGAGACCCTTGGCGAAGACATCAAAGTCACCGCCATCATTCAGGGTGTGGAGAGCGGCGGTCTCGACGGTGACCTCCTTCGTCTGACCAGCTCCGATGGTGAGGAAGTCATCGGAAGATAGGCCACTAGTGAGAAGGCGTATTTTGATACCCTCAAAAGGGACCTTGGTGCCTAGTACATTGGTAAGTACATTTCATATAGACGAAGTCAAGTCAAATCGAGCCTAGAATCACGAGGCTTGAGGCAACCGACGTTCGAAAGCCTCGTGCCTGTGGTCCGAGACGTGCATATGCTGTGTCGCTCATGCATCCATGTCTCGTATCACGTCACCGACTCCCAGCTGCATTTGCATCTCAGGGTCTAAGGGCGAACTTACTGCCACTGTTCGAGTAAACGCTGACCCTCTCAACGGGATTGCTCTCATCCAAGAAAGTTCCCTTGCTCAGCAAGTTGAGCGTCTTGTTGCCATTGTTCGTGACGGCCACCTTGACCTCAGTGTTACCTAATTTCGAAAGTGAAACGCTCAAAGGCGACTCGCGCTTGTTGAGGTTAACAGAGACAGCGCTAACGGAGGCTGCCAGAGCCGCAAGAGTGAACTGAGTGAAACCCTTCATGGTGGAAGAAGAAGCAGTGAAGACAAGAAAACGAATGTGAATGAACAAAGGCGCCGTAGAAGCTGATGAACGAGAGGATGGACTATCACTGCCTGAGGAAGAAGCATGACTTTATACGAACCGTGTCTGTGCCTGCTAAAGGGATTGACCGACCAGATGGTGGCCCGTCTCCAGGATTACCATGCAGTGAACGAACCGAACTATGGAACATTGTTAATCTAGGCTTCGCGGCAGCATGCTAGTTAGCAGGGACCTTGGTGTTTCCAAGTGACCAGCCGTAGACTGTGGGGCGTTTCATGCGGCTTGTTTCCAAGCGGATGACAAGAGCTGGATGTAACGTTCGTAGTAGGATTCTGTACAGCGAAAGACTTCCCCCACAGGCTCTGTGCTGCATCGAGAACCCGACGATCACCGAGAAAGTAAATTACATGTGCCAGAATACGCTTGGCACAAGGTGATGTTAAGGCTTACCGCGCGCTGATAGGCTCAGGCGTACTGTTTCTAGCCGGTGTTTCACAGGGATCTGACTTCTTGTCGACCGTCGTGGCTCTCGTCAGTTCGGCATCAAAAGAATACCAGCTTGTTTTCATGCTAAAGAAATGTTCACGTATCTTTGTTACGCAAGACAATTTAGGAGCTACTTGCCGTTTATGGCTGCAGAAATGTGCCTTAGCATGCTTGCAAGCTGTTGTGAAGAATTGAAAATGCAGCTCTCCGTGATCGTGTCTCCACTATTGAATTCCCTGTCGAGAATGTTGTTGCTAGTTCAAAGCCTCGAATTGTATTGTAACCAGAGTGTCCAGAACACGGGACATAACGAGATTCACTTGATTGCGATGCTGGGAGGTTGAAATGTGCGGAGTATTTCCTCGGGAGGAGCGCGGGACTCCAACCGTTTTGAGGCAAGCGGCGGGTGTAGCGCAGCCAGGCTGCGAGATGGCAGTGACACGTGTGGGGGGCTTCGGGGGCCGCGCCCTCTTCCTCGTTCGCCAGCCACGATGTCTCTGCTTGATGAGACGGCGTGTTTCGTTTGTATGGCGCGGGCGATGCATGAATGTCTCCTGCTCATTTCGGCGTTAATCTACCTTAGCGCCAAAATCGACATAGCCGTTTTGAGATCTCAACCCCTCTTCCCCGCCGATAGACGAGCGCAACGTGACCTGCCGCCTGCACATTGGCCACGTCTTTATGAAGCCTTTTGGCAGCATGACAAGGTCGATGGCAATGAGGCAAAAAAGCATCCCTGTGCAATGCGGACATGTGTCCTCGCCAGGCAGCTGTTTCTTACCCATAGGTTTCAACGTCATCGTCTGCAAAGCATTGCTCATTGCTAACCGCCAGGCCAACTGACATCTGCTCTGATACACTTCCTGACTTCCTGATCATTCAATCTCGCCCTCCTGCCCCTCGCAGCCTAGCGATCCCCGCAGCGGCAGATCGTTGATACGCGCCGTCCCTCGAAAGCTTGACTGCAGTCCACACTAGAGATCTCACGAACCCACTTCGCATCTCTCAATGAACGGACGAACCGCTCTGATCGCCGTTTCTGCAGCCACTCTCCTCGGCGCTATCTACTACTTCAACGGCTCCTCTTCATCTTCCTTCAGCATGGCCGGCTCTGATACTGCCGAGGAAGGAGTTCCAGGACTCGAATTCAAGCTCTCGCAGATATCGAGGAATCCCCCTTCGCTACTTGTCACGCTCAAAAACAACAACCCTTCCACCCCACTCACGCTCTTGAAATGGAACACACCAATGGATCCATCAGCTGCCAACTTAGGCCTTTTCAAACTCATCGATGAAGAGACTGGAAACGAGATTCCTACCGATGGTCTGAAGGTCAATCGAAAGATGCCACCCAGTGAGGAGGATCTGGTGACAGTTGCGCCAGGGACCGAGGAGGCACACGAGGTTGTCATGAACAAGCCATGGTTGCCTGAGAAAAAGCCCGCCACGTACAAGGTGTCAATGTCAGGAAAATTCTTCGCCGTGTGGGACAAGTACGGGGGTGACTTGCAGACGAGTGACCTGGAAGCCTACTCAGACTCTCCGTTTCACGGCAGGCACTTTTCGAGCAATGAGGTCGATATGAGAGTGGAGTGAAGCTTTATATCTCATCAGAATGTGGATTTACGAATGACCAACTTTTGAATGTGAATTTTAGCCATGTGCTGCTTTGGAGTGTGGGTGTGTTCGTGTGCTGTGTCATTGGCCTCGTCATCTTCTGCTCTCCCGGGTACATGCAGGTACTTCATTTCCGCAAATCAACTATTTCCGGAGTTTTAAAAGCCTGTGTCGTTCCATCACGCCGAAGGAACTCTAGTCGACTTTGCCAAAGGCACAGGATCATAGGCAATTCGAAAGTCAGTCGTCCTTTGATGCAATCTTAAGGAATCGAAGATAATACCATATGGCGTTCATCACGATGAGTAGCTGGGCCGATTGCAAGAGCAACTTGTGTACAAGCCACAAGTTTTGACGTGAAATGTTGCGGGAGTATAGTTATATCAGGCTTTGTGACACTGTAGATGTGTTCATGGGTCCGGGTCGACTAAGAGATCAGAATTGTTGCTATCTTGCTCTGTGTAAAGCAACGTGGTGGACTCATACGTAGATGGATGGTTCAGATAAGTCATCCATATCAATACCAGATTCCCGATCGATCACGGATGAACCCCCCCCCCTGTGAGCGTTGAAGATGCTGGGCTCGATGACGGCTCTATGTATATGTACGATATGTATGGCGTGGCAGCTAGTGACGAAAGTATCAACGAGGAATCATCATCGAGGCCGGCCGATCGTGCGGGAACAGCGTCACCAATCTTGTCCAAGACTGACTATGTGAAGCAATGGCAAGATTCGACGGTTGCTAGTCAGAGTCCGTTAGAACACACACAAATCGGTGGCTTCTACCAAGATACGGTGAGGCTCTACTCTACAATCCTGTCGGCGATGCCAGAACAGAAATCTTCTGGCAACAAGGGGAAGATCCTGCTTGAGCGCGATTATCATTTGCTGAAAGAGTGGGGGTCCGCTTATACGGTCAGTGATAACCACTTAGATCATCTGGGAACGGAGGCATATGAGATGACTGAGACTATTATGACATTCTTGGTGGAAATTTGCTCGATACTCGTGAAAAGTAATTGCCCGACAATCCTGAATGTCTGATATCCAGACACTAATCTTACACTTAGGAATCTCTGTAATAAACGGTGAATGGAGCTCAAAGCAGACGGTATATCGCATAGCATGGAACAGCAGGTCCGGAGTCTCCTGATACTCGTGCAGGAGCTTAGTGCGACCGATAACCAAAGCGAGACAAGCGAATACAGTCACAGCAGTAGCAGCTCGGCCAGCGATACTTTGGAACAATGCGCCGAGGACCTCCACGAGTATGTGCAGCTTCTAAACGAGCTGCATCCATCAATCGAGACGCTTTTACAATTATCGGAAGAAGTTCCGCGTCAGCCAGAACCAGATCAAGCGGAGCCAACAGCGCCAATGATCTTCTCCGACATCATCCAATCCAAGTTCAAGAAAGCGCCTGGCACCTTAGTGGAGACCTTAGGTCGGCTGAACTTTGAGCGATCCAATAGAATGGCCGCAGCTCGCGAGTCCAACCTTGCAGCTACTGAAGAGTCCTCAGATATGGTCGATCAAGGCGAGAAGTCAACAGCATTCCACGACTCGGGATTGGGAACGTCCGTGCCATCAAATATTGTTCCTTCAGTCGTTGCGCCTTCCATAGCCTTCACTTTAGCGGGGAAAAGCCGGTCCAGGCTACCACCACTGCCTCGGAATGCCCGATATAGCTCTTTTCAATGTAGTTTCTGTGGGAAGACCGTCACCTTTGATAACAGACGTGATTGGCAGTAAGTAGTGCTCTTGATTCCGGTCTTTACGTTCTACGTTTGACTCTACCTTAGGCAACATTTACTACAAGATTTACAGCCCTACTCCTGTCTCGAGCTTGCTTGCCCCCATATTGCTGTGGCCTTTACCTTCCGTAAGGATTGGGTGAAACACCTGGAAACAGAGCATGGAATTGATGACCATTCATCACCACGTTTTTGTCAGCTATGTCACAGCAACACTGGGAGCGGAAAGGTGGAAATATGCAAGCATTACGCCGATCATCTCGAAGAAATCGCTATAGCAGCATCGCCTCTCGAAGTTGCGGATGAAGGGAATACTGACGAAAGCTCTGGTTATGGTGATTGGCAATTTCCTACCGAGGGGTGGCTTCAACCGACGAGGTTAAGCGATGTTGCGGAAGAAGAGTAGCGGTATGGTGAACCCTTGTAGAATGGCTCAGGTAAGCCACGAGTGGGCTATAGGATGTAGTACGTTGGACGAGGAACATACTTTGACCATCGACTGCACCATCTGCGGCGGTTTAGCGCCTCTAGTATACCCATGTGAATCAGAAAAGCTCGGCCTTGTGGTCTGACGAGGCGAAGTGCAGTCGTAGATGGACCCAATCCACGTTAGAATGCGCAACTTAACAGCACTTGAGTACATACCGATGGTGATAGCTGCGCTGTATGCTGTCTTGGGCTATACTTAGAGCTGCATGTGCTTGAATATATTCAGCCATCTGTGAAGCATGACAAGCATTTGAGAGACTTCATTACCCAGCAATACGAGGATACATACAAACTGTGACGAACACATGCGAAAAAAAATTATAAATTGATGCGCAAAAATGTGAGGCCGTCCCAATCAAGGTCGGAGAGGCATACGAGCGAATTGGGGAGGTCATGGATGCTGCTTGGTTGTTCAGATGTTCCGAAATATTGGGTGGCTTTTACAGTAAAATTAAGATGAATATACCAACTGGACTTGATTCAAGGTTGCAGAACACTGCCGTTGAGCGTGCTCTAGCGGTTATAGACTTGAACCAGAGTAGCAAGGACAAAGGTGGAGCGACCCAACAACATGTCGCTATAACGATGGAAGAAATATTTCAGTAATGTCTTCCTACACAAGCGTCCCGTGATAAAGTCGACACTACTGTGTTCGGCTGAGTGAGATCACGACGGTGTTCCGATCTTACAGAGGCACACAACGTCAGAACTGGCGGCCTTTTATCTAAGATCATAGAAACCTGCCGCTTTAAGGCTTCCAGTGAGGACTAAAAATCAGAAAAGTTGCACCCTTCGTGACAGCACTCATTGGTGCAGAACCACTGCTTTCCACAAGAGCCTCTACGAAAGCAGCAGCTCAGTTTCCCATAACATCACGATCACGCAGACAACTGAAACGACAGAAGTGAAGTGTACCGAACGAATTAATACTAATGCGCTCTCATTGATTCATACAGTCATGAGCATTTCACAACAAGAAACTTTCGCACAGAAACCCTCGCAACAACAGACAAGACACCAGATAGTAGCCCGAGACGCCTTATAAATCCCCCATATACACCGAGCTGAGAGAGAAACGCCCAAGATATAGCAGGCCGAACATTGACATTAACTGACAGACGAGCAGGAGTGACGGGAGAAGTAGACTTCGTGACGGTGACGGAAATGCGAGACCAGAACGCCGTTTGTGTTATGCCATGCCAGGACACCGAGATGATGCATACGCACATGCATGCCATGCTTTCAAATGCGAACAAGAATTGAAGGATCGACTACGCAGGTTTCGCGCTCAGGGTTCGGGACACGGATCCGCCGACGCTGCCTACTCGGCCGCTGGTTTTCCTGACGCCGCTCTTGTTCTCAGCGCTGCGCCGTGACGGACTGGCACGGACCTTGCTAACGCTGATGCTGCCATGACCGTTTCCGCTCTTTTCCCGTGATGGTGTCTTGGGGTGAGCTCCTGCTGGTGCAGTGTTCTCGGCGTCGCTTTCCCCGTACGATGTCCACGTCGAGGTCGTCGTCGTTTTGGTGGTCGTCATGCTGACAGCTCGACGGTCGCGGTCTTTCGCGACGGGAGATCGCGGTGTTGTCCTGCGAGCTATTTGGCGGAGATGGAACTCCTCATCCGACTCGCCGTCTAGTCGCCTGATCTCGGTGATGCGCTCAGACCTACTGAAAGGCTCGTTTTCATGATTTCGAATTGGCGACCTTCCAGTACCGCCACCGTACAGCTTGCTAGTCTTTCGTGGTTGACCTGGGGTAGGCGCGGGGAGGTTATCTTCTTGCACGCCTATTGAGGCGCCGTGATTGCTGCGCTCATTCGACTCGAGCTCGCCAAGAGCAGCGCGCTTCTGCGAGCCGTTAGGAGGAGTGAATGTCTGACCGTTGCTAGCTAGTCGTTGCTTATGCGGTGACCTTGTTGGCGTCGCAGGAATCTTCTCCGCATATTTCGCCTTCATTGTGTCCTCGTACCACCACTCCCGGAATGTGGACTGGTTGAGGTGCAGCCAATGCTGCTGAGGACCGACTACCATTCCAGGTCGCATGAAACGCATGTACGCAATGATCTCGTTGGCAGTGAATGCGTGCTTGTAGATCAGGTATGCGCCGATGAGGCAGCCTGTGCGCCCGAGACCGGCTTTGCAGTGCACAGCAATGCCCTTCTTCTTCACCGTAATCATCTCGTGTGCCAGATCAATGAACTGCCTGACCAATGAAAGCGGAGGGCATGTGCCATCGTCGAAGATCATGTTCAGGTGCTGAATCCCCAGCTTGGTGAAATAGGTCGATGAATACAGCTCCGAGTTCAGTCGCACAACGAGACCGATATTTCTGGCGGAGAAGTGCGACAAAACATTCTTGAACGGCGTAGGCAAGCCGGATCGCTGGACTTCGGCAATGGTGGATGGCAGGGTAGAGTACATTGGTGATGTTGTGGGGATCTCATGTGTTGGCTGAACGTTGGGCGATGCGAAGGCCAGGAAGTTGGGTGTGACCCAGTTGAAGTCGCCCATATCGACTCGTTCGTACTTCTCGTATCTGGACCGATTAGTCGTGGTTTCGACAAGCGACAAGTTGAACATACTCTTCGAGGCTGAAGTCTTTGAGCCCGCAAAGTCCCTCCTCCTTTGCTTTCCAAACACCATAAATGATGTCCTGGATGTTCAGCACATAATCGGCCTGGCTGTAGCCTGCGTCACGGAATGGCATGCATGGCGGGTCCATTTGCGCAATAGGCGCCAGGGCCAGATGTGGTGGCCATGACTGGATCAACACCATGTAGCAAGCCAAAATGCACGCCGCGTTCGCTCGACCTGTCTCCTTGTCAACATTGACTCACGAATACACGGTGGCGCACGTACTTCTCGAGTCGGCGCTACTCCAAAAGATCACCGCACGGTCCTCGTTCGCAGGGTCTCCCAACACTTCGTGCAGCTGAACGGCGAACCGATATAGATGACCAATGTGCAATGGACCGAAATCCGCGTGGAAGGCATTGTACAAAAGGCTCTTGTCGATGGTAAAGTATACAGGCGGGTTTACATGCTTGGTCGCGGCGGTAGGACCGGATTGCGCTTTGGCTGAACGCTTCGACGGCGACTGGCTGGACCGCTCCAGGTACTTGAAGGGCGTATCGGCGTTGGGAGGGTTGGTGAACGAGGCCAAATAGAGTCGGTCTACAGAAACAGTGAGAACCAGAATCGCACTTGTGTTGTTGTTGAGACGAACCTTGGATGTACTCAATGACCTGACCATAGGCTGTTCCGGCGCCAGAGCGAGGCATCTTAGCCACTCGCTGCTGCGCAGACATCGCGCTGGGTAATGCGACCGCTCAAGGGTAGACTCCCTCGCAACAGATGCGCCTCGTCAGTTGAAAGGTCGTGTGGACTGCCGGTGTACCAACAGCACGATGCGTTGAGGCTGCGCGGGGGTGGAGGCGGAAAGCACTTGCGCAAGTGTATTGGCGATTGCTGCGCTGCCTGTCGGCGACTGTGAGCCGGGTAAGGAATAATGTAAAGATGCGAAGTGGTGTTGGAACGAGTGGAGGACGAGGAGCTGTAGAAATGTAGTCACAATGTTGTTGACAGCACCCATGCGATCATAACAAGGCCCGTGCACTGCCGCTAGAGTTTCACTGGCCCCCGACCGTGGCGACGCGCCACACAACAGGTCCTCTCGCAATCATCTGGGCCGTGTCCAGGTGCGGAATCCCTGCTCGATCTTGTTTGTTTGCTCGTGCTCTTGCTTTGGCGACCACTCGCCCGTTGCAACGGCGCTCTGAGTATACACCCGCTCACCTATTGCAGTTGGTGACGGCATAGAAGCCCCATCAGACCTCGCTCTCGGTAACCTGCATACTCGGTATCCTGCATAAGACTGCAGTGCTAGGGCCCTTTCACGCCTGCCCAAAATCCAATTACTAAGTGCGTCATTAAAGGCTACGGAAACCACCAGATCCAGCTGTCGAAATTAAGGTTCTTCATCTTGTTACCGCAATGATAAGACGAGGAAGGACTGAAGGATGGCTTAGAGAGCCTATCGAAGGCCTGCCTACATGGGCCAATTTTCATGGCGTCAAGTTCAATGGCATCAAAGTTGGCCCATTGCCAGGCTTCGAAGAGCGCGGCTCTACAGTAATAGCTTCACGTGTACTTGTGGGCGAGGAAGAAGAGCCCCTCATGACGATCCCAAAGGAACTGATCCTCTCGAAGCAAAATATTGAGCTGATGGCCAAATCTGATCAGCATCTCCGGGAGCTTCTTCAGGCTCTTGATGACTTCGGACGTACTACTCGAGGCGCAGTCCTAACGTTTCTCCTTATGCAGGCGACCATCTGTTGCCCAGACGTCAAGGATATCGGCGTCCACACGCCGCTCACAGAATACATCAAATATCTCCCAGATGAACTCCTTCCCACTTTTTGGAGCGAAGAAGAACACGAGCTTCTCGGAGGGACTACGCTTCGCTCTGCTGTCCGAGCTAAGATGAATAGCTTGCTGCGCGAGTTTGAGACATTTCGTATTGCCACGGAGAGCATAAGTTGGTGTGCTAAACATTGGTGGGACGAAGAGGTCGGTTTGGTCAGTGAGCCCCCGCAGGCCTAGTCTTAAGCAGCACGTGCTCTACCTGTACGATGCCTCTAGAGTGCGCACTTACTGACCTTGCCAGCTTACGTTCGACGATTGGCTACGTGTCGATGCCATGTACCGATCCAGAGCGCTCGAATTTCCCGGTGTAGGAGATGCTATGGTGCCTTGCATTGACATGGCCAATCATGCTTCCGGTGACGCTACGGCCGCCTTGTATGAGACTGACGATGATGGCAACGCCATTCTGATCTTGCGACACGGTAAAGACATCCCAAAAGGCGGCGAGATAACCATCACGTAAGTATTCCACGCTATGATCTGTCTCGCGCACAACATGCTCTCCTCGAATCTGCTGAGTCGGTTTGCTGTCCGCTCAGAGTGAATTCTACATGAGACTTGTGTCTTTGCTGACCGGACCAGGTATGGTGACGACAAAGGCGCTTGCGAGAACATTTTCTCCTATGGTTTCCTTGAAGATTCGATGACTTCTGCGAAGATCATGTTTCTTAATCTTGACATACCAGATGACGATCCGCTCCGACCTGCCAAGATTTACGTCTGCAATACAGCGCCTGGCTTCCGCCTCGTAGACCAAAAAGATAGGATAGAATGGGAGAGTGACTTTGTCTGGCTAGTGGTCGTCAACGAGGAAGACGGTACGCAAATCTTAAACCCGCACATCATACGGCGACCTGCCCTCGGCTTCAGTGAAGAGACTTGGCCTGCACTGACATGTGAAGCATATGAGATGAACTCGTGCTGACTTCCGCAGGGATCGACTTCAAAGTAAGGCAGACAATAGACGGTGATCGAGAAATACAAGCCTTTTGGAAAGAAAGCGAAATGAACGATACATCGAAGATACGTAAACTTCTCGAAGAGGACCCTCTTTGGGAAGTGTACCAGCTTCGAGCGGTTGTTTTGATGCAGGGCCGAGTAGATGCGCAGCTCACGGCACTGCATGCAGTAGGCAGCCCCACGCGAGGAGTGGCGATAAGAGCAGGTGAGTGAACGGCCACGCAATCTACAGCCATGTACTAATTCTACAGGGCCGTGGCACCTTGCCGCACGACTACGCACACTAGAGGTGGAAATGCTAGACAGAACAAGAACCATTCTGGACAATCAGGTATGAGCATGCCCGTGGTTGCCACCCCGCGATTGTAGAATATTCTACACGCTCCACTGCCACTGCCACTGACAGCAGTTCTTGCCGTCTAGCCTCGCTGACGTCTGTATTGCAGAGATCGTCTCTTCTCGACACAGAGACTATACAGCAATACCTTGGACTTGTCGAAAACGGCGATGAACAGGAAGAAGTAGACTTCACCTGATCCACTAGGAACATTGGAAGGCCCCATCTCATAGGCTACGTCGAAGTTGGGTGGCAGGTCGGTTCCATGGTACCGTTAATATAAAGCCATGCTTCCCACTCCCGACCACTTCGCGGCGCGGTCATATCGGGCAGCTGCCAGGAACCGTCCTGTCACTCATCGCGATTCTCACAGAAGCACTGTGGTGGGTCGCCACACAGATAGTGCTGCACTGCACGCCAACGCCGATCCAAGGCCATGTGCATACCTCGTTTTTCGCTTGGTTGAAGTCGAAGTACTGTACACAGTATATCGACTTGCGTCACTTGTTCCCAGAAGTACCAATTAGTGGCTAGGGCCGCATCGTCGAAATCAGCAAATATCGCAAAGCAACATGACTATGATTGTGCGTGAATTTGAACTACGTGGGACTCTTGCTTCGCGGATGCAGCCGGACAAAGTCAGACGGCGCGGTGTGCCGCAATCCCGGCAGAAAGGTTTCTGAACGTCCTAACTATATCAGCAAGGACATCTACAGTAACAATCAGCGAAGACGGATTGCATGTTGTTCCCTATCAATGTTGATACAGAAAAGCAGAGATTTTCGCAGCACTTTATGGCTTGACTGCAATGACTGGAACCCGAAAGATGTCGCAATACGGGTCATCCTGCCCCTGCCACGCCATTTTCTGCACTGACCAGCGATACGAGTGGACAGCAACGCATGATCACGGCGCATGCCTCATGCTGCCCCGAGATTGAGAGTTCGCTTTCCACGGCTTCTCGAAGGACGGTAGAATCGTGCCGACCCAAGCAATGATGTGCATACGCGGCTATCGAGCATGCACAATTGATGAAGGCAGCTGTGGCACGTAGAGTGTCTTTACGAAGATCGAGTCATATGGACAAGCAGGAACCACAAGGCGACCTCGTGGGAACCCTGGCTGATTGCCGATTTGTTGCGATTGTCCACAGATGAACTGCGTGCGTCCTCAAAGCGCACCAGGCAGAAGGAATGCCAGCGCTCATCCAACCTCAATAAGCGTTTTGCAGAAGCGTGTTTCCACTAGAAGTACAATTTTCGAACCTATGGGTACAATACACATGGGGATTGTGAGAGTATCGCGCACTAGCAGCTAGAGTTGGCCATCATCTCGGCGAATAACGCCTAGCGTATACAGAGCAATACCCTCACTATGACAGCAGACAAGCATGCTAGAAAGCTTGCTCGATATGTGATCAGCAAAGGCAGGCTGATGTGTTGGTGGACGGTGCACTGTGCCGCCCTTCTATTCACAGCGCAAGGCTGGGCGCTTGCTCAATGGCGGGCACACGACACGACACCTTCGATGCTGAGACGTGCAGCATTCGCGACCCCTCGCTGATCGTTCGCAAGTGGCTGGCGAGCGTCGAAGCCCACGAAAAAGGAGCGGAGCGCAGGCCTTGATGCAGCGACAAATTGGGCGTCCAAGGGACCCTGGGCCGCTGGCCCAGCGTCGCCCGTGAGCTGCACATCCTCCAGCGTGTGTTCCCCGCATCGCCGCGCGCAAGGCCCCAGAAAACGCTAGTATTAGCGGCCCCAGACAGCGTGCAAACACGGCGAGGACGCACTGACGGCTCTCCTCTGGCCATACATGAGCTGCCGTAGCCCTCCCTCCGCTTTGCACACGTTCCGCTTGGTCCCTTCAGTTATATGCGCCTGCGCCGCCCACGTACTTGACACCTGCCGTCCCACCTGCCATATCGCCGTCACAACCACACCTACCAGACATTGTCAACCCTTGGCCTCCGCGGCACTCCGCATGGGAACAACCGATACTTCCGCAGCACGACTCATTGTCCATTCCACGCGCTGAACCGACGAGACTGCCCCAACGAGACGTTACGAAAGAAAACCGCCAACATGCCTGGCATCCTTCCGATGAAGGTGATCAAGGTTGGCACCAGCAATCAGTCGCGTATAGCCCAAGCCTGCGATCGATGTCGCTCAAAGAAAATTCGTTGCGATGGCGTGCGACCGCAGTGCACGCAGTGTGTGAATGTGGGATTCGAGTGCAAGACTAGCGACAAGCTCAGTCGTCGAGCGTTTCCTCGCGGTTACACAGAGTCGCTCGAGGAGCGAGTACGTGCGCTGGAGTCTGAGGTCCGCGATCTCAAGGACTTGCTAGACGAGAAGGATGAGAAAATCGACATGCTCTCACGGATACACTCGCATTCATCACCTACCCACGCGCTTCCTAGATCATCGTCGACTCCGACCTCAGAGATCCGTGAAGAGCCGCAAGAGAAAGAAGACACTTTTAAAATACAACAGTCGCCATTACTGCTTGATGACGAAAACCGAGACACTTACTGCGTGGGAAGCTCGAGTGGAAGAGCGCTCGTTGGTATGTCGTCGCTTGTTTTACGCAAGTTTCCGGTTGCTAACGAACCGCAGAATCATTCAAACAACGTGCGCAAGAGTCTGGCAGGTCCTGCTCAGATGTCAACTCAAATGCCTTCTTTGGTACCGGATCAAAATCTTCGGTACCGCATTCACCGAAGCGGGCCATTTCGTTCAAGGCGCCACCACGCCTTGTGTCCGACCAGATGATCAACATCTTCTTCCAGGAATGGGCACCGTTGTTTCCTGTGCTGCATCGACCAACCTTCCTTTCGCTGTATGAGCAGTATGTCGCCAGCCCGGATGCTATGACCGACAAGAAATCTATTGCTAAACTCAACCTCGTTTTCGGTATCGCTGCGCTTTCTAGCGACGTGAGTATTCACCACGCATCTCCCTTGACAACGCTAACCCCTTCCAGCCCCGTGATGGCCAGGATGTCGAATCCTTCGAAGCGCAGTGGCAAGCTGCATTGGAAGGCTTTATGATGGACAACGACATGGCTACGCTGCAATGTCTAGTCCTAGCTCAGATTTACTGCTTGCTCAAAGCGGATTACTCTAAACTTCTCAAGTACAAGGGGCTCGCCATTGGTCTCTCACAACGACTCGGCTTGCACCAATCGCAGAAGAGATTCGCGCTCGGAGCATTGACCAGCGAGACACGCAAGAAGGTCTTCTGGTCGCTTTATACCGTAGACTGGTAAGCCTGAACGCAGCGTTCGGTGTGAACATTGGCTGATTGACGGCAGTTTCTCCGCCGCTCACCTGGGTCTTCCCAAGCTTCTACGGGAAGAGGACGTACACTGTGAATATCCAGTGGATGCCGATGATGAATATGTTACCGAGAAGGGGTTCCTTCCGACACTGCCAGGAGAGTCCACAAAACTCTCGAGCGCGCTCGCTCTATTCCGGCTGTCGCGCATTCTCTCCAAGGTGCTGGCAGAGCTGTACCCTGCCTCGGCGATGCACGAGATTTCTTTCCGTGTTATCTCTTCGCTTTCCGACGACCTTGAAGAATGGACGACCAACCTCGCACCGCATCTCAAACTTACCTTCCAGCAAGATAAGCCCAGCACCAACGTCACCAGCAGCAGGTCACCCATTCTGGTAAATACCACTTGTGCCCAACTTATATTGGATAGACGCAGCTAACAACATCCCAGTCCTTGGCGTACAATCATATTCGGTCACTCATCTATCGTCCGGTAGTAGTTGCCAATCTTGGCGATAAGGGCTCTTCGGCGATGGTCGCCGTTGGCGATGCCTCTAAGCATATTGTGCAGATCGTTCAATTGCTTGATGAACGCAAGTTGAGCTTCTCCTTCTGTCTCAACAGAAACGAGGTCCTGGTTCAGGCGGGCTTCGGGCTCTTGTTCCAGACGCTCGGTCTCGACCGTGATGGCAAGCTCATCAAAGAGTGCAATCGGCTGAGCTGTACCGTTATGGACATGCTTGACAATGGCACTGCTGCTGGCGCCCACGAGTTCCGACGCGTGGGATGTTCCATGATTGCCATCCCCCGTGTCATGGACACGATGCCTAGTCCGGTCCTATCCCGTCACAACTCAGAAGGTACCATGGCCGCTCCTATGGATCGCTTCCGTGCCACGCAGAAGTCACTCAAGGCAATTGCCGCCCGCTTCTCTCCAAGCCAAATGAAAGCCCACTTGCAGGACACCGCCAGAGAACCGCGTCGCGCCACGCTTCCTACGATCTCACCGTCCGTAGGCGCCCACGCGAGCCAGTCCTCTACCAGCCTCTCCTCCATCCGCTCCGAGCCCCACCACCAAGCCGAACCGACACTCAGCCCGCTTTCCCACCGTGCCTCCTTCTCCCACACTAAGCGCCGCCCCAGCAACCTCTACCAAAGCCAAAACCGCAACATCGACTTCCTCTCCTTCGGCCCTGACCCACTCGCGAGCTACCACATGCCTCACCACACCATCAACAAAGCAGATGTCTCGCCCTCCGACTGGGAACGCCTCCTCTCATCCCTCGACAACGGCCAAACCAACATCTACGATTCCATCTACGGCGGACCAACAGCTGACGCGCTGCTCGACAGCGTGCCGCTTTCCGCAGGTGCCGAGTCGAACCTCGCTTGGTCACCTAACATGTGGAACCTGGGCTACAACGAGCAGGCACCCCCACCGCAGAGCGTCCTGAGCTTCAGCGACGAGAGCTTGACGAGCGGAGAAGAGTTTGCGAATTCCGTTGGTGATTACGGGTCGACGCCTGGGAGCGAGAATTTCAAGGGCTACCAAGGCATCGTGATGCCTAATTTGGGCGCTCAGGACTCGATTGGTCTTGCGGGGCTGGATGGTAACTTTGGGTTGTAAATCTCTTCACTTTTCAGGACGGTTGGGAAAATGGCTTACTTTGATTTACTTGTGAGGAGTGGTTGATATCGGGTTGTTTGTTTCTTTCTCATGATTAGGGGTGGACTGGACTGGACTTCGGGTTTTCTTGCTTCGCTTCTTGAGATACCTGCACCGCGCACTTACCTTCGTGCGCGAGCCTTGAATTTGCTTCACTGTTGGCTGTCTATTATTCGACGGTGTTGATGCTGTTGTTCATACTTCTTCGGGCTACGCACTTGGCTGACCAATACCGTCTTTACATAGAACATTATTTCTATCCATATTCTCGCAATATCGTTCTTCACTTTTGTAAATACATTGTCAATACATCACAGTGCAAACTATCATTTCCGTCGAGAGGTGCCGATAATACTCCCGAGTCGCATTTGCACCCTCCTCGAACGATCCAGCCCCCCATCTAGCCCGTGCCCCCCAAGTTCCCAACAGACGTGAGCGTGGCAGTGCACTCTCACCCGGCCCGCTCCCGGTCGCCACCCTAACACTCTCCTGAGACCTGCCGCCAACATGATATAATCCCCCCGACCCCGCCTGCTCTGAACCGTACCCCAGATCGACGAACCTGGTGTGTCCAACGCAAAAATGACGCCATCGATCACGATCGCCCAGCCTGCGGCTCCGCAGGCTTCGACGCGGCACCTGGCTGCGCATCAGCGGCAGGATGGGTTCAGACCGCACGACGAGGTGGCCGATCACCATGGGCTAGTGTGCAGAGCGAATAAGTCGCTGGCGAGATGCAGTGCAGCGCGGTACGTTTGCTTCCCCAGCTTTGATCGCTATCGTTATGGACGTGGATGTGCAGTGCTAATGGGAGCAGACTTCCCCCGCTCGACGCACCTGCAGCCGCACCGTCCATCATCGAGGGTAGATGGCCTCCAGCTCCGTCTGGCAGCACGCGGCGGCGGCACCAGGTCTGAGTGTACTGTCCTAGCCAGCCAATGTCCGCTTTGCGATAGCGAAGCCTGCGAAGCTCACGGAAAGCGACCGAATACGCAAGTCCTTGCCTCACACTCTTGGGCCCGTCTGTCGCCATCTACGAGTCGTTTCGACTCCCTCCACGGACGCCCGGAGCTCACTGCTAGAAACAGTACGCCATTGCGTTCGTGGCGTGGGTCCAGGCCGATGGCGTTTCGCCGATGTGCACCGGGCTGGGGCGAAAATGCGTAGCGTGTGCGTGCTTACACGTGGGTCGTTTGCCCCGTTGCTTTTTTCGCGGGGTTTAGCGTTGTTAGTGCGTGAGTCGTGTGCGCAAGCGCTGGGGGGAGAAGATGAGATTGGGAAGGCGTGGACGGAAGGGGATGGAGGAGTGAAGGGTTAGCGAATATTGTGCATGGGCGGGATAATCGTGCATGACGGGTAGATGGAGGGATGCGTGGAGGGCGCAGGATTGTTGTTGGTGTTTTGTAAGGGAAAAGTACCGAAAAGGTGCTCGAGCTAGAGGATAGCGTTGAATAAAAGGATGACGAAATGCAGGGATGTGGAGCTTGAAAGAGAGCATAATTGTTGATTCGGTCCAATTGTTCATGCCTGACGTGTTGTGGTTAGGGTCGGGAGTCTTGGCTGTATCGAGATCGTGAGGTCAGATGGACCCCTCAACACCATGATCCGTGCCCCTCCAAGTTTCTTTCTGTGGAGCACAACACGTGGATCTGGGGTCCCCGCAAAGACCCAACATGTTGATTTTCAGGGCATTTGAATCTGGCCATGTTCCACAAGAGCCATTTCCTTGGGAATTGAGAGGCTCAAACGGGGGGTGGCAGCACGCGAGAAATCAGACCACCATCATTCGATATGTACCCAAGATGCGGACCCGATTTCGCTCTCTTATCCATGATCCATGACGCGCTAGATGCTGGATGCGCTATCCAACTTCGCTGCACTAGCACAGAACGAGAGGGCAAGGTGTTATCGGAGGAAATCGGAGTGCCATGCTCGGCGGTAAGGATGAGAGAATCAACACCAGAGCACAGCTCGTGTTCCTTCCTTCAGTATCCGTCGAAGTGTCAATTCGACGATCACCATCGTGTCGTCCATAACTCGGTAGAGCCCTCGGTTCGGTAAGATGGAAGACGCAAAAGTGGCGTAGGCGGCTCGGTCTAATGTCAGCGAGACCCGTAGCGTACACGTCGCCGTACCGTGAGCACGAGCAACCCTAGACTCCGCCCTCCACAATTTGCTAGCTCACCCCAAGAACTGGTCATTTAGGTAGTTGACGAAGACCTCTTTTATCCTCGATTTGGAGAAGTTGTGCTGGCGGTTCAAAGTGATGAACTGACGACGGATGCGCTGTAGCTGAGGAAGTGTCATTGTGTTGGCGGGCAGCTCGATGGGCTTTTCGACATCTTGGACAGTAACCTCACCGCCGCCCTCGCCTGGATGATCCTTTTGGTAAGTCATGATTTGGGCCAGAATGTCCGAGGTAGTTTTGTCGAGCTCGTATAGGTAGTTTTGCTCTGTGGCTGGTTTCTAGGCGAGTCAATGCGAGCAATCGGTAAGGGAAAGGAGAACACATACCAGCACAGTTGCCTGGTTTGGGCGTACGACTTTCGCTTTGCCGTCGCTGCCGATGAGAGCGTCCCATATCTGCTCGAAAGGGGGTGTCGCGTCTTCTTCGACCACGGTGAATAGGGGACTGTCCCACCGCGCCATACCGTTAGGCTCCTCATATCTGAAGATCAAATTTTCAAAGTCTTCTTCCTCATATCCTCCATCCTGCTCTTTGTCTGCTAGAAGCTTTTTGTTGATTTCGCGACATTTTTCTGCCGTCAACCCTACGTGCACCTCTTGAACATTCAGCAAAAGCACTAACAGATCGACAGGGATAACTGACCACGCAGCTTGTAGTCTGAACGGCCTTCGCCTCACAATTAAGTTGATAACGGAAACCTTTAATGTAGTTTAAACCATCCGCGATGACGATATTGTCGCGGGAAAGTACTCTCTTTACGGCAGAGTACTCTTCCGCCCGGGCATCTTTTTCAGCCTTAGCCGTGTGATATACCCCACGGGACACGCCAAGAGACTGATCATTGATGAGGTGGACCTTGAGCTTGCTGGACCGGGCATCGGCGCTCTCGCTGGCGATCTTGGACTCGAAGAAATCCTTCAACTGATGGGCGCGCGTGGTCTTGCCCGCGGAGGGATACCCCGAGATGACCAGAAGCTGTGGGGTATCAGTGTACCATGTCTGAGTAAACGTATGCAAGACTCACGGGCATGTTTGCGCGGTGGCTGATGTCTCTCGTTGATAAGTCTTTGTGTCTGATTATTTTAGGCTGGGTTGGGTTGCTACCGCCTCGAGACGACGCCGTCGTCGTCGGAAAGACTCCCGGAAAATAATTGCCCGTTCTAAGGCCGTTCTAAACCGTGTTCTGGGTCGTGATAGGGTGTCCGGCGCGTGTGGAGCGGTGCAGTGACGAAATTTGCACGGGCAGGTAGCGCTCGGTGGGCGCGAGCAATAATTCATGCGCTTGCCAGCCTCGGTACAAAGATATGCCCCAGGTGCCGTCTATCTACCCCGTGCCTTCATAGTCCCTCCTCCACTCTCGTCCAGCCATCTGTCCTGCTGCATATTGCACCATCAGCCCGCTCTCTATTGCGCCGCACGAGTAGTTAATTGGCAATCTACGAGATCGCTCGCTAACGCCTCCTCCATTCGCATCGAGACTCGCTTGTATCAGTACATTGCCGCCGCGATAACTACCTTCCAAACAAAGTACAGTTACAAGGACAAAGAACACGGACACGTACAAGGCATTCATCGACGCCGCCCTCTCGCTCCACCGCTCCTCTCCTCCCTCACAACACACCACAACACATCGCACACAATGTCGACTGCACCCCGCCCAACCCCGCGGCCCGCCTACGCGCCCCTCCAGTCCTCCGCAAACAGCTCCCAGAACTCGTCGGCCTTCCAAAGCTACAGCAGCAGCGCCCACCTTGCCACCCCGTCACCCGCATCAGCAGCGCCTGTCAACTCGCCCACGAGCCCTCAGCCTCCACAGAACTTCTTCGGCTCGCTGAACGGCCAGCCCCAATCGCAGCGGGGACAGCCAGAGATGCCGCCCATGCAACGCTATCGTAGCTTCGAGTACCAGCCGAACAGGAATGGTGCTGGCCAAACGGCAGCAGAGACACAGAACTTTCTCAACCAAGCTGCGCTTTTAGCTGAGGCTGCGAAGCGGGCACAGATGGCTTGTGTTATGCGCGACCTCGACAGTATGGAGCTGTAAACCACTTCACAAAACACCTTCGACACAGAGCCTGGCATCTCCCACGCGCTATCCGCGGCATGGATGCAGAGAATGGAAGGCGGGCAAAACTCGGCCTTCACACATTGAACTTGTGGGTCCGATCTGGCCACCGCGTTACAAAGCCTCATTTTCCGACACCTTTGCGAAAAAGATCCGGCTGCGCATGGAGCAGTCGACAGACACTCTGGCCACCTTACGACCGAAACCATGCCCCGCTTTTGCAACTTTTCTCACCGGCCTGTCACGACATTTTCTTCTCTGTACATACGTTTACCAGCCCCTTTTCACCAGCTGCCGCATGGACAGCGACCCTCTTTCCGGCATTTCATAGCGTCGGCGTTTACACATGCTTAATAGCGCTTTGCGGGACCTCTAATGGATCACAGGTTTACCTTTTCTTTTTGTTCGACATCGGGAGGAAGAGTGGGTTATGGGCGGAGACAGGCAGAGATTCCCAGGGCAATAACTCGAGAAGAGAGAAGAGTATCATGTATGGATAATAGCAAGCGAGCAGTATGAGCTATCAAAGAGATTAGACAACGCGTTCGCACGTACCATGTGTCGCGCAGTCATGTGCTGTGCTTATCCCCACGCCTATGTCCACTTTGGCTCGCTTCGTCCCTCGAAATAAGCAAAAAAAAAAATCACAAATCCTAGCGAAACCCCACGCAGAAGGGCCTCGTCGCTGACGATCCACTCACGGACTTGTACTGCGCCCACATGGCCAACGCCCTGGTGCCACTCTGCTCCAACGCCCTGGTGTTACTCCATTCCAACGCCCTGATCTCACTCCACTGTCTGCCGACGAACTACGCACGCATGTCGCGGGTACCACAGACTCACCATCACACACCAGCGTTCTTCCATAGTCTCGGGCCTGGAGAAGCAAGTACCCCTTTCTAGCCCATGCATGCATGTGAAGGCATGCCCAGCTTCACGTGCCCCGTTGACAATGGCGATATCGCCGGATGAGGAAGCTAGGATATAAAAGGTAGGTAGGGGTAGACAAGAGGAGCGATGTGCAGATACGCAACGCGTGAGGGATATATGCGGAAGGACTGGACTAGAAGAGGGTGCATGCAAGGTGCGTTGGTGGAGGAGAGGGGAACGTATTCATGCTGCAGTGTGTATGTATCAATGATGGGTCTAGGGGAATGCATGGGATGGCTGGGCTTGGTTAGTAGGGAAGGGTATAGCGAGGGTCAGAGGACGCGTGGGGAATAGGAAGGATTGAGGATATGTGCTCATGGCGCGGTTCCACTGGGTTGGAGAAGCCGTGGGATGGTATATATAGAGTACAGTAGAACGGACGGGGCAATACATGGATGACCAAGCAGGTGTTCTGCTTTGGTAAGACACTGTGTAAGGGAGGTGCATGGGAGGATGCTGATGACACCATGGCTTTCATAGTTGTATGCATCAAGTCGTGTAGAGCGGGATCCCGCGGCTTAGCATATAGTCATTTTTTTGGCTTCCATGTCGTCCGGTCACTGTGTGGAGTCGTGTGCCACGATCATGCGGTGCATTGATGTGCACTAGATGGTTTAGGGTAGTTGTGGTGAACGCAAAACTGTGCAGTGCCTCTGCGTTGGAGGACTAGACACATAGCCGGGAGGATGCATGCGCGTAGGCATGAAGGACCTCCCTGCTGTCGTAAGAAAGAGCGATACGGGTGCATGGCATGTCGATCATAGCACACGTGTACGCCATGATACCCACGGATGCAGTCACACAGGGCGATATCTACTGCAGGCTGTAGCCATGCTCTGAGATCGATATCATCCGGCGAAGCTAATGGGCCGTGTGCCGACGTAGGCTTCGTGCAGAGTTAGTAGATTGGATGCCCAGATTACCTATGTATGGTTGGGCATATTGAAGCATCTATGTATGCAGGTGGATGTAATGTCTGTGCATTGGTGGAGGACCAAGGCATTGAATGGTCAGTGTGCATGCATTGTGTGCAGGACTAGGCCCGCGAGCGTCCGGTGAGGGGGATGGAGGGTGTACAGAGTGGAGTGGTTGAACTTGGGGCCGGAGAACTTGGGGCCGGATCGTACAAGAAGCATCTCCATTCGTTGGATCAAAGTGGGTGCAGCAAATCGATACTACAGCACGTCGTAAACGATTTTATGTGCATGCTATCCCATCAATTGCACGTGCTGAATATGGTGTGAGAAAGTACTTGATTGATTTGTAAGAGTAGCTAGCGGTTGTAGGAAATTGTAAATGGAAATAACTACGGAACTCATCCGAAAAGAACGCTGTTCCAATTATAAACGCCGATGGGTTTAAAAGCGTTGCTGAAGATATCACCTGATGTAGTAACTTTGCTCAGAAATCACAGGAGCATAAGGTTGGCTGAGCGGACACCCAGTCCCGCAACCAATCATGATCTGCAGGGATATGATCCAAACACCAAGATGTCCGGGGGACCTTTCTTCCAGCTTCGAATGCCATCCTCAGCTCCATTTGTAAGCTTTACTACAGAGCCGCAGTATGTGTCAGACCGGATGTTGTCACTCGGATACCTGAATCGTTATTCTGTATGAGGTTCTTGCTGGATCTTTCTCCATGAGTGGCCAATTTTCTGCTGATGCCATCCCATCCGGAGCCAGCGACAGGGGTGTTCTGCAAGGCAGATTGACCACGTTGTGGAAAAGCCGTAACTGTACAAGTCTGAGGGACTGCGTGTATGTATATCGTGAAGACTCGTATTTCCGATCGAAGAATATTGGAAGTTTAGGCAGGAACATATCCGGACCGAGGTCCTGGTTCAGCTTCCTTTCGGCGAACTAGCGGGGGCTCACCGGTTTCTGTGACCCCTGCACTTAGACGGAATACCCACAAGGCGGTATTGGGGCTGGGTATGTTGGTTCGCAAACCATTGTCTGCCTTATTGTGAGGCTCTGCTCAGTGAGGCATCGTCCAGCCTTCCGTGCAGAGCTCACTGGCAGCTGCCGCTTTTGCAAGCCCCTGGAACCCAGTGCCACTCACACTCGCTGTGTAGATGTCCTCCAAGCTCTTGTGACATATCCTTGGGCGGCAACGGTCCTCGGCTGAAGCTAACCATCACGATGATGCCCAATGCGTTGTCATCGCTGGGGCTGTACGATCGTCCTGGTCGAATCATGTAGACAAGGCTGCGTTCATCTAGGGCACTCGTGATGGAGCGACTGTACGCTGCGCCTCCGGGAAGCGGTGGGTTGAGGATACGATGCAACCTCTTGGAGCAAGGGCATCTCGAGGCTGATGGCGGCCACATCTTGATCGTTGAATGGCGGTAGGCCACGTCGTTGGGCCCGGCGGGTAGAGTGAGCAGCTGATGTGCGTGCTCTCCGAGCTCCTTCCAATCTAGAGGCGCAACACGGCGACTTCCGATACGCAATCTTAGACAGGACGTGGAAGGACCACTGCAGCACCTATCATCTTCGACCATGTCCAAGAATGACGCGCAGGAGTAGTTGTAGGCTCGGACCGGGGTCCTGGCGAGTATGAATGATCGACCCGGATTACTTTTGCGAGGTACCTCAGGGTGGAAGTTCCAATTGTATCGTAACTCTGGGGGTGCGTAGTTTGGGTTGTTGCTTGAATCTAGAGTTTGAATATAGGCATCGCCCCAAGGTAGTTCAGGTCCAGTTGATGCTTCTTGTAATGGTGATCCTCCGGTCGAACTAGCAGGAGAATCGAATCCTGAGACAAACTCGGAGATATAATATGTGCGTACTTGTCGACTTAGGGTCTTTTGATATTCACGCCGAGCCTCGATTATCATGAGATTGTTCGTGCTCTCGTCGATCTGCAGGCTCAGGTCTGTCCATGAATCGTGAATGACGCCTTCATCATGTTGTCGCCGCCATAATTTCTTGTTCGATTCCAAGGATTCGGCTTTAGGGTTGTCGACTGGAAAGCGCATGCAATGATAGAAAGACGTCCAATCGATCTCCTCAACTTCAAAGGAGGTCTGATTGGACACTGCGTAGAAGAAACCGTCATGGATTTCGAGAGCTATTGTTGAGCCAATGTCCGTCCCAAAGAATCCGTGTAGCTGAAGTGGAGCACAAGGCAAGGGGCTATTCTTGTCGAAAGAGACCCCCTGAATTTCCCACTCGTAGTGACCTTGTGACCCAACAGAGGTATAGGTTCCGTAATAGAGATATTGCGACGTATGACGTGCAAATAGCTTATGATTAGCTTCAAGTGGTACCTTTCTAACCAACCTCCCCGATCCTGGTAGTCCCGGCTTGGTGTTGATTGCAAGTATGTGGCCGTTGTCCTGTCGACCCCTACGTTCCAAATGAATGGTAACAATATTATGGCCGTAATACAACAAAGAAAGTCTGGTATCGCTTGAAGATGCTGAAGCATCCGGAAAAACATTGTCAATAGCTGAGAGGTCAATTGTGACTTCCCCTCCCTGCGTGTGGGCATCGAACACACGAATAGTGTTGCCTTCAAGTATGCATAACATGCCTCTTCGGTAACGAAAGTCGTTGGCTTTCCCGATGATGCGAGCTGAAAAAGGGTGTGCGTCCGAGAAAGCGTCCCTTCTGTCTTGTATATGGCTAAACGCGTCGCAATACGATATGCCCTGTCCTTGGGCCAAAAGTGCTTCTTTCGTATAGCGGAATTCAGCCTGCACCATATCAGATTGCTTTCAGTTACAATGTCGTCTTTGATCCTCTACCTCAATTGCTTTTCTGCAAACGCCATTCTCTTGAAGTAATGTTCGAAACTGCCGGCAAGTATGTGCGAGCCTAACGATGTCATCAAATCCTAGATGAGACGTGACGTAGAACAGCACGTCGAAGGGAAGCCGGTCCAACGTGAGGGGCATGAATTCGGAGGTGAAGCTGGTAGTAAGGTGTGATCATAGGAGATTGTGGGGGAAGCTGCAGTATAGTCGTAAGCAGCCCGAGAACGAATCAAGCCTCGTAACGTCAGCGAGAAGCTACTATGGTAATAAATCTCTGACGAATAGAACAAAACATAAGCAAGGCAAATCTGCAGCATAACGATTGGCGAATGAGGGGCAAGGCTGACTGATTGCTGGTGAGGTCGGGCTAGAGACAAACATGAGGGGACTACTTAATGGCTCAATGGCATGCGGCTCTGCGGTCTTTGGGAAGGACAACAAGGACTAGGCTGTACATCGTTACAAAGGTTCCTCGGCTCGGAGAATGCCAGACTGTGTCTGGCGTCTTGGGGGACCAGGGCAAGTTACACAAGGCTAGCAGTGTGAAGCAAGGGCGTGTCCCGGAAACGGCTACTATGGTTTTTGGATTCTCCCGTGCGGCTCTGCGTGTCCAATGGCACGCCTTGAGACGTAAAAAAAAACGAAGGATCACGCCTAATAACAAGGACACAGCCAGACTTGTTGTCACCAGGGACGAGATCACGAGTGGGTCATGCGGCTGAGACGGAGATGCTTCGATTGGGTAAGAAATACTCCGCTAAACGGCCCTTAGACTATCCCGGCGCCCCTGTGATGTGTGTGATGTTAGCCTTCTCGGCTACAGCTACCCTTGCCAAGACATGCGGCTCTGCGAGGTCAGCATCATGTCTTGTGACCGAACCTATCCATGGATCTTACCCACTAAGATGGGATTGGAGGTGACATTCTTGGGCCTATCCCTTTAACAACGGACATCATTTTCGCAGTCTCGGGATAGATAGATTAAGCATGGGTATGCCTCAGCCTTGTGCATCCAGACACAAAGATCTGCCAAATCAATTTGCAGCCTTGCCGTCTCTCTGCAAGTATCCCACCTATGATAGATCTTGAATGACAGTGCTCTTAGTACCTAACGATAAGGTACATATGCAATCGATGGTGCATCGCCGTTTCCGGAGGATGTCACTTCTTTGATTGCGAGGATTATGACCGTTCAAGCAACTTACCGCCGACATTCACCCTGGACCTGCACGCCACCCCACTTCTTCTAGGGATTGGCGAATGGTGAAAGCTGGGGAAGTGTTCCGGATGCAGCACGAACTCAATGTCTGCATATACGTGTGATTCAATAACAGAACCCTGTCGTCCTTCGTGTATCTGCGGGGGCGTGGGGCGCAGTAGAACGGACTGCGCCGTATCGTCACACGTGGTACGAAACGAGAGTCGTGCTTGTGGTATCGGTACTGGTGTAGGCTTTGATACGATCGCGGGATCCGATATCCGAGAGGCGTAGAAGCCATGCCTTAGGCAATCAGATGCACGACAGCTCACACTTGCAATACCATCAACCCTCTGGGCTAGCCCGCTCTCGATATTCCTGGTCCCATCCGATGTATGGCCATCCTTCCGGAAGCGTCGCAAACGGGGGCAGTATATATCGACCCTGGCAGCTCCCCTCGTCTTCGCATTCGAGGTTGCATAGACCGAAAACCTTACAGTAACAGGCTTGTGCCGAAGGACAATGGACTGGTTCTTTTCCGAAGATCACTAGAGGACTAAGTTAGCAGGTGATCAAGCCAAAAGCGTCATTGCCGATGAATAACGTTGCAAACGTCTACCGATGACGCGCCACGTCGTCCTTCAGCCTGATACAGGAGCCAGTCCCATGATCGTTGCATAGTGCGGTCTTAGGGAAGTCTTAGGCATGCGGATCGGTGTACGACGCCCAAAGCTGTGCATGCCAGCAGTGCAAGAGGGGTAAACGTACTGTGCCAGGTGTATTCCATGACCCTCCCAGAAATATTATCATCCAACTCCGTCTCCAGTAGCCACTTCCTATACCTCTCGTAGTCACTCTTCTTCCTCTCTCTTATTTTCTCTTTCGTAGCTGCAAACTGCGCACAGCAGCTTACGCCTACGTACTTCGGCACGTCTTCTCCGGGAAAGAGCACCTGGAATGCTTTCTTGTAGTCACCTCCCGCATGAACCTGCTCTCTATGTTCCCCTTCTTCTGCCAGCGGCATGATCTCTCTCGGGCAGCCAAGAGACCAGGCGCAGCGGATGTTGACGTAACCCTCCTGTTCTAGGTACGGCATCTGGAAATGGCGCAGCATAGGCACTCCATCATAATCTGGGTCATCGTTGTGCCACTGGTATCGGTTCGGGTGCAAGAAGAGAACGTTATCGGGGAGTCGGTCGTAATTGTCTATGATGTAGCTGTGGAGCACTGTCAGCATTCGAACGCGCTGTTGATGTGCGCGATTCCTTGCAGAATCCGGGGATCCAGCCAGAAGCCGATAGGATCAGCCCCCCACGCTCCCGATGGAACTGCCCCATGCGGACGCTTATTAAAGTAAATACGAAGACCACCGCTCACCTCAAGTATACCATGCTTTCTCTGCCTTTGTTGATGGGAATCCTCAGAATCGCCTTCCGGTCATCCACGCTGTAGATGTTCTTTTCCCATTGCGGGAAGTAGTCGTCGAGCCACGTCACATCGTCCGTTCCCATTTTTGCGACGACCACCGCAGTGCGTCGGGTGCCATTTCCTGCATGTTCGCTGGTCGTACTGGCTGCAACGTTGATCTTGGGTTTTGCACTCGCGGTGCCCAGCAGAGGGTTTGTTGTATCAGAGTTGTGCGTGGTGGAGCCGACAGCGGTCCGGTTGTGGGTTGAGAGTTGAATCGAGCGTTCCGCCCGCAGGTGTAGCACTAACGCAACAAAGAGCCATGTAAGCAGGGCCAGGGCTGCGGTTCGCCCCGAGAGACACCTGTAGAGGGACATTGTTTACATCGAGACGGCGGGTAAGTATGAAGGAGAGAAAATTTAAGTGGAGGCGGACGCGCAATTGCATTCCCGCATCAATGTGAATTGAGGCTCGTGGTTCACTAGCACCACAAACGGCCAATGACGCGTACGGTGGAGCCGGAAGGCACGCCCTTGCGCTTTCCTTTTCCTCCGCGGTGGTCCAGACACTCGGTGCGTTACGAAGGGCTGCTTTCGTGCAGTGGTTGAGGTACAAAAGGTACCTAACCTGTTCCGTTGAAACCTTGTGCGAGATCGCGTGTAATTCCAATTCACCCCAGGCCGAGCCCAGCCAGTAACACGGATAACATGAAATATAAGTTTTTCGTCTATGTCACGTAATTTCAAGCAGCATGTGGAATCAGAGCTACGAGATCCAGTTCACTGAGAAATGATTCTTTCATAAGCAAACAACGTCAATTCATTGAATCGTATCATGCTGGCGAAGGCCCAAAACGACTTTAATATGGCAGTCACTCATGGCCAAGTCATGTAGCCTATGTACGTTTCGACCAAAGTACATTCTTTCATGCAAAGTCGCGTCCGATCCATCATCCTGCGGCCTTAATAGTACGCCATGATTGCACCCAATTGCGACACGCCAGATCTCATGTACTACCACCTGCGGACACTGTCCGACCTCAAATCTTCCCAATTAACGCCACTAACGTATTGGCTCGTCGAGGTTGTCGTTTTCATAAAGGAAAAGTTGCTTCGTCGTGGTGCCACCGTTGGCATTCAACGGTTCCTCCAGACTGTCGTCTTCATAACCTTCGCAATCTTCAAGCTTCCGCTTTGTTGTCGTGCTATAGCTGGTGTTTACCGTAATCGGCCGCGGAATCATTGACGGGGTCGCCGGTATGGACGGTGGAGGTAAACCTGCAGGTAGCGGCGGATACACACCGTCCTCGCTGATAGTCCAGCCTTCATACTTCAGCTGCTTCCATCGATAGCCCACCTTGGATCTAACTAGTTCGCCGGTTGTCCTCGCGTCCTCATAGCTGTCGTGACCAGACGCGCCGCCTTGCTGTATGTCTATGCCGAGGAACTGTTTGGCAAGCGTCTTGAGGCTGTGTCGATATGGAAGACCAGACTTCGTAGGGTACAGGATGACGGTGTCGACAATGGTAGGATGAATCAAACGTATGACATTCAGATCGTTCTCTAGAGCGTGACCGAGAACAGGCGTCGTGGGGGATACGTGGGCGAGAAAGAGCTCACGTGCGGCGTATGGTGATTCGACTATACGCAGGTCCGTACGCTTTGGCTTCGGGTTGGCCGGGTCGTATGGCTTTGCGTTAATAAACTGATCCATAGTAACCCCCGACCACTGGGTGTTGAGATCGAGAATAAACCCAAGCGGCCGTACTAGAACATCAATGAGCGGCCTGTGGCTAGGCCAATCGATGACTGTAAGTCGAAGAAGCTCAAATCCCTGCGTTGTATAGCCCATCTCGCAGTCGAAACAAACTGCAGTATGTGGCTCGACCTTGTCGTTCTCGGGAGTTTCGATGAACCGCATAGCAAGAGACATGCGCTTCACATCGGTGAACTTGTAAACATGAGTGTCGCTTTCGGTGCAACCCTCCGTACCTACTGTCTCATTGCAGCAGGCCCATTTGGCAGGCTCCGGGTCTTTTCCCCTCTCTCTCTTGGGCCACACTCTCTTTCCCCAGTGGTACCGACATTTGCCACCTACAGTGACGGCACCGTCTTCCTCCCTTCGATCTGGGAATGCCTGGAAGCGGGTTCGACATCGATCACACACTTCCCAGAAGTCTGATAAGATTTGTGTCTGCCTGCATTCTTCGATTTCGGAATCGGTTGGGTCCTTGGTAACGAAACCGTGGGCTTCCAAGCTACTTTGTGGAGCAAGCATCGTCGACAGAAAGATGACTTCTTCCTTCAAAGTCATTCCAGTCTCGACCTTTTTGGGTGGTGGTTTCTTTGGAAGCTCTTCACGGTCTTTCGCAACTGCCTCCCTCCGGGCTTTGACCCAGTCTTCTTGAGACATTTTCTTATAGGCAACTATGTGATGCTTGATGACATTGTCATAAATGGAGCGATGTTCGATAGCTATTTTTGCCTCCTCATCCACAGCAAGCTTTCTCAGCTGGTTTGCAGATAAGTGGAGAGCTTTCGTTGCCGGATTCTTTGCTGAGAGTAATTTGTTGTTGAAAGGAACCATGAAGTCGTGTAGCATTTTGAGTCGAGCCAGCCTGGCCTGGAATGGCGCTGGTTCGTTCTGCAGTTTCCGCGGGAACAGACTCACCTCCTTCTCAGGCTGTGTCCTAGCCTCTGTACTAGCTTTGCTCGGTGGGGGTGAGACTGGTCTTGTCGCCGTTCGGGGGAGTGCATGATTGGTTTCGGCATCAGTCGGAGGCTGAGTAGAAGCTTGAGCAGTAACAGTTTGTTGCTTAGAGGGTGTAGAGGTTGGTTTGGAGATTGGTTTTGAAACACGAAGTCCCGTGAATACAAGTGGGTCGACTTCGTTCAAGGTAGCTTCAGCTTGCACAGTGGATTGTACCGCATCACTGTCGACCCTCAAACGTTTAGCATGCGGTTGACCATTAGTTGACAGCTCTATATTGTGCGATGCTGCACTGCCCGCCGGCGTAGTCGACGGCTTGTGGGAGAACAGACAATTTGGAAGCTTGCAAGTGTCAACGGAAGGGCAAGCCTGACCCTTGAAAATGCTGAACGTGGACGGCCACATGTTGGATCAGAAGTGCATGTTATCTGCTTCGATGAGCTAGGTAGTGTAACTGACAAGTCTGGTGCGGCTCATACCCAGATATGTGGTTTTCTTGCGGTGTGGGGTTGGGGCAGCCCAAGACAACCAATCTACATATGAGGGTCAAGTCCAAGAACCCAGCCGACGTGCCGCGCTTGTCAAAGTGAAAGCAACGAGGTAATCGAGAAACCCAACTTTGTGATCATGCGGCAAGCTTCAAGACTTTACTCGCACGGTGCGAGCCGAAGTGTTGACGCTGGAGATATCTAAAAAAGTGCTAGTATACTCGTTCGTTTCAAGCGAGCAACGCAGTCAATTCAGTATTGCAGTCGTTCAAGAGGTGCAGCCAGGCGAGTCCGAAGAAGGAAAGGGTGCAGGTGTTGCGACAACAAGAAGGGAAGGCGCTCATTGGCCCGTGCTCGGGCCCGCGCCAAGCTTCAGGGTCGCGCCTGCCGGGCGACTTTGCGGCGCCGATCTCGAGTTGTCGAGATGACGTAAGTGAAGTTACATGTGCTGCGCAGAGTGAAGGGAGGCTGAGCCATCGCATTCGCATACAGTTGGTTTACCGAAGGAGTCGGGCCAATACTGAGTCCGACCTTCCGTTCTGACGCTCTCTCTGTGCCGCCTAGCGCGGATTTAACGTCGTAAGAGGACTGCATGCACACTTGTCCGATAACAAAGCGGACGGACAGGTTACGGAGCTGAACATTATATCAATACCTACCGCACCACGGTTCTACATTTCCCTACAGATACATCTTCAGTTGCTCGCTTTTTCGACCCACACAATCTCAAGTAATCATGGCCGGCAAGGCAGACCATCTTTGTGTTCTTGTTCATGGGTAAGTGCATGCGTTCGGTACATTTCTCGCCCCGACGCCGCAGAGGCATCGAGGCTTGCACCACCGCGCTTTGCAAATAGAAGGCTGACTCTCCTACGCCAGACTCTGGGGAAACCCACAGCATCTCGACTTTCTACGCGACTCCCTCCGTAATAAATACACCGAAGACAAGATCCACGTTCTTGTCACGAAGCGAAATGCGGGAAGCTTCACGTACGACGGCATAGAGACTGGAGGCGAACGCGTCGCGCACGAGATCGAAGAAAGACTGGAGGAACTCGCACAGACCGGACATGAGATTCAAAAGATCAGCGTCATCGGGTACTCGCTGGGTGGTCTCATCTCACGCTACGCTATCGGCCTGCTATACTCGAAGGGATTGTTTGAGAAGATAACGCCCGTGAACTTTACCACGTTTGCTACACCACATCTCGGCGTGCGGACTCCTCGTCGCGGATATCTCAGCAATGCTTTCAACGTATTGGGCGCGCGTGTGCTTTCCACAAGCGGCAGGCAGATGTTCCTAGTCGACAGCTTCAGAGACACTGGACGACCCCTCCTTTCGGTACTCGCGGACGCGGATAGCATATTCATTCGCGCCCTCGCGCAATTCAAGCATCGCAGCTTGTACGCAAATATTATCAACGACAAGACCGTGGCTTATTTCACCGCTGGCATCTCTCAGACGGATCCCTTTGAACGAATAGAGGAGGTCAAGGTCAATTACCTGAACGGATACGAAGATGTGGTTGTGGATTCTCGCCATCCCGTGGATCCCAAGAAACCGGATGCGCTCCCTGTCTTCCGCCAACGCCTTTCGGTTGGTACGCGTGAATTCTTTCGCAAGATACCCACTATCGCCTTCTTTATAATCTTCGTTCCAATTGGCACGACCTTACTTCTCTCCAACGCTGCAATTCAATCTGTTCGTAGCCGCCAACGCCTACGCTTACATGAAACGGGAATGGCTGGCATTGACGTCAAAGGCTACCGCATCCCCTTGATGTTGAATACAGCGCGTCAAGAAATGGAAGATATGTACGAAAACATGAACAACCGACAAGGCCAAGATTACCTTGGAGCAGGCGAAGAAGAATTGGCATCACCGACACAGCAGCGGACATTTTCTTTCTCACAGAGAGCGGACGCAGCGGACTCTGAAGCAGAGTCGACAGTAGACGAGAAGTCCGAAATTCAGCTCGAATTTCCAACACTGGCGCTTACGGAGCATCAATTCAAGATGATCGAGAATCTGGATACTGTTGGGTTCAAGAAATACCCTATTCACATCAAGAACATCGGCCATACCCATGCCGCCATTATCCGGCGAATGGACAAACCCAGCTTCGACGAAGGTCACATTGTCGCCAGACACTGGCTCGACCATTTTGAAATCTGAGCTCGCTACAATCATCTATTTTCCTTTTATCATTGTGATCGATTCCAGCGAAGGCGTAACGGCGCTTGAACATACGGCATAATGCATGGTCAGGAGTTTACAATTTTATCTCGTACCGTTAGATTTCTTTGGTACTGATGGTGTAGTAAGGATGTCATTTTGGCGACTTTCTATCTATGTATTATCTATGTATACCCATGGTTTAGAGGAACTCGCAACAGACGCGTATATAGCGGTGACACAATCGAGCTACTCATATCTTAGCCTGGGCCTGCACACTGATCAGTCTGTCCTGTAATCGGATCCAATACTTCAACAGCTGTCGTCGGCTGTCGCAGCGTCACAACCGCCGACTTGCTTCCGACACACCGACCTTACACAGGCTGCCTCGCAAGTTGGAAGTCGCAGGCGGATGTGGCGTCGAGCTTTACGTCAATTGCGAGCACTACGAGCGGTCCGCGTACACCAACACGAGGGGTCTTTGAACGCTTGCGTAGCGCGACCAGCCCGCAGCAGCAAGTCCATCCATGAAAGGACCTCAGCTCTACAAATATAAGAAATGCGTACTTTACCAGCAGTTCCCTGAAGTGACTTACTTCACTTCACAGCCCAATTATCGCCTTAGCTAAATAAAACCATCCAAAGTGCCCAAGCACCATGATCACACAAGACACCAAAACCCATTTCCTCGCCCAAGACACAATCGTCATCTCCGGCGCCGGCATCTCAGGCCTCGCCTTCGCCCTCTCCCTCCACAAACTATGGCCCTCCCATTCCCCTCCCATAACCCTCCCCCCATAACCCTCTACGAACGCGACCCCTGCGCCGTGCCCGGGGCCGCGAGGGCTACAGTCTCAGTCTGCGCAGTGACCGTCCTTCAAAAGGGATACAGACACTGCAGAAGATGGGGTTACTGGATCGTATGCTGGGGCTGAGTATAATGGCTATGGGCGAGCATGATGAGAAGAGCGATAACGGAGAGGGAGAAGAAGGCGGGTTCTGCGTCTGGGACAAGAACTTCGGCAAAGTGCTTAAAGTGACGAGTAAAACGCCGGACGGGTGTCCCGTCGCGGGGCTGCGTATTGCGCGCGCGGATCTAAGACGGACGCTGGTGGATGCTGTGGAGGGACTGCCGGGTGTGAGTATTAGGTGGGGTGAAGGGATTACGTCTGTGACCTTGGGCGGTTCGACGGCGAAGGGGGAGAACGACTTCCAGATTACGACATCGAAGGGGAATGTCGTCCCGTGTACACTGCTTGTCGCGGCGGATGGGTCCAGCTCGAAACTTCGCGAGTTCCTCCGCCCGGATGACGGACTGCACTTCGCTGGCCCAACGTGCATTTATGGCGTTACGTCTATCCGGAAACACCACCCTTCGAAGCGCCACGATGAGTTCGGCGCCGCGATATCAGGCACGGGGACGGCGTGTTTCGTTGCGCCCGTCGATCGGGAAAAGATGATGTGGTCTCTCTCATGGATCGTTCCCGCCCCTCCTACGCCCAAGAAACGGCCTTTGAGCGAAGAAGATGCTGATGCTTTGCTGAAAGAGGCGAGGGAGAAGGGCAACGTATTTGGGGAGAATTACAGGGAGATGCTGCAGGACACGGAGGTGGAGAGTCTAACGCAGTTCAATGCGATGGACAAGCAGCCTTTTGTGCATTCAGGGGCGTACATCACCGCTCCGGGTCTTGAGAACCTGAACGGGAGGATAATCTTTCTAGGAGACGCGAATCACGCAGTCTCGCCGTTCGCGGGTAACGGGGCTAATCTTGCACTCAAGGACGGATGGGACTTTGCGGAATCTTTGGCGCACAGTGAGTCTCTGGAAGAAGCGATTGGGAAGTATGATGTGCTGGCTGTTGGGCGTGCGAAGCAAGTTATACGCATCAGTCACTTTAGTATCATGGTGATGCACAGTAAGGGATGGATGCTGTGGGTCTGGTACGTATCTCCTGGGAATTTGTGGTAACCCTTGCTGAGAATGCACAGGATGGGTTTGTTGAGATTGATCAGGCTGCTTTTCTTCAAAAGCGTAGATTGAGCGATGTAATGCTGAGTCTTCAAGTTTTCAGGTATCAGTATCAAACATCAAAGCACGTATGCCTTGCCGCTGCTTGCTTGCCGAGTCCATTTGTAGGATTCCCACAATTTATCCAATTGATCAGCGCGGGCGTGAACTCAGTGGTCAGCGTTCAAGGTACATCGCGCAGTAAGATAGGTTTCGCAGGGTTCGTGTCCATGTCACAGCCAACCAAATAGAACATAAAGACATGATAGGGTATTCCATTTTCCGATTTTTCCAATCACCCAAAAACCTCTGTCCGAGAATTATATGACCGGACTTGACCTAACCTGAATGAAGAGCCCCAATCCACCGCGCTCATATTTTTTCCCCTACGCGTCCCAATGCAGGGTGGTCGCTGCGCTAGTGATCGCTTTTGTGTAAACTTACAGTCGTTCGGACGTACATACACTGGCTCTCCATAGTCATCCCAACCGGAGAGTTCCGGGTTGGATGTTTAAAGATAGCATTGGTTTAAGAAAGCATGAATCATGCAAGTCTATTCGTTTTCTTCGCCTTCCAGTAAAGTGTACTCGAGAATGTCGCTTAAAGTCAATACGCCCTTAAGCTTGTTCTCCTCGTCGATGACGATGAAGCGATGCACGCGGGATCTGCGAATCGTGTCATATATGGTGGAAAGCTGATCTTGCATCGAGCATGTGTAGATGCCGGGAAAGTCCTAAGCCTGTTTAGCAAATTCTCAAAGAAGCCGGGATTGGTCAAACATACTTCTGAGCGCTTGAGCAGAGCATCGCCAACGCTGAGATTCAAATCGTCGTAGATTCCGCCCTTGATGAGCGTGATAACATCAACGGACTCGAAGACGTTGAGAACCGTGCCTGTCTGGATAAGTCATTGGGCTTCACACTGGTCAAATCGGGCTTACCTTGTTTGTCGATGATTGGAACACTCGAGATGCTCTTCTTCACCAGCATGTGAATCACATCCATGACAGGTGTATCCATATACGCCGTTGCCAGATTGTCATATGTTCCCACCTTCATCAACTCTTTTAGTGGTTTGCGCAGCTTCTGCGTCTCCTTCACGTTCACAGCCACGAACTTGAGCAGTCGGTATTGTGTGATAACGCTGACAACTGTGGTGCGGCGCGTCTCATCGTCAAAGTCAACAATGGGTATGCGACGGGCGCGGGCTTCGAGCATTCTGCGACATGCTTCGTAGAGCGGTCGTTCAGGGTGGATGGAGACTGTTTCTATGGGCGTAACGCCGAGGGACTTTTCGATGTCTAAAAGGTTAGCTTTGAGTAGTGAGAACGGAGACGGAGAAGCTTACCGCGCAAACTGTTCAGGCGGAACTGGTCGACTCTGGCAAGGGCATCAGGGTTCTGCCAGTAATACTGAATCACATTCAGGTAGTCGGATGTCGTGAGCAGACCGGCGAAGGTCGATGTTTTAGAATCCCACAAAGGGGCAGAAACGATGCCTAGTCACACCGTTAGCAAGGACTGGTAGAAAACATGCTACGCGACCCACCGTTTTGTATGAGTATGTTTAGGCTCTTCTTGACGAGCAGCGCTGTGTCGAATATGATCAAGCGGTAACTGAGCGGCAGCACGTCGTAGCTCGTCCGCACCTTCAGAAACGCGCGGATGGTTCTCTATAGTTCAATTAGCCCAGGCAGAAGCCAGCGTTGCAAAGGCGCGTACCAGGCCGTCCAGCTGCTCTTTGTCTACCGCGGTCAAAGCCCTCGGCGGCAGGATCGGCCTCCCCTGCTCAAGGAAGTCCCGCGGAGTGACAAAAGTCGGACGTTCATGGGGTTGCGGCACGTCATTGGCGGCAGTGGGCGGGTTCGGCGGTGCGGACGTCGCTGAGTCGGCCGTGTCTGCGCCAGACATCGTGACTCCGGAGCTCCTCTGGACGGAGCCGCATGGAGGAGATGTGAGGCACGCGTGGAGAAGCTGCAAGGAACTGCGCGAGCCAAATAGCGGGTCAGAATCGTGGGCTTGTAGGGTTATTTGAGGTCCCGCGCGGCTGCAATGTCGGGCCTTCAAACGAGCTCCTCGCGCGCTAACGGCGGGGCTCACCTCACCCATGGGGCCCTGGCACCGAGGGGCATCCGGCATCGCAAGCTTTCACGAGTCATGACGCCGTGACCTCAGCTGCGGGTTCATCTTTCGCATCCGAATTTGTAGGATTTCAGCAACGCCAGGCTACATGGTACAGCTAACGAGGTGCAGTGAATCGACTCATGGAAAGGAAACCGCACGGATACAGCGACGTGGAACCCAAAGCGCGGCCGCTGCCTATCACCCACTGCTCACAAAGAGCCTACTTCTTTCCAAGACTGCAGGCCTTTTCTATCTTCTTAACTTACACACCCGCCGACAGTCCAAAAGTTGTTCATCATCCAGGATTCTTCCGAGCAGCCTTCACAGCTTCCGCATTCAACTCCGGCCCATTCTCCTCCTGTTCGTCTTCCTCCTCCTGAATCACGTCCTTTGCAGCACTCTCTACCGACTGCTCCGGCTCTCCTATCTCCCTCTTAGCCTGGGCAACGATGGCATCTGCTTCACTGATACCTGGCTGCGTGCTAGGCGGGTTCTTATCCACGCCGAGCTGAGCCTCAGTCTTGCGCTGTTTCAGTGCCTTGTTATCGAAGCGTACGACCATGCATGATAAGTTGTCCGTGGAGAATCGCGCGAGAGCATGGTCAACCAATGTTTTTGAGGCGACTTGCGGGTCTTGGACTCCGCGAACGAGGTCGACGGCCTCCTGATCGGAACACACGTCCCAGAGCTATGCATGGTCAGCTACGATCCTATTCTCAGCAGGCTATTCAACTTACCCCATCGCAAGCAAGAATCAAAAACTCGTCTTGATCGGGTTGAATGACCGTCTCGGTTGTGTAAGGGTGTCCAGTGACCAGATCCTTCATGTACGCATCTCCCAGTGCTCGCGTGACAGCCAAAACACCATTGACACGGTTATTGAGGATCAAGCCACCAGCGCTAGCAACGCGGCGGCCTTCATTGTCGTCGCTGCCCTTGTGATCGTAAGACAATCGGAGTGCTCGCCCATTGCGGCACAGCACTATCCTGGCATCACCCACGTTCGCAGTGTATAGGACTCTCTGGCGGCTAGCGTCGTTTCGCAGTTTAGTCTCCACGGGATGCTCTTGGGCCACTTCTGCCGTCGAAGACGACTCTGCAGTGCTGGTAGTTTCCGATTGCTTCTCGCCCCCGTCGGTTGCGTTCTTCAAAGCTGACACCGCAGCTGGTGCGAACAAGGTAGAGCCGGTTGACGAAGCTTGGTTGGGCACACGATCTTCCCATCTCAGCACTGCTATCACGGCGGTGCAACCGCTGTTCTTAAGGGGCAGCTTCTCTAATTGCTGATCCACAAGCGTAAATGTTTGATCTAGGAGCTCCGGTATAGGCGTGTTGGGGTTTCTTCGAATGGTTTCTTCAAGGAGCAGATGTAGTTTCTTTCCGCACCAATCTGCCGCAAAGGTGCCGGCATGTCCATCGAAAATCGCGAAGTACCCGTTGTCAGTCTCCACGACCGGTAGATCCGAAGAGCTAGATCCGTCTGAAAGCGAGCCGCGGCTCTTATCCGGACTGAAGTTCGGGGCGGGCGTACTGAGGAAGTTATACAAGTACGCATGCGTATCCTCCATAGTCCTCCTGCATTTTTTATTCTTGTCCTCCGTCACACCAACGCGAAACGTGGAGTACGGTCCTGGATGCGATTCGCCAGCCGAATTGTTCAGTGAACCCTGAGGCACACTGAGCGCAGGGTCGGCTTTTCCAAGCTTCTGCATAGGCGTCTGCATGGTCTTTTCTACGCCACCAGAGCCAGATGTCGGCGACGATCCAAGGTGGAGGGATTGTTTTGCACTGGAGAACATGTCTCGGGCGCGCGACGCGGTGCTACTCCTCCGCTTCTTCTCGGAAATGGGACTGGGTTCGGTGGCTTTGCGCTCTACAGCGGGCGTGTTACTGTTCCGCTTCTCGGCGGGGGGGTTGGCATTTGCGCCCTTGGATGCGTCCGTGGCCGCAGCGATGTCTATTGTGGCTTCGTCATCTTTGCCGGGCGATGTGCCAAACATCCTGTTCAAAAGTCCTCCCGAGCTGGAGAAACTCCGACGCTTATTACCAGCCAGGATGAGAGATTCGCGAAAACGCTCGCTCGTTGCGCGGGGTAGGGCTACGGATACGGCTGCGACCAAGCAAGCAAAGAAGAGGGACTGCGCGTCGTGTGTGGTGACGTCAGGTTCCTGCACGCAAAGCAAATATTAGCACAGCTGCGCACCAGGGAGTACAGACGGGCAGATACATGATGAGGGGCGGGCACGCCAGCGTTGGGCCGCCCCGGCGCGGAGCTGCTTACGCTGCCGGCGTGTCAGTGTCACAACATACCGGAGTTAGGGGATTTCGTACGATCTAGCGTGTAAGAGGTAGGGGAGCGTAGTAGCGATATGCAGAGGTAGGTCGGGCAGGGGAGGGGAGAAGGGAGTACGTCGTCGGCGAAGTGGTGAAAGACGCTGTCCACTTAGGCGCTGGACTAGCGAATGACGTCGGGGAACGGTTGCTTGGGAATCGGCGCGCGGTCGCACACTGCGGATAGCTGCAGGCGCGAAAAGACCGGACAAGACAGCTTGGAGTGGGCCTGGGGTCTATTTAGGGCCCGAGGTGCACAGCAAGAAACGATTATGTTTGTCCTTCCCAGCGCACGAGGCTTGCATTCAAGTGCGGGGATGCAGCTGTAGGCAGCCCTACTTGACCACCAGTTCCCCGCTTGATTGCACAAACACCCGCCTCAACGTGGCTCAGCCACCGGCACTTGGTCCGCGTTCGGTCAGTTTGTCTCAACGTTTACATGCCTGGCTTTCACACGCAGAGCCTTTCAGAGTGAACCCGTGGCCGGTTATCGAACCAAAGAGAGTGTTATTCTTGGATCTAGATGCGCTTGCTGAGTGATCGACAAGATCTGGCGAATAATTGCATGGGTATAGTGGGGCAGAAGCTGCAAACACAGGTAATCCTCAATCATGCCCTGTGTTTGTAGTCGTATGCTCCGAGCATCCTGAGCTCAACTGTAATGCATCTCCCATATGCTGCAATGGGTCATGGTTTCCATGTAGAACGCAATAAACAGCCCCATCTTAAACTGTCCCACGTGCGCGGACTGCCTACGTAGACTTCTACACGGCACAGCAAATGATATCCTCCTACGTTCCGCAACGCCATCGCGTCGTAAATGTCATGTCAGTAAGTCTTCTTATCGCCTCAAGCTGTCCAGTCGGGCTTGCAAGTCATCGTCACCGGGGTCGCCTCCGCCAACCGCTTGTGCTACACGGTTGTCCGCCACTGCGGTCTTTTGAATGTCGGTCGGTGTCTCTCCAAGCTATGCCATTGTGAGTGTGTGAACAAAATAAAAGATTAGCCATACTCACAGCTGAGCCGAGATCGATACCCAGCTCGTCCATGACCTGGTTGACCACGTCTTCGCTCTCCTCCTCATCTTCTACGCCCATGGCATCGTCGACGGCGTCATCCATCATCTCTTGTCGCTGGTCCATCATGTCGTTCTCCTTCTCAAACTCCATGGCTATGCGCTGCAGGGCTGGAAGATTCATTTGCCGGTTCATGGTACCGAGTATTTCTGTAGATCATCAGCAACGACGTTCGAATCAAGGGCCTGGGAAACCCTACTTGTCGCTCCCTTCATCGACTGCATCATCTGCTCGTTGCTACGGACAGTCTACCGAGAGTCAGTCACAATGCCTTGTACGGTGTTCAACCGACTCACCTGTATCCTAAGGGATATGGCCTGCAGTTGGGTACGCATTTGGTAGAACTTCTGGATATATCTGTGCAGCTCTCTTAGTACCGTGTTAACGCAAACACCGTGTTGACCCACCTCCTAGTCCGCACGAGGTCCTTCGCCTGTATCTTGACTACATTCATTTGTCCAGCTTTTGCGCTCTTCTTGATATCCGCCTCTAGCTTCTTCGATTGGTTCTCTAGTTTCACACGTTCGCGATCGAGTTCTCGTTGTGTCTTCTCGAGGGCGCGCTGGTGCTTGCGCAGACGCTCGGCGGGCGTCATGCGCTTGCCAAAGGCCCATTCCACGATCTAAGTGATTGTTAGCAGCTAGTTATGTTTGCGCATAGCAATACGCACGTTCATGGTGAATTGAAGCGCAGAAGTTTACGAATGGTATCGTGCGTTCAGAAGAGTTGAGGCGGCCCTTGGGTTCAAGATGGTGCCTGCTACGTCGGCGGTCGGCCCAAGCTTCGGCGGCGGCGGCGACTTTGGTGCTTCAAGTGTACCTTCACTTGGCAAATACAACCAAACAAAAGGCGCCAGTTTTTAGTCGGTTGATGTTCGATTCGAGAGCATTCGTATAACCGGTTAATATATCTGACGTAGTGAAAATAGTGGGTTGAGGCGACAGGGGATGAATGCTTGCTTCACGTGTGCTTGGCGCGCCGAAGATTTGGCTCCCGCTTCGCATGGCGTTACGACATCCTTAAACTTTCACCTGATCTTCATCCTCCACCTCGAAAACTCTCGATAACCGCGACATGCTCCCATTCCAATCAACCCGCCGTACTACGTAATCCATGAATTCTGATAAGCAACCCGAAAACCCCTCCACCCCTGGGGAGTCGTCCTCAAGTGGTCGCGACAATGGCCCACCTCCGGGGTATATGACGGTGGGGACTGGTTCGACACCCGAAGCGGCTGCGCGTCTGATCTCAATGCTAGATCAAGACTCAGGCTATGGTGGGAGCATCACTGACGGAGAAGCTGGTCGCTGGCATAATAACATTGGTGAAGACAGACCGGGCGCGCCACCGACGCCCGTCCTCCCTGGCAGCAGCACCGGATCCGCTGAACAGGACAAGCAACGCAGCCATGTTCTACAATTACGCTACAACCAGAACAAGAACGCACTTGGCCGTGCTATACATGGGACCATCGATATCCTGAAGGGCTTTCAAGAAGAAAACCTCAAATGGCCGGCGCATTACCCTACCATACCTGCCGAGTCAAAACAGACCTCACACATCCGCTCGCAATCTAGACCTGGTCTAGCACACACCCAGTCTGCGATGGGCGACTTCCAGCCACCCCGATCTCCCGACCGACCGCGAGGTTTGCGCCGTGCAGGCACGTCGTTAGGGCCTGATTTCGAGGCTGAGTCCAGTGCTGCAGCGGAGAAAGAACAGAAGCCAGAGCCTCGCCTCATCACACCGCAACTCGCCCACGACTTTTCGGTGCTGAAGCTTGAGTTGCGCATGGGTGGACGGACACAGACAGACCTAGTACACTCGTTAGAGAAAGGATCCATTGCTTCCCTGCTAGACGGGCAAATTCAGCAGAGTGTTCGGCATCTGTATGCCATCAAAGACAGAATCGAGGACACGTCGAGCAAGGTCCTAGTCACCGGTGATCTGAACGCGGGCAAATCGACCTTTTGCAACGCCCTACTTCGGAGGAAGGTTTTGCCAGAGGACCAGCAGCCCTGCACGAGCATTTTCTGCGAGGTCCTGGATTTCCGGGAGAATGGCGGTGTTGAAGAAGTCCACGCCGTGCCGCTTGGATCCGTATACAACCGTCACGATGAAAGTACCTACACGGTGTTCGCCCTCAAAGATCTCGAGAAGATTGTCATTGATAACGAGCACTTCTCGCAGTGCAAGATCTATATTCAAGACATCCGCTCGGTCGACGAATCGTTACTGAACAACGGTGTTGTCGACATTGCACTCATCGATGCGCCCGGCCTCAATGCGGACTCCGTGAAGACCACCGCGGTCTTTGCACGACAGGAAGAGATTGATGTAGTAGTATTTGTTGTTTCAGCAGCGAACCATTTCACCGAGTCGGCCAAGAACTTCATCTTCACAGCCGCCCGCGAGAAGGCCTATATTTTCATGGTGGTCAATGGTTTTGACGTCATTCGTGATCAGCAGCGGTGCAAGGAGATGATCCTCAAGCAGGTTCATGGCTTAAGTCCAGCAACATTCAAGGAGTCAAGCGAATTAGTCCATTTCGTATCCAGCAACGCTATCCCGGTGAACAACTCTCCTGGCGATGACGGTGACGATGACCCTTCGGACAAAGGCAAAGGGAAAAACCCTGAGAAAGAAAGAGACTTTGGAGATATGGAGACTTCATTACGGCGTTTTGTTCTCGAGAAGCGAGCTCGATCGAAGTTGGCGCCTGCGAAGACATATCTATTAAACGTCCTCGGCGATGTTCACAACCTGGCTACTGTGAACCGCGATGTTGCTCAGTCAGAATTGGAGCGAGTAAAGAAAGAGTTGGATGCTTTGGAGCCAGAGTTTGAGGAATCAAAGAAGTCGCGAACAGAGGCTGGAGAGACCGTGGACCGACTTGTGGAAGATACAACCTCAGAGGTTTACGGACATACTCGAGACACGCTCCAAAACTGTATAACCAAGGTGGGAGAACAAGATCTAGGCATCGAATATCCAGGTCTGCTGTCTGCCTATCAGTACGCCGAAGACATCAAAGACTCAATGTTACATGAGATTACGGAAACTGTACGGTTGTGCGAGGAGAACGCGCGCACCCAGGCAGCGCAAGGATACAATGGCATCAAGAATCTCGGTATATTGCACCTTGGTAACATGCACACCGACATCATGTTCCGTGCAGACAGGATGTACAGGAGATCCGCTCATGCGCTTGCCCGCCAGGTTGACATCGACATTGAGCTATGGGACTTCTTTGACGTCGCTAGTCTGTGGGAGCGTCAAGAGAAGGTCGCAGGGACGGGCATGGCCGTCACCGTAGCGGGCGTAGTGGGCGGCCGTTTGGTGGGCGGCGTCGGTTGGCTAGATGGTGCCCTGGGAGCGGCGAAGATCGTTGGCTCGAACAACCTTCGGAGACTTATCATTCCTGGTCTCATTGCAGGTGGTACGTGCAAAGCCCTCATGTGATTTGAATGCAAGATTCGTAGCTAACAAGACTTACAGTCGCCATCGGAGTCTCGTACATTCTGGCATCCGTTCCCAAATCACTACCGCATCGCCTCAGTGCGAAGCTTTCGACGCAACTAGCAGCCATCGACTACACGCACTCCAATGCTTTTCGAATCAGCTCTGAGGTCCGCCGCGCGTTGAAGGGCCCCGCGAAGGAAGTCCAGATTGGCCTCCAGCGCAACGTAGAAAAACTTCAACTCAAGAGGGAGGAAAACGATAAGCTTAGAGCTGAAGCTTCGGAGGCTAAGAAATATTTCTCCAACTTGTTCCGCACGTCAAGCGAGCTGCGCCAGAATGTGCAGCGAATCGATCTGGAAGCTGCACCGCCAGCTGCTGTCAGCGCTGGTTTGTAGATGCACAGAAATTGTGATGCATTAGGAGTTGTCTCAGCTCTGTATACAAGTATTGCGGACTGAGGAGCTACGGTTTCATGGCGTTCCACGGATCATTGTCGGCGCGAAGTTGTTTTGTGACTGGCGTTTTACTGGCTGGCATGACACGATGTAATTGGAAAAGAATCTTTTCTCTGTATACATGTTTAGTCTAATCAATACCCCCCTTTGCCCTTATGTAGAAATGTCGATCGTTAACACAATACCCTCTTTGAAAATGCTCTCGTGTGCATAAACTTATACGGACACTTTATAACTCCTTTGCATCTTAGAGATGCTAGCATACGAGTAGACAAAGAGATGATATCGGAAAGTTCAATGTCCAATCCATCTTTCAACTGCCACTGCGAGACACCTCAACTGCATAAGCGTTGTGTTACCCCTAACGCCAAGCAACGTGGCTGCGGACCTCCGAGCGGCAGCGTCATCCGAGTACCCCAGCTTAGGCACCACGTTAGACCAGAACCACTGCCCCTCGATGGCTTTCGCAACCTCTCAACCGCCCTGATGGAAGTCCGCCGGGACCCGCGCCAGTTCCTATTCTTCATCATCCTCCTGCTCCTCATCAACTCGCCAGAGCCGCAGAATCCTGGCTTTAACACGCGATCGCGCTACGACGAGGTCATCGAACGCGAGTGGGAACAGCTCGATATTCTAAATAGGACGGGATGGGGGGACTTTGACGCAAAAGAGAAGAAGTGGCTGAATGTTACGGGGCTGAGGGAGCAGGATGCGTTTACGTGGGATGTCTTAGGGGATGTTAAGAGTAGGGCACGTGAAAGGATGAAGGGCGTGTTAGGAGAGAGCGCACAGGGCTGGCTGGACGGAAGGAACGATGAGTCCAAGAAGGAGACGGTGTATAGGAATATCTCCGGCTTTGTGCAGGGCGAATGGGTTCGGAGCCCTTTGAGTCGGACACGGCCCGCGCTCGATCTGATGAATACAACTGGGAAGATACACTTTGACTCGCAGCTCGGCGAGTTCGACAGAAACCTCACGGGGTCGCATGGAATGGTCAGACTGCATCTTACGGAGGTGGACGGCCGACAGCGGACGGATGACAATCGGACAACGAGTGAGCTTAAAGCGAAGGTTGTTATTGAGGATGCGGATAGTTGGGGGGATAACTGGTGGGAGTTCAATCTCAACGGGATACACTATCCAGAATTTGGAGGCGCTGTGTTGACCACGACGAGCGAAAGGTAGGGAAGCGGTGGTGTATCCTACATAGAGTTTCGGCTGACAATCATAGGTTCTCTGGGGTTTTTGCCCTTCCACATTTACAGCTCTCGCCACACCTTTACAAAAGCTCTCAAGAACTACTCAACCGGACGATACACCAGACTATACAGAACCAACTAGAACGGCCGTTCCCTGTATGGAATCCTTGGTCATCTGCCGTAGAAGGCGCAGCTGAGGGAGTCATGGCTGTAAGCCACTGCGAATTCATACTGTATCTCCAAGAGGCTCCTGTACAGCTCATTGATCGACATGGACAGCCCTTCAAACAACCGGACCTGGACTGGCTTGAACATGAAATTCGATATCCCACTGGCGCAAACGTTCCTCTCCACTCGCAGATGGCCATGGACATGGTCGGTTTCTCTCCTGACTGCGGCTTCGTCTTTGAGTCGAAAGGTCCTCCAGACTTTCCACCTTCCCAAGCCATGCACTTACGCGGTTCAAAGACCGAGGAGTTCAACGATGACGCCAAAAGAAGCATTCTTGCTTTCGCCGTTACTCTGGCTTTGCAGCTCATGTTCATCATCAGGCAGGCCAAGGAAGCAGCAACACCGTCCACACGGAACCGGATAAGCTTCTACACCATCGCCATGATGGCTCTAGGAGATGGTTTCATGTTCCTTGCCCTCGTCTTTCTGCACCTGTTCCTGGGCACGTCGCAACTGCAGCTTTACACGATTGCATTCCTCGCACTGTTCTCGGTCGTGCTGGAACTCCGATTCTTGATGGACATCTGGACCGTCCAGGTCACGGAGCAGCAGCGTCAAGACCGCCAACAAGCTTCCACCACACCACCAAGCCCGCAGCCTCCACCAAGCCCACAACCTCCATCAATACCAAACCCTCCAGCGACCACACCTCGCGCACCACCTCCGTCTAGTGATACCCTTCCCGTCCCTGCAACGGCTAACCAACCGCAAACCACTCCAACGCCACCTCCCCCGGTCATTGTCGCTCCAGACCAAGACGACCCGGCGGACGACGAACCTCTCCTCCCAACCACAAACAACCCAACACCAACCACACCGACCACACCGGCCACAACAACCACAACGTCTCCCCGCGCCGAACTCGGCGCCCTATACAGCCGCTACTGCTTCCTCCTCATCGTCACCTTCTTCATCACCCTCCAATTCACCACCATGCGCTCCACCGCCCGCGCCTTCTACTTCAACACCCTCTCCTTCCTCTACCTCTCCTTCTGGCTCCCCCAGATCTATCGCAACATCATGCGCAACTGCCGCAAAGCGCTCCGCTGGGACTTTGTCCTCGGCCAGTCCCTCGTCCGGCTCGTGCCCATCGCGTACTTTTACGCAGTGGAGGGGAACATCCTGTTCAGTCGAACGGACGTGCAAGGTCTAGCCGTGCTGGCGGGCTGGCTCTGGGTGCAGATTGTCATCCTAGCCGCCCAAGAGGTGCTAGGTTCGCGCTTCTTCGTGCCGCCCTCCTGGGCGCCGCCCGCATACGAGTACCACCCCATCCTCCGCGAGGACGAAGAAGGCGCCACCATGCCCATCGGGTCCTCCGCCCCTATCACAGACGAAGAGTCCACCGAGTCACGCAGCAAGGGGAGGAAGGTGTTCGACTGCAGCATCTGCGCGACGGACATCGAGGTCCCTGTTATTCCGGCGGGCGGCGGCGGCCCGGATGTGCAGGGCTTGGGGGGCTTGACGCTGCAGCGGAGAGCGTATATGGTTACGCCGTGTAGGCATATTTTTCATACGGGGTGTTTGGAGGGGTGGATGAGGTATAGGTTGCAGTGTCCGAATTGTAGGGAGGTGCTGCCGCCGCTGTAGATATTATTATGCATAGGATTATGATCTCTTTGACAACGGGGGTAAGACGTGAAGATATAGAGTTATGTGTGTGGTGATGTTTGTGCGGTCGTTCGAGGGTGATATGCACGACGAGGAGTTGCATTAGAAAAGTGTGAGGGGCATGAGGTTTACGGCGAACCGAGACATGCTGGGTGACAATCAAATGCATACTATGATTAAGTAAAGCTGAGAAATGGCGTGGACCTTCTCGCATCATCGTCATTATCCAAGATCCTCCCAATGCAAGCCTATCTAGAAAGTGCAAAACAACGCCAGGCAATGCCGCCCGGTAGACCATCATACTAGTATAAAAGTGGTATCTCCGCAGTACGCAATGTACACATTTTTTCCACCTGCTTGACTTCTTTGAGCTCAACATATTATACCATGTAAACTGCGGGAAGCGCCCCGCTCCACAGTACATGCACGCTTCGAAGAGCGATTATCCCACTAAAACATCAGCCTAACAGGCGCAGACGTCGCCGTCGGCTGAGCGTCAACCACAGACGTAGTAGGCTTAATGTTTCCAATATCGCACCACGTAGTGTTACCCGTCTTGATAGGCTATACATTGTTAGCACTCATCCTTCTTCTCTACTGCCAGCTGAGAATAAACTTACCAAACACGTCAAATGATGACACCACGAGCAGCCATTCCGCCACTCATAAAAGTTTCTCAGCAGCAGAATGAAGCCCACAAACACGACCACGAGCAGCGCCGCGCGGACCAGCCACCAGGCCCACCAGAAGGGTTTGCGTCCTTTGAAGAAGCCTACGGGCTGCTTGACGAACTTTTGCAGTCCGGGCGCGGCGTCGGCGGTGGGGTCTTGACTCGCAGGGGCATAGGGCGGTTCATCGACGCCGATACGTTCGCGGAGTGCTTGCGGCGAATGCAAGATGCAAATTCCCAGGACGAAACCCATCAGGAACCCACCGATATGCGAGAAGTTGTCCAGACCGGGGAGTAGACCCAGCACGAAAGAGATAGCGATGTCGAGAAGGAGAAAGAGCAAGTCCTTAACGGGGGAGCGGCGCGTGCTCCAATTGTAGAGCAGGTCAAGCATGACGAGGGCGAGGATGCCGAAGAGGGAGCCCGACGCTCCGACCGAGGAGATGCCTTCAGCGGCGTAGTTTCCTCCGAGCACGAAACCGAAGATTCCGGAAGCGAAGTACACGAGGGCGAAGCGTAGGGGTCCGATCTCCTTCTCCATGTCCCTCCCCAGCGTCAATTGAAGCAGCATGTTGAAACCGATGTGGATCAGTCCTGCGTGCAGGAAGATTGGTGTGATGAAGCGCCACCATTGGTCTGGCTCCTGGTCCTTTTTAGTGTCGCGGTCTTTCCAGGCAAGGCTATCGGGTTGAGCGGGGACGCCGCCCATGCCGCAGAGTTCGGAGAGGGTGCAGGTGGAGTCGGACGTTGTGGTGTTGGGGCAGGGCCAAAGCTGGATGTTGTTGTCGAGCACGGCTTCGACGTAGTGCATGCAGGGCTGGTAACGCGCGCCCATGTTGATCAGAACGTAGGGTGAGGGGCCAATCATGATGTTGAAGTTGGGTTTCGTTTGAATGGGTGAGCCGGTCAGAACACCTATATTGTTTGTTAGCACGCGGTCTCGCCTTACGATACTATAGAAACCATCCGAAGCCTCTATCAAAGATGTTGCTTGGGGTTTGAACAAAACTTGCACATACCATTTTTAATGATCTCCCCTACGAACACACCAATCTGTACGGCGGTCAGGATATACACCACCCACGTAATCTTCCCGCTGAACCATCCTTTCTTCTTCTTTCTCTTCTCTCTCGGTCTTCCCTCAGGATCCATCTGATATACGCCTGCTGCAGCAGGATGTGTTCCCATCTTCCCTTGCTGTTGCAGCGGGATGGCGTTCTGGTCGGCGAAGGGATCGTGCTGTGCAGCTGCGGGCGGTGAATCGTATCGGTTGTTATACGGATGCGACTGGTCGTTGCCGTGGTATGCTGTGTCGCTGTAGTTTGAGGAGGCGCCAGTCTGAGTGTGTGTGAGATGAGCGGTCGAAGAGTAGTCGTGGTGTGGGCGGTTGTCGTAGCGGTTCGCATCGTCAAAAGGTGATGATACTGGCGATACGGATTGCAGCGACTGCGCGGAAGTAGTGTGATGTGGGGGTTCGGGGCGCGAGCCTGCATTGTTGCCTCCTGGATAGGACGAGTAATAGTCATTGGCAGCCATGGTGGCAGATGGGCCCGGCGTCGAGGGTGCTTTACGAGCAGCAGCACGGATTGTACAGAAGTCTGCAGATGCGGGCCGGAGTCGGCTGCTGACGAGCCTATAACAGGCGGATGGGTGAGAGTCGGGATAAGGGAGGCGCGACGGAGGGTGTGGTGAGCAGTCGGGAGAAGATGGCCGGAGTTCGTTTTGTTGTTGGCACTGGGCAAGGTGACGATGGCTGGTGGTGGTCCAAGAGTCTTGCGCAACAACAATTCGACACGGGTTAGGCGGCCTGAACGAAATCAGAAGCGAGAGAAGAGCATAAACGAGGGCAAGGGCGCATGCGTCTATATAGCATGCACCAAGACTTTTGAGCTGAGCAGCATATGCAGATCAGAGGCTGGACGAGCACTGCATACGACGGCCAGGGCCTCCAGCGCAGGCTATGGTGCCCTGCGCTACGCACCGCGCCGCTCAACCCTGTCCTACGCATCCAATCACGCCCGTGGCTCTTTCTGTGCCCCTGTCAGATGCTCCATCTGAAACGGAGCGATCTGCCTGTTGCTTTAAATAATCCTGGGGCAAAGTCATGCTGAGTGACGGCATTCAACTGCTTTTTGACCCATATGGGTATGGAAACTTCAAGAACCGGAGCTTTACCACCTAGCCGAGGAAGAGGAACGCCTCATCGGAGGTTTGGCTCTGTCTTGCAGGTTGGGACACATCGTGATGTTGTTGCGCCGACGTACTCGAGCCATTGTGGCGCCCAAGTGCAGTGGCGGAGCTGCGCTGGCTGTCAAATGTGGACCTTCATACGCAACATGGCTGACGTTCCCAACGCGCTGTATCCACAAGAAGTCCTACCAGCCTCAACTTTCACGAAAAAAATATTCAAACGCCTTTCCCTTTCCATGCAATCGTATCTCGAGATAACTGTGCTAAGGCTTCTCGCGCGCCGGAAATTTGGCAGCCTCGGGCATCTAAAAGCAGCCAACGCTACAGCAAACTCCGTCCATTCATCGTGCTTCGACGCGCGAAAAGGGTCTTTCGTCTCTTATGCTAGCGTGCGGCACTTTTTCATCTCCAAGCCTGTGGTCGGAGATTTCTGCCATCCCACAGCGTGGGACAAGTCGGACCCATGTGATCGTGCCGCGCTCGGGCAGCATCGTTCCCGTTTGGGCAGAGAGCGTGCATCACAGCACTTGGCTTGATCGTGCAAGGCCGACTCAAGACCGACACTTCCATTGGAGATGACAGAATGATTCATCTTTTGAGCTGCCTCATTTGAAGTAGGCATTATGCTTTATCGCCGATAATGAAAGCCCACCGCTGGAATATACCAGTCGGAATGTAACCAATAAAGAGCATTGAGGTTGCTCAGTGCTCTAAAGAATATGACACGTACAGTGTCCTACCCAACGCCAATGCCTTTTCCGTAACGCCTTTGCCCTCGTCCCCTACCACTGGGACTGCTGATTCCTGTAGTTGAAGGTGCCCGTGGTGCTGCCACCACCAATCTGCGCTGCGACCCTCGTAGGCTCCTTCCAGTCCACAGGCTTGCTGGACCTGTATTCCAGATACTTCACCGTCGGTGGCGTGTACTTCTCCATTTCCTGTGTCTCTGCATTCCAAACCTCAACCGTCTCATTCTGAATGTGGTCGGGCCGGACCTTCTCTTCGACAGTGAGAAAACCGCCCGTCAGTCTGTTCAGGAAGTCCCCAAATTTGTCAGCCTTGTTGACCTGGCATTTGCTTCCGCGCGACTGGCAATGACACATAAGCGCTGTCACGCTGTCGAAGTACTTGAGGCAATATGGACACTTCGCACGCGAGACGCGGTGTGCTACGAGGATGTGATCACGCATTTCTGCTTCGTTTGCCAATACCTGCCTGAAGTTTCACTGTTAATAAGGGGCGTAATCTTGAGAGTGGAATCACTTACTCGCACATAAACGGACAGAGATATTTCTCGATAACCCCGTTCCAGAACCTGTTTGGGTTATACTCCTTTGCCAAAGGATCCCAGAACCGAGTCTTGAAGATATTAGCTCCGTGTTGTTCTTCGTCTTGCTTATCGATCGCCTCGATGGTGAATTCTTTCGTAGCCGCTGGTGTAGGTTTGGCTTGCGGGAACAATTTCTTCGCAGAACGTCCACCCCACATGTTCACCTGACTGTAAGACGTCAGTAAGTCACTTATATCATGATATAGGCCAGATTTTAGGCTCAGTATCGAAACTCGTAAGAGAGGGCATATACGGTTACAAGACCTGAGATCGGGCAATCGAACGTACTGTTTGGAGCCTTGTGATGGCGCTGCAGACCCATCGATCGTGTTGCTGCTTGAACCTATGATCGTGTCTGAATCGGCACCCCTCAACGACATCCGATCCATGCCTGAAGTGAGGCTGGATGATCCGCTGGCATTCCTGCCTTGCGCAAGGGTAGGCCAACCGCCAGTTTGATGAACGGCATCCTGGGCGTACTCAGGCTGGATGGCTGGGTGACTGACGGCCTTCGCTTCGTCGTGCTCCTCTTCTAGATAATTCTCAACGCCAACACCGCCGCCGTCCTCGTGATCTAGTGCCGCATCGTATTGCGAGATCTTCTGCATGAAGCGGTCGTGTGCGTCACCGCTATCGAGAAGCTTAACCACGAGGTGCTTGTGAATCACATGACCCATAAACTGTTGCGCACTGATGACTTCGCAATGACCCTAAGGATGGCACCGGTAAGCATGTGACACACAGAGACTATGGGTACCGAATACTCACAAACTCCAGATGCTCGATCAACATTGCAGGAGCAGGGAATTCTTCATTACATCCGATGCAAGGCAGCTTTTGCTTGACCTTGTGAGACTATCAAACTTGCTCAGCATTGCCCGGGACAGTTGTACTTCTGGAAAACATACCAGTTCAGTGTGTCGCTTAAGCCCTGAAATGCTCTTGAACTCCTCGCCACAGATGCGGCACGCCCTATTGTGCTTGTCTGGTGCGAATGCCTTGTGACGAGCAAGGTCGTCATAGGAACCGAAGTCCAGATTGCACTTGTAGCAGTAATCGTGCTCATCAGAGTTCTTCTTGTGACTGATGAGCTTCTTTTCGGTGTCGAAAGAAGCTGCACAGTCAGCGAAGGTGCATGCGAACGCCTTGATAGGCTCCAGAGTGGCAGGCATAGCGGGTGGTGTTGCCGTCAGGCCGAAGGTCTTAGCGAGCGGTTGCAGTTGTTGGGAGGATGGTGGTTATATTTGGGTTGGAGAAGAAGAGATGGGAAGTAGCGAGCATTTGTAGCTAAAGGTTGTGGAGCCCAGGTGAAGGAAACCCGAAGGCAACAAGGCGAATACCGGAGAGATCGGGGGCGTTTGTAGACAGTGAGAGGATTCTATCCTGAGTAGAACCAGAAGCCGGTGAGAGGGAACGCAAGTGAAGCAGGCGCGTGATACTAGCGCAGAAGGAAGTGCAAACGGAAGGTACGAACACCGGAGGAAGGCACGACCCATCCCAAAACAAATTCGCATTACTACGGTGTTGGGATGTTGAAGTCTGGTAGTGTTGAGGACTTCACCCGATGTCCATACGAGGATATACGAGATGCATGAAAAGACTTGCGAATGACTATCCGCAGCATATACGCACATACCAAGGTGTACTCGATTTTGACTATCCTGAGTAATGAACAGCTACACAATACAAAAGCCAACTATGGTCGCCATTAGGGGGTGTAGGTGCAGGTGAAGGCAAACCTAGATGATGTTGTTGTATGCTAACACTCTAGAATCGCGAGTAAGGCAGCCTATCAAAACGTCAGCATAGGGTAACTTGAGTTGATTCGCTAGGTACGACGCATGACTCTCATTACGAAGTCGTCGAAAATGTGGAAACAAGGCACTTACCACTTGCCCCTCAGAGTGATTACAGCCCAGTCACCCTTCTCGTCTGTCTCCTTCTCAACCTTTGTCGAGAAGCTGATAGCAGACATAATCCCATCGCCGAACTTCTCATTGAGCACTGCTTTGTAAGCGTACCCGTAGTTCTGGACAATTTCGTAGAGACGGTAGATCAAGGGCTCCTTGGGTGGCATGTCTATCGTCCTGCCTCGATCCGGGAATCCGGAAAGCTGTGATCCAAGCGTTTCAGCAGGAATGTCAAGAACATGTGAGAGCTTCTTGATATCCTCAGGCGAAGCCTGAGCCTGGCCGTAGAACAAGGCAGCAATGGCAACTTCATCGCGGCCGACTTCCTTTGCAATGGCCTCAAAGGATAGATTCTTCTGCTTCTTTGCCTCGAACAAGGTGAGAGAGGACAGAGGTAGGCGAGGGACGAGCGATTCCTGCCATGGATCAGCTTGAGTTCTCATAGCGAATTTTAATACGTACATCTAGCGTCGCAATTGGGTGGCTAGCCATTCTGGTAGAGTGAAAGTGTCGAGAACCAGTGCAAGCTACGGATGGTCGCAACAAAGCTGAAGAAACGGGCACAATGGCACGAGATGCGAATCGAGTGGACAGAGCAAGACGATGAAGAGGAGCCATGTTTCAGATACAATTGCAGCGATTATATAGCTATCAGATTGCTACACGCAGCGGGGGTGGTGTGAAGAAGCGGGGACGGCCGAATGAGATCCGAATGCTTCCAGCAAAGCATCTGTCATACTGTGCGTATCTACTGATCTTCGCATACGTCACCGATCAATGGTCCCCTGTGCACGCTATCTGATCTGAACTGGACCCTTGATTATCATCTCCGCGGTGCCGATGCTGGTCTCTCATGTCCAGATGAAGGCCGGGTATAGGCTTGCTAGCTAATGAGGCAGTAAATTCAATTGGAGCATTGGGAATCCTGGGGTAACTCGATCTATAATCCGTGTTCGAAGTTTAACCTGATACTGTATGGCTGATGTTGTGGACATCACGGTCCTTGCGGTAGGAGATACGGCGCGGAAGCGGGGCAACTGAGGGGCAAGCCTAAGAAGGAACGACAACCACGCGACGTGCCGCCGCACCAAATCGCGAACAGATACTCGCGTTGTCTCAGACATTGTGGCTGGATCAAATCTCGTCCATAGGCGCCAGATCTGGTAAAATTCTGTTCGTCTGCGACCTGATATTCCCTGTTTGCATGAATCACGACCCCTGTCCAAGCTGAAGCACGATGACGAGGCGGGGTTTGGTGGATCTTCACCGACCACCCCAAGCTTCCTTCAGCTCGCCTTAGCTCCAGTACTCACTTTCTTTCTGGATAGCCATTGCTAGGAGCTGAGCTTTAGCAACCATGGCTTACAATCGTCGCGACGACGACGACCTGGCGTATGGCGAACACCATGGCCAACAGCAGGAGGGCGAGGAGGGCGAGCGTGGCTTCGTCGGCGACATGGGCAGGAAGTTCTTTGGAGGCCAGAAGGAGGTGAGTACTTACTGGACACTGCAATGTCAACCTCTTGTGTGCTGCACGTCTCGAGCAACGACATACGAGCTCAACTGCGTACACTAGCAACATATCCATACCCATCTACCTACATTTCTGCAGTCGCGTGATATCTCGATCGCTCACAGATGGTACAGAACCCCCAACAAGGCTCCTCTGGCGGCGGCGGTCTCTTCGGCAAGCTCCATAGCGCCCTCCACGAAGTCGCGTCGGACATCAAGGACAAGGTCTCTGGGAAGGATGACCACCCGGGAGGAGGTCAACAGGGTGGAGGTTCGCAGGGCAACTATGGCCAGCAAAGCGCCCAGGGCTCCCAAGTTCAGCCGGGTCAGGAGTACCACTCCCAGCATCGTTTCTTGAGCTTCGCGCCAGAGCGTCAGGGTAATGACATCAAGTGGTAAGTGCACATCGCGTCGATTAAGTATTGATATGCTAACCTTCTCCGTAAGGTACGTTGATGGATGTGGTATGTTGTTCCAACACACATGCTTAGCTCCCCTGACCTCTTCTAGGTTACATGTATGCCGTGTCTTTGGCAATTGAACGCGCACGTGAGTCGATCTGGATCCTCGACTGGTGGTTGTCGCCAGAGCTGTACCTCCGACGCCCTCCAGCAAAGAATCAGCAGTACAGAATAGACCGCATGTTACAAGCTGCCGCTCAGCGTGGAGTCAAAGTCAATATTATCGTATACAAGGAAGTGACCCAGGCGTTAACGCGTAAGTACCTGAATCCATCATTACCCGATTATCTACACTCTCTTCTCCCTAGGTCCACGGACCCCTTCACGAAAGGTCTTACGAGAATTGGCCTCGATGTCATCTTCAAATCTTTGGAAGAAGTTGAAAAGACGGACCCGCTGATCAAACCTCCTATTACAGTTTCTTCCGCTCATACAAAGCATGCTTTGGAGGCGCTTCACCCGAATATCGGTGTCTTTCGACACCCGGATCACTTGCCGGACGCAGCCGTCCTCGGAGGCTCTTTCATCCAATCGTTCCAAAACATGTCTTTCAGTCCTGCCAAGTTGGCACAACTTCCCGGAGACGGCCTGAAGGCGATCTACGGAGCACAGGATGACACTGTACTTTACTGGGCGCATCACGAGAAGCTTTGCCTGATCGATGGCGAAACCGCCTTCATGGGTGGATTGGATCTGTGCTACGGCCGTTGGGATACGAATCAGCATCCTATTGCCGATGCACACCCGGGCAACTTAGATCGTATCGTTTTTCCGGGACAGGATTTCAACAATGCTCGTATCCTGGGTAAGCCGCTTTTTCTCCAGGCGATTCGCAAAGCTAACGCAGCTCGCTCTTAGACTTCCAGGACGTCCCCAACTGGGAGAACAACAAGCTCGATCGAACGCAAAGTTCGCGCATGGGCTGGTCAGATGTATCCCTCTCATTCGCAGGACCTGCTGTGCAAGACTTGAGAACGCATTTCAGTCAGCGTTGGAACTTCATTTACGACGAGAAGTACAGCAAGAAAGATACCCGTTATGCAAGACTTCCAGACACCAGCAGTGGTGCTCAACAAGGCGGCATATACCCTCCATCTCAACAGCGGGGCTTTGACGGTGAAGAGGGCGAGGGAGAGCGTGGATTTGGTGGCGACGATGAAGGTCAAGAGGGTGAACGCGGTCTATTTGGTCGTGGTGGAGGAGAAGGCGGAGGCTTCCGCAACAAGCTCTACAACCGAGCTCAGCAAGAATTCGGCCGTCATGGACACCACGAAGAAGGTCAACAACATCAGTCGCACGCACAGCACGGGTCTCAGCGCGGAAGCGCAGACTGCCAGCTCACGCGAAGCTCTGCAAAATGGAGTCACAACATCTCGACCGAGCACTCTATCCAAAATGCTTACTGCGAGGTCATCAAAAACAGCAAACACTTCGTGTATATCGAGAACCAGTTCTTCATTACCGCAACTGGCAACGAACAGAAGCCGGTTAAAAATCAGGTTGGAGCAGCAATCGTTGAGCGTATTATTCGGGCGGCCCGCAACGGCGAGAGGTAAGTCAATATTCGGAACGGCCTCACTGCATACCAAGTGTTGGCCGCACAAGTTAGCACAGGACGCTCCTTTATAGAACGTTTACCACGCCGACTTCGTACTGACATTTGTGCAGGTACAAGATGTTTGTCATGATGCCTTCCGTGCCTGCGTTCGCTGGTGACTTGAAGTCCGACGATGCTCTCGGTACGCGCGCTATCATGGAGTTCCAATACAATTCCATCAACCGCGGCGGGCACTCAATCTACGAGGAGATCCAAAAGGCGGGCTTTAACCCCTTAGACTATATCCGCTTCTACAACCTGCGGAATTACGACCGTATCAATGCCAGTGGGGTCATGCGCGCCGCAGAAGAGCGCAGTGGAGTGTCGTACGAGCAGGCTCGTGAAGGCTATGACGCCGCTCACGAAGCTAATCGCGGCGAGGGAACACGTGGATTCGAAGAAGAGGGCGAGCGCGGCTACCAGGCCTACCGACCGCCTCCGACAGCAGAGTATGGAGTATACGAGATGGATGGCTCCTCCAATTACGGCCAGAATCAAGGTCACGGACAGAACCAAGGCTACGGCCAGGATTCAGGCTACGGCTCTCAATATCAGAATAGACCGGACAACAGACCGGATGAGGACAAGCGTGCCGACTACAACAAGTATCAACAGGCTGCCTCCCAAGTCGGAGGCCATCAAGGCCTCGGCGATGGACGTTGGGACTCTGTCAGCGAGGTAAGTACTGTCTGGTCAGTATATGAGAGTGATCTTAAGGATTGACTTTTCGCAGTGCTACATGCTGGGCGGTGAGGACATCCGCAACGTTCCTTGGGAAGGGGGCAAGATGGATGAAATCGATGCCTTTGTGTCTGAGGAGCTCTACATTCACAGCAAGGTGAGTGTATCCCCACGTTTCAATTAGCAAGCTGACATCCAGCAGCTCCTCATTGCAGATGATCAAGTTGTTATCTGCGGATCTGCGAATCTGAACGACCGTTCGCAACTTGGTGACCACGACTCCGAGATCGCGGTCATCGTTCGTGACAACGACACCGTCGAGTCGTACATGGACGGTTGCCAATGGCGTGCTGCTAAATTTGCTGCCTCTCTGCGTCGGCAGATCTTCCGCAAGCATCTTGGTCTGCTCAAGCCGCAGAACTTCGAGCGTCCGGACGAGAACTTCCAGCCGATTGGCGTGCCGAACATCTATGACTGGGGCTCTGAGGAGGACCGCCAAGTCGTTGATCCACTTTCCGACGAGTTCCAGGACTTTTGGAACTGGCGAGCGAAGAAGAACACTGATGCCTTTGGTAAAGTCTTCCATCCGGTACCTTCCGACGAAGCGCGCAACTGGAAGCAGTATGATGCGTACTACTCTCGCTTCTTTGCCCAAGAGGAGGGCGATAAAGAGAACAAGAAGCCAAGCTTATATAAGATTGGTCACGTCGTCGCAGAGAACTTTAGCCAAGGCGAGCAGGGTCTGCGCGAGGTCAAGGAAGTACTGTCCACCATCAAGGGAACTCTGGTGGAGATGCCATTGCTGTTCCTCAAGGAAGAGGATATTGCGAAGGAGGGTGTTGGCCTGAACGCTTTCACTGAAGAGCTTTACACCTAAGCTCTCGACCCGAGATATGCGAATCAGTCTTATATCTCTGAATGAAATCCACCTTTCTCCAGCATTCATCTCTCTCTCAGACCCCCATCCCAACCATCTCTCTGATCTGTATCCTCTCTCAAGCGCATCCTCCCACCACCTCCACCACTACCTTCACCCCTCACCCTTCCCTCCATAGCGACTTCCCCTCTCGATGCAGCCACTTTACCCGCCTCTCCCGCTCCAACAACACCACCGCTCTCACCCTTCCTCCTCCCATCCCTCAGTATCCCCTTCCCCACCTCACCCTCCACAACCTCCAATAACCGCCTCAGCGCCTCCTTCCTACTACTCCCCATCTCTGGACCCACATCCAGAGCTTTCGAACCGCCTTTGGACATGCTGTACACGGCGGCGACGTAAGAAGGAGACGGGGAGAGTGCTTTGGGATGCCGGCCGACGAGTACGGCAGGGCGTTTCGAAGGCGTGGGCGATAATTGCCATGATAGAGCTACACGGTTTTAGATGGTTGCATTGCAGGGGCTAGGAAATGGAGGGATGGTATGGAAGAGTGCAGTATATACTCTCGATGATGTTCATCAAATATTGAAGTTCGGATTCGTCTTCGCCGCGGACGTTGGGAGCGGGTTTGGAGGGGGGCGTTGTCGAGCATGGTCTCGAGGAAATTGTCATGCTCCGAATTGTTCAATGTCGGATCAAAATTGGTAACAAGAGGAATTGTGGTAGCTTTTATGTTGTGGGACGGAGCTGGTCATGCTAGTGTACGTGGCATGGGTTGTGCTTCGCGAATGTTTGTGGTTGTGGTGACTAGTGGGAGAGGAGCAAACATTATAGGGATGATAAGGCGCGTGTGCGACGTCAGGATGGGACAACGAGAAGGGCAGCGGGATTTGGCGCCATAGCCCACGTGATGTCGATGACTTTTAGCAATGTACCAGCCGCTTATAGTACAAGCTTAGCGTGAGAGAGATGTTGCTTGTCCACGTAACAGTCACTCTTTAGGTTCTAGAGACTTACATCTGCCCTTTGCATCTGTTGGGGTGTATAATATGGTAGCGAAGGACCGCGATTTTGATAGTACCTCTGTTGCAAAGGCAAAGGGGAAATCCACCACGATGCCTCCTACAGTCGGAACATTTCAAGGTATCTCCACAGCCTAGACATTAGTGCCTATAGTTGCCGGGGATACAGTATCGCATGACTATCTTGTAAGCGCGCATTGAGCACTGAGTTGACCTAGGACATATTGCAGTCACCATAGTTCTGTCGTTCCATGCTGTGGATGTGTATTGCGGAAACCAATGTTCTTTGAAGTACTTATAAAGAAGATTCGCAGCTTCGCTACCTGCAGCAATCCTATAGCTGAGCGCCCCTTCTCTGCGTCTGCGCTTGTTGGGAAGAGACCCAATATCGACACTTTGCATGCTTTTTCGTATTTTTGTATAAGAATGTGGCGCAGTCGAAAGCTTCGCGAATGGTCCCTTTGTCTAGGCGTTGCGAAGCATAGCGAACCTTCAGCGAGCCATCCAACGCAACTGATCCACCTCTTAAGAAGGGTACATGAAGGTTCTCGAACATAGAACCCACTTTTACAGCAATAGTAGACTGGAAAATTTCTGCGTTATAGGATTGGATCCCCTAGTAGATGATAGTACGATGTAAGAAGTGGTTTGTTGTACATTCCATATGCCGCAAAGCGTCGTCTTTTGTAAGAAGCAACTCATTGCAGGCAATACACTGTAAGACGAGGTCAGAATCTGTATGGTGCGTATTGACGCGTTGTTCCAATTCAGTGTATGTCCTCGTGGTCGGGATGTCTTCGTCGCCGGATGTGCATTTGGGACTATTTACGTTCGGTTGAAAACCGCTCTGCAGGAGATTCAGAAACGTGCTCCAAAGGTTCAGGACTTGTAGGCGTTGTGAATAGGCTTCCACAGCATGAAGGTAGGCGTAGACACCCCCTGGTACATCGCCACATCCTCGCTTTGTCCTATCACGTAATGTTCGGCAATCCTCTGAATCTCTTTAAGGGCTAATCCTTTCTTGTGTCGCTTTTGAGAAAGTGTAGGAACGTGTCTGCATGTACTAGGCGGAGATTGGAGTTGCCAATGACGAACCGTGAGCCATGTTTCTGGAACACGTGCTTGGAGGTCAAAGCCAGGTCGCTTTTCTATACAACACCCTGAAGGTTATGATGGACTTCGTTCGGATGTGGTGAATGGTTTATATTCGTTGAGTCACCATAGGTTGTGCCAATCTGGGTTCCAAGGCACGCATTCAGGTGTGTAGAACAGACACTCTTTTTAAAACGTGCTGCCCTTCGTCAACCTCCTCTTCCAACTTCTCTCTCTCAGCTCCCCATCCCCAACCCCTCCATCCCTCGCAATCCTCAACTCCTTCTTGGGCACCACCAACGCCCCTCCACTGTCCGTCAGCTTTCTTCTTATCTCTTTCTCGTCCAAAACATCGCCATTCGGCTCGTCCTCTCCCACCTCCTCCCTCATCGCGGTCGCAATGTCGAGTATGCTCCGCAGCAGCCCAGGTCGCCTCCCTGTCCGGTACATCCTGGAATGCATGCGAGTGTCCATCCACATGCCCACCATGATACAGCTCCACACGAAGTTAAATATGAAGATCCCGAAAAGGAAGATATACGAGAATCCCCACTGGTATGTTTCGTTGGGCTTGCACGAGCCGTGCGTGTGCAGGTACGATGCAGGGAATATGAGCCCCTGGCGAGCTGCTTCAGGATTAGGGCTCAGGGAGTAATGGGGATATATGAGCCCTCCAGAGGGGCGGTCGGCGTCGCGGCTTTCGGCTTCGAAGGTTATGTTTAGGGAGGGAGGGGATAGGTGTGTGGTTGTGCCGTTGAAGACGAAGGTGCTGCTCACGTCGCGTTGGACGGAGGTCGTGACCCAATTGGATAGGTTAAGAGATTGGAGAATTGGGTTGTATGAGACACCCAGGTAGTGGGATGAATCTAGAAGGCGTTAACTCAGTAGCAGTGCGTCAGACCGAAGGACCTGTGGACTTACAGTTAAGAATAGCATCCGCAAGCTCCTCATCGTAAGCCACGGAAATCAACGGCTTCGTGTAGTTCTCCCCCAACCTTTGACTGTCCTGCACAATGTACTCTACCCGCCTGACCTCACTCCACGCCACCAGATTCCTCCTCTCATCTTCCACATACGGCTCATACGTCGTGATATACCCCGTCATAGCCGCCATCAGCGTGGGGAACGCCAGCACATACAATGTCCCAAGGACCATACACAGCATCGCTAACCACCTGAAAAACCTCCTCCAATTCGTCTCCCCAAACGCCAACCATTCCTTCGCCAGCACCCCCAGCGTCCCCAGCGTCGTCGTTTGGAACGCCACACTCGTGTACATCTTGTAGCTTGTGCGGTGCAGTTCCATGTGGTACAGCAGCCATTCGTTGAACACGCGGTAGTTTACCCACGCGAGCAGCATCTGGCCGCCGCGCCCGACGAGGAGATCCCACGTGATGTCGATGACCTTTACCTGCGTGAAGGTCATGGCGCCAAACGATAGATTGGGCGTGAAGAAATAAGATGAGTCCTGCCAAACCCGAAGGTACACAGTCAGTGTATGTCTCAAACAAGTGGAGATGTTCCAGTGCCTCGTATCTCAGCCAAGCGAAACAAACTCTTCTCTTGTGTTATTACGATATAAGTAAAGTAGATAAAGATAGTCTTTCTTTCGCTTGGCGGATAGGACGCATCCACTTTGTACCCGGGAGACTTGCCATGATGCGCCAGGTGGCGCCCGTCGCTTCTTTCCACATTCCATTGGGGTAACAGTCGCGACCGTTGAGGTACGATTGGGAGGCTACTTCTGCGGCGGCGGAGAGGACGACAATGGGGAGGAGGGCGAGGGGGAGGCTGGATATGGCCAGAAAAGTGCGCCAGGGGAAGGTTGAGGGTTTCCATCTCTTTCTGGGGCTTCTGTGTGCTGTGGTTCTGGTGCTTGCATCGTGTGAAGGTTTATGGGATGGACTCCGCATCGGCAGCGCTTCGTAGCGGGTCTCGGAGCGCGCCTTAGGTTCCTGCAGTTTGGCTGTGGACTTCATGGCTTTCGCGCGATGCTGCCAGCATGCTCGTCCTGGAATAGAGCGACGACGTCGTTCTTCCCGATGAAGCTTATGTGGAAAATCGATGTGTTGGCGCTGATGTCACGCATCTTGCTCCATTACCGAGATGGAGGTTAAGAATTGGGGGCCAAGTGAGGCGCAGGGCTGGGCGAAGATCATTCCGTCTCTTAGGTAGCACCGCCCACTCGATGCTTGACACCTCCATCGACGAGATAAGTCTGCCCTAGGATTGTCTCACGAATATACTTTGCGAGCTCCCAATCAAGGTAGACCAAACAATCGGATCAGCAAAGTAGTTTTCAATTACCGACGGATTGTTGTAGGCCTTGAAGACTTTCAGGGCAACGTCTATCGTACCTATCTAATTAGTAGAGCACGCATCTCGTGTTATACTATCTTCTGAGCCTCCCGAGCACCTGACAACATTTTCAAAGTTCGCCTCTCTGCAAAGAGACACATTAGTCTCCTTCTGTCACCACATGCTTACGATTTCTCCTTCCCCTTGACAACCTCATCCGCAGTCTCGACCAGCACCTCGAACACCCTCTTCATATACTTTTCCTCCGACCTCTCCACCGCACTAACCACCCGAATGACATACAGTCCACACACCACCGTACCCGTCAGGAAAAACTCCCCACCCGCATTCACCCTCTCATACACCTCTTTCGTAACGCGATTTGCATCTTCTCTATACTGCGCCTCCGCATCATTCGTAAAATCATTCAGGTACGCCTCATGCGCAGGGTTTGACTTCGTCGCCGGAGACGACGGCGCGTTAGGTTTGCTAGGATTGATCTGGAACGTAGTAAGGCCGAATGCAGCAGGCGTGATCACGGAGAAGACATCGGGGCGCGTCTCAAGCAGGCCTTGGAAGTACTCTCCCAACTTGACATGTCCGCGGATGAACTTGCGCAGCCCGTTTACACCATACGTTCTCAGCACGAACCACACCTTCAAGCTCCTGAAGCGGCGGCCGAGCGGAATCTGCCAGTCGCGGTAATCCGTCACGAGTCCGCTCTCGGTGAACTCATTGCGCAGGTATGATGGCGTGATGCTGTACGTGTCGATGAGGTCTTTGCGGCGCTTGATGAAGAAGGCGCTGCAGTCGAAGTTGGTAAGCAGCCACTTGTGCAGGTTGAAGTTGAAGGAGTCGAAGTTTGCAATGGGTGGGCAGAGATGCTGGTATTCTGGGCAGATGAGCGCGGAGCCTGCGTACGCGGCGTCGACGTGGATCCAGAGGTCGGGGTACTCGCGTGCTACTTCGGCGATTCCTTCGAGATCATCGACTGCGCAGGCTCCGGTGCTGCCGATGGTAGCTGTGAAGTAGAACGGCTCTAGACCCTTTTCTTTGAGCTCTTCGATGGTCTTTCGGAGGGCTTTGCCTGAGACGCTGAAGTTTGTGGAGCGGGGCGCGGGGACGGTGCGGAAGCGTGTGCCAGCAATGACGGCGGCTTTCTGTGTGGAGGAGTGTGCGTGTTCTGAGCCTAGGGCTACCATTTTCCCTCGAAGATCTGCAGCTTTGTCCATCCTGTCGTCTCCCTCCGGCATGTCGCCCAGTTTTCTTCTGATGAGCCTTTCTCTTGCTGCTACAAGCGCAGTGAGCACCACTTCGCTCGCTGTGCCCTGTATAACACCGCCGCCCTCACCCGCACTTTGGAAGCAATTGGGTAAGGCAAGCAACTTGGCAATCCAGTCCATGACTACGGTCTCCAATTCCGTGACCGCAGGCGAGCAAATCCAATTGAAGGCTGCGGCGTTGAAAGCACCCGAGTACATTTCGCCCAGCATGCCGGGGTAGGACGAATTGCACGGGAAGAAAGCCATAAACTTAGGTGATTGCCAGTGGGTAAGGCCCGGCATAATGATCTTGTCAATATCGGCTTGAATGGCGCTCCATGGCTCGCCTTCTTCTGGTGGACCCGAAGGAAGGAGGGGTCGTAGGTAACCTGGTGATACGTTTGGGAGTACTGGCCTTTCGGCTACAGTGTCGTAGTACTGAATGACTGAAAATGTTCGTTAACAATGATCAAGCAAGTGGGCACGGGATACTCAGTACTCTCATCAATGGCACTGTGTGCTGCTTCTCGAAATTGTGATGAATCCATGGTGTGCGTGGCGAATTGAAGACCTCTCAACTCACTCAAACCAAGTCCAAAAGAACAGGGTCGATATCGAATACAATCAATCGGTCCGTTGAGAGACGTTCGTAAAGACGTATATAATATTTGCTTGTTCCACGAACACTGAACAGGTGGATTTGGCCGAAGTCGGTAGTGCGCGCTTCAATTCCGCACTCTTTCCTTTCACGGTTAGAGCGCAACGGAGCGGATCAAGAAATATTGGGTCCCCATGCCATAGGGCGTGGAAACTACATAAGACAGATAGCAAGTTGCTACCGTTCCATTTTGGAGGATTCTTTGCCCTTGGGGTGGGGGGAGAGTGTTGTCAGCAAATGTCTGGTAGTCGCTGGCCCCCCGAATATATACGAAAAGTCGACACCACGTCTACTGTTCGAAGACCTACGACTAACAATGTCGATGACAGATTGATTTTGGGTATTCGAATGAAACTACCTAAAACGTTTGAATGTTTGTATTCATTCGATCAATACCGCCGTCCAACTTCCACACCAACGTTTTCATCTGGGTTCGCAAAGCCCCTAGCTTTCGGCGTCGACTTGCCCGCCACATCCTGAGGGGTCTCTCCTGTGTAGTTCCATCCACCATCTTGCACGAAGAAGTCGACTTCGTCAATGATGTCCCAGATCACGTCCTCCGCAATTTGCTCCTTGTACCTTTCGCCAATCGCTCGTAATTTTCTTCCTTCGGGTATCTGTTTCTCGACAGTGTCGCTCCCTTGCATTTGCGTATCCTTTTCACGCTGCTTTTGGATCTCCTCTGGTGGACACCAGAAATCGGGCCCGAAATTGACCTGCGCTACACCTTTGTTGAAAACGGCAACAGTCGGAAAGTATCCCACCATACCGTCATCGAATCCGATTCTTGCGCCAGCTTTCAAAGCTTCTGCGGAGGGTACGCTCGCTGGAGGCAAAAAAGCGAGGAGACCCTCGTACGCGATTCCCATTTCCTTACCGTTCTTGTACACCTTAATGTGGGACTGAGGTAGAGATCGAATGCTTACGTCCTCGTGGTTCGGCGATGGATTGATCTTGGGCATGGGTCCTCGATCGTGATATTGCTCCACCGCTTTGCTGATGTGATAATCGAGCTGTTCGAACAAGAAATTGCCTTTGTAGCCTACTGGAATACGGTCGCGGATGATATCAAGTGGCTTCTCGGTTGGATCAAATGTATTATCTTTTGCGTCAAAACCGTCCCCAATGTCGACAGCAGGATTGTAGACTCCTTCGACAACTTTACGGTGTAGCGCTAGAGAAGGCAATTGAATTTCAAGACCGATGACGTCGCCTTCTCCGAAATGCTCATCACTGACATATTCGACTGGCGTCGGCTTGTTGTGAGGCGGGCGTGGCTTCATGTGCTTGCTTTTGGCGTTCTTTGGTAATGGCTTAAAGACCTTGGATATTCGCGAGCGATGCATGACTTCAAAGCGAGCGTCTGTGATGCCATAGCTGTAGCCATCGAATCCTACAGGAGCATCTAGCGGTGCCTCTCGTCTGGCCCATCCCACGCGGATATGGGGCCCTGGTTTGGTTTCACCAGTCTTGGTATCCAAGGGATCATGAGGACCCTCTGCAGTTATGCCTTTCAGGATCTTGACTTCAAAGTACATCCTGCCTTCTCGTGCCACGACATTCCCTCTTCCCATGCGCCAACCCTTCTCCTGTGTCACAATTGTCGCAGTCTCCTTGTCAAATGAAAACCATCTGTCAGTGTCCTCGTGGCTCATTCGTGGTCCGTACGGCTTAGAGTCGCTTTGGCGGTAGAACTGCTTATGGCGGAATTGTGGGTCTGCCACGGCGTGTGTATATCGGTAGCCCTTCTTGTTCCAGGCATGGTCCAAGGGTCTTAGTAGTTGCGTACCGTCTGGAGCGGTAAGCGGAGGATCCCAAGAGAATTGACCTTCCCTTGGCTGCTGATAATCTGAGAGCTTGGGCTCCGGAATCGAATATCGCATAGGCGAATCCGTCGATGGCCGCTCCTTCTTCGTTTTAGAGGTCGGATTCGGCGTGCTTCCACGCGTGTTGGACGAAGCCTCTCGTTTCTTGATTGTCTCACGTTTCTCTCGCTGCTCTCGCGGCGGAGCTCGTGGACGCGCGCGCGACGCAGCATCTGGATTCGGATTGAGCGGCGAGGATATGGCTGGAGCGTGATCTTCTTCCAAGGTGCGCTTCACAGGCAACGATGCGCCTGGCGTGTTGGCACGCGAGTTCGACTGCGACTCAGCCATGATCGGCTCGTAAAGATGGCGACTAGCTTTTCGTGGAGGCTCGATGGCGGTAGGCGCAACCTACGTGTGACGATTGAGGAATCGCGTAGCTAACGCAGTCGTGGGGAGATTTCTGAGGCAGCTCGCGGCGCAATCCAGGCACGCGAATATGTGCTGATCGTAGCTTCCGGGTAGCTTTTGCGCTACACCAGATCCGTAAAGCGGGCCTGCAACATGGCAGCGCTAAAATAAAAAGTTAGCGGGGCAACGCCCGCCCGAGCATTTGAATTTCGCTGCACAACACGCACAAAACGAACCTCAAGAGCACTCGCAATGCCGAAGACACCCAAGTCGCCAGCCGTCCGCGAGGCTCAACGCCACAATCCACTGGCTGAAGAATACGCACCCTCGAATCCGTTCCCCACAAAGCAGAAGTCCGCAAAGACTCGGAAGCGACAGGACGAGGATGATGGAGACAAATTTGTAGACAGCAAGAGTTCCCGAAAAATCTTAGAGTTGGGCCAGGAGCTCGCAGATGAAGCAGAGAGCGAGAGCAGACCGCAAAGACCACCTAAGGCAAACCCTGCGTTTGATTTTGACACAAGACTGGATGAGGGCATAGAAGAGGCGGCGCAATATGACAATGAAGACGATGGCTGGGGAGACGAGGAGGAAGAGATTGTGGAGGAGGTAGAGATCGATCCCGAGGACTTGGACACCTTCAACAAATTCATGCAGACCGATGACAATCCGATTAGCTGGCCGGGCGCGGAGGCGCAATCCTCCGGGGGCGGTACTGATCTAGCAGCGCTGATTTTACAAAGAATCGCGGAGAAGGAGTCTACAGAACCGCAGAAGCAGATACTCGGTGGTGGAGATCCTGAAGATGCTGTCGAGATTCCTGAAAAGGTTGTGGAAGTCTACTCAAAAGTTGGCCTGATCTTGTCGCGATATAAGTCTGGCAAGCTTCCTAAGCCATTCAAGGTAAGCAATTCGTTATGAGATGCGCATGCGATGTGCAGCTGCTGACCCGCGTACAGATCTTGCCTACCATCGGCGCGTGGGAAACGCTGGTCGCTATAACAAGACCTGACCAATGGACTCCTAATGCTGTCTACGCTGGAACCCGCTTGGTAAGCATTTCGGTTACGTTTTGCAATCCTTTCACTGTACTGACGTTGATCCAAGTTTGTCTCCTCCAAGCCCTACATCGCACAGGCATTTCTCAATCAGGTTCTCCTTCCCGCAGTGCAACAGGACATCTTGCAAAACCACAAGCTGAACGTGCACTTATACAATGCGCTTAAGAAGGCCCTCTACAAGCCTTCAGCATTCTTCAAGGGCATCGTCTTTCCTATGCTAATTGATGGATGCAACCAACGCGAGGCCACCATTATTGCATCCGTAGTCTCAAAAGTTAGCGTACCCGTACTGCATTCTGCTGCCGCTATCCACCGTATTTGCGAGATCTCCGCTGAACAGATGTCTTCTGACCCCGAAGCGGCTGGCCCAGCAAACATCTTCATAAGGACACTACTGGAGAAAAAGTACGCTCTTCCCTATAAGGTCATCGACTCTCTCGTCTTCCATTTCATACGGTTCCGAGCCGCAGGTGCGAGCAGCGCAGACGCTATGGACACCGGGGGTGGAGATCTCGGCGGGACAGGGAAGCTACCGGTCATATGGCATCAGTGCTTGCTAGCCTTTGCACAGCGTTATAGGAACGATATCACAGAGGACCAAAGAGAAGCGCTGCTAGATTTGCTGCTCACAAGGGGTCACCACACCATCAGCCCGGAAGTCCGGCGGGAACTACTACAAGGTCGGGGACGTGGCACCGTCATTGAGCCGCCGCCTGTGGGCATGGACGGCGACGACACAATGGTCATGGGTTGATGCATAAAAGTTTTCGTTGTTCTACGATTGACGCATGCATTACATTTGGCGCACACGGGTCGGTTTGATTCATAGACCTCAAATATACCCTCGATTCACCTTTGACGTCTCTGTCGCCTCAAAAAACGAGCAATCCACCTGAGCGCTTGCGCCGTTCCACTTCACTACTCACTCTTCACCTCCGCCTTCCCCTTATAAAACGCAACATGATCCTTGATCTTCTCATACTCCGGCAACGGAGTCGGGTAATACCACGCCGCGTCCTTGACCTCGGTCTTATTCGTCATGACAGAATAGTAAGACGCGTCGCCCTTGTAGGGGCAGTGCGTCGTAGTCTTTGTAGGCGTGAATGCGGATTTTGTCAGCGACGAGGGCGGGAAGTAGATGTTGCCGTCGACGACTTCCCAGGTATCTGTTGAAGCGACTTGGACGCCGTTTACGGAGGCGGTAGCGCGCGGCATAGTTCGATCTCAAGATGATGTGTTAAAGGTTTTGTAAAGTCAGATTGCTATGCGTCGATGGCTTTACGAGGAGGATGTGTAAGGTCAATTGACGTTACGTGTGTTCGAAGTGAGGGGTGATGTTTGGTGCGGACCCTGTGCGGGGAGCAATGTCATCATCACATGTGCATGCTCAAGTGCCTGGAATGATTACTCAGTGAGCTTTGAGGCCTTTTGGGATGTCTAGCTTGAGTCACAATAACAAGCGAAGCATCATGCAGTGAGATACTCCGGGTACATTTGAGAGACATGGTCGCCAATGTTCTAAGTCGAGAGCACGATCCCCGCTTCTTCTTAGCGGCGCATGCTACCATAGGGCCTGCAAGGCGATATATCTCCTTGTCAAAGAGACAGCTATCGTCGCCTGCAAGGGACGCCATTCATACAGATGTCAGTACGGGGTAGAGATGCTGTAATTATTGCGGTCGTATGGCGGTAAGGTCGGGCACAGTGCTGTGAAGAGGTTCGAGCGCAACTACAAGGTAGGTAGACTACTATACCAAGTAACGATTTGGTCATGTGCTGTGGTGTCCCAAAGGAAGGCCCCCCACGTCGTCCAAACCGTACCTGCGATTGAATCTCCTAATTGTTAGAGGTCTAGTACGATTTGGTTCAGGAGTTTAAACTCCACGTTCAGCCGCACGGAGCTATGGAACTAGCGCAATTGGAGGCATTTGATGAAGGGGAAAGGGGAAGAGAGCAGCAAGCTTATTGCCAAGGTACGATGTGCAATTGGAGCTCGGATCTGAAGCTGGACTTGATGGTCGAGCAAATGCGACTCTCGGGGCTTCTCCGCTTGTTTGTCGCACGTGACCGGACACACGCCGAGCGGGCTTATGGACTCTATACCAGATTGTACGCATCTGGACTCTGAAAGCGTCCGGATGATCCAAACATCGGTGCAGATGACCAATGTGTGGCTCCAATCCACCAAAGAGATTTCAACGGTGCCTTTCACCGTTTGCCCGGTTCGACGGGAACTGGCTCCACTGATCCGCAAGGACCCTTTGGTCCACTGCGAAAGTTCAGCACAAAAGGACGCTAAAAGGGGCCATCCGTTGACTCCTTGACACCTAGAAAAGTGTGAACTATCTACCATCGGCGACCGAGCTATTGGCGAAAGTATTGCGTGCTGGCCCCGAGCCCCGAGACGAGGCGTATGCGCGTGCCAGCGCTGCGAAATTTACATCAATTGTACATGAGATTAGCGACTGCGTGTCTCTTTCAGATGTCGCGTGGAGGCCAAGATCAAATAACGCGTGGGATAAGTGCATGTGAAGGCGCAGAGGCCCTCGGATAGGAGCCGCAAGCTTATCGCTCAACAAAGCAAAGCGAGTAGGAGGAACGCGCCAACCCCTGTCACTTGGCTCTGACGGCATCGCTCAGAAAAAAACAGATAGCTTGCCCCCATCAGCTCCGATCCAGCTTATCCGCGGCCACCACCTTCTCTATCCCTATCACCTGCATCTCGCAGTTGCTCTTGTGAGCATCAATTGTCTCAATGGCACCTCCCATGCGGACCTTCGCTGCTCGCAGCGTTTTTGCGCAGCTCCAGCGGGCTGGAACTCGCTCCTATGCTACAACCCGGCCATCAGTCATCGCCAACCGGGCACAATGGACCTCGCGGCCCGTATCTCACCAGATCGCTCTCCGCCAGACGATCCGCCAGCAGTCAACCGAGGCTCCCAAGCCCACCATTAAGCCGAAGAAGAGGTTCCGCGTCCTGCGCTGGACATGGCGCATCACCTATCTCTCCGCCATTGCCGGCGCCGCGTACGTGGGCTATGGCATCTGGGAGACGCGCCATCCAGTAGACGAGCAGCCCGCGCCTGACCCGAGCAAGAAGACACTCGTCGTGCTTGGTGAGTTCATCGTCCTCTGCTCTTTCTGCATTGCTTGTGACTAATTGACGCGTTTCAGGAACTGGCTGGGGCTCCGTCTCCCTGCTGAAGAAGCTCGACACGGAAAACTACAACGTCGTCGTCGTTTCGCCACGTAACTACTTCCTTTTCACTCCGCTGCTCCCGTCATGCACCGTTGGCACCATAGAGCACCGCTCCATCATGGAGCCCATCCGCAACTTCCTGCGTCACAAGAAGGCCGCCGTCAAGTACTACGAAGCCGAGGCCACCAAAATCGACTATGAGAAGAGGGTTGTCTATATCAATGACGATTCCGAGATCAAGGGCGATGTCTCTGCGACTGAGGTGCCGTTCGATATGCTGGTCATTGGTGTCGGTGCTGAGAATGCCACTTTCGGTGAGTCACTCGAAATTGTTCTAACCAAGGCTTTTGCTAACAGGGGGGCAGGCATTCCCGGTGTGCGTGAGCACGGCCTCTTCTTGAAGGAGGTTGGTGATGCCCAGCGAATCCGTAACCGCATCATGGACTGCTGCGAGACTGCCACCTTCAAGGACCAGAGCCCTGATGAAATCCAGCGTCTCCTTCACATGGTGGTCGTGGGTGGTGGACCGACTGGTGTTGAGTTTGCTGGTGAACTCCAGGACTTCTTCAACTCGGATCTGAAGAAGTGGATTCCGGAGATCAAGGATACGTTCAAGGTAACCCTCGTCGAGGCGCTTCCCAACGTCTTGCCCATGTTTTCCAAGCAGTTGATCGACTACACCGAGAAAACCTTCAAGGAGGAGACCATCACCATCCGGACCAAAACCATGGTAAAGAAGGTTACCGATAAGTTTATCGAAGCTGAATCCACTGGACCCGACGGCAAGAAGATTGTAGAGAAGATCCCCTACGGTTTGCTTGTGTGGGCTACTGGTAACGCCCTCCGCCCGCTCGTGAAGGACTTCATCAACCAGATCCCTGCCCAGAAGGACTCCCGCCGTGGTCTTGCCGTCAACGAATACCTTGTTGTCAAGGGTTGCGAGAACGTATGGGCTGTCGGTGACTGCGCCGTTGCTAACTATGCCCCTACTGCCCAGGTTGCATCCCAGGAGGGTGCCTGGCTCGCCCGCATGTTCAATCAGATGGCCAAGACCCACGAGATTGAGGCTGAACTCGCCGAGCTTTCTGTCAAGCAGGAGAAGGCCCCTGGCAAGGACGCCCGCGACGCTGTTTTCGCCGATATCAAGGAACTTCAGAAGCGTCTCCGAAGAGTTAAGCAGATCGGTCCTTTTGAGTACACCCACCAGGGTTCTCTTGCCTACATTGGTTCTGAGAAGGCCGTCGCCGATATCGCATGGCTGTCCGGTAACATTGCCAGCGGTGGTACCCTGACATACCTCTTCTGGCGCAGTGCCTACATCAGCATGTGCTTCAGCACCCGTAACCGCATCCTCGTGTGCGTTGACTGGTTCAAGTCCAAGATCTTCGGCCGCGACGTCTCGCGTGTCTAAGGTGTTACACGCCATATCCAGCGCATGCATCGAGTCGGGCGTTGTTTGTTCCATTTGTTCGGGTTATCGAGCGCCGCCAAAAGTCCTCAGCAAGGTCTCCTTGTCACTTCTCCTACATATACCACCTCCGTCCAACTTTGGCTAGATCTACTGTCCTGTTGTAACAGTGTAATATCAGAATGGCGGGTCTATCTGCCTGTGGGGCTCCTTTTGTTTTGAGCTTGGAGTTTGGTCTGCTTGTGGGTGTTATAGAGTCTCTTGTGTATCGGAGAGCATAGAGTGGTATCAATATAGTGTATTATCGATTGGGCATATGCAACAGTTCAGTCAATGTTGTTGGTCTCGGTGGCTGCTCCTCAGAACAACCGCGCGCACAATTACCGTCATGCGGAAGAAGCGCAACCCCCATCGCACGAAAACACGCTACCCTGATTGTGCGCAGAAACCCCAATCCTTGACATCAGTCGTCCTCGAAGCTCCGATCAATATTACTCGGATCGGAAGTATTAACTCCGATGCGAGCAGCTTCCCATCACAATGGGTGCGGTTGTACCTGGACCCCGGATAACGGGATTTATGATGACGTCTAGACACGCGCACGCGAACCACGATGGATGGTATCCAACCTATAGACAAAGGTCATATCTACGATTTTCTGCTTCCTGTTCCTATCTTCTCCTTCACCCAAAGACAAATCGCTGCTCGACTTTACGAGCGGATTCTATCTTGGTTGACTGACTATATACGCTCCTCATTTGGAAAGCTATCAAGCACCACAACCGCAAACATGGGCAACAACCCTTCCACCCTTCGCGTCCTCGCCCCCCTCTCCTTCGCCTACGACTTCGCCGCCCAACAATATGGCATGTTCTCCTCCCCCAACATGCTCGACGTGCACAACGCCAACCCCGCCGCCTTCTCCCCCCAACCCTTCTTCATCGCCGGCTTCTTCTTCCCACAGCAACTCTTTCAGCTAGCCTGGCTCTGGAAGCTGTGTCGCGGCGAGGGAACCCCGCAAGACAGGAAAGACATGGAAACCGCTGTGTGGCCGTACGTCATTGGAAACGTGTGCATCGGGAGTAAGTAATCCCGAAGTCATGCTGCAGGAAGTTGTAGAAAGAAGCGAGTATGCTAACGTGTGGTTCGGTATAGCTTGGATGTTCTTCTGGAACAAGAACGACCTAGCCACATCCAACATCTTCGTCATTATAAACACGCTCACTCAACTCCTCTTCATCACGACCACGCTCCCTGCTCTCCGTCCGAATTCCACGCCTTCCCTCCTTACGCACGTTGTCGCGAAGACCTTCGCAGGCATCGGCGTGCTGGACCTCTTGCACAATACGAGTGCGGCGTACTACAAGGGCGTGCCGCCTAGTGCGCTGGTGCAGGTCGCTACGGGCGTGGGCTTCGCGGCCGCGGCTAGTGTGAGCGATTGGATCTTCGGAGGATGTCTAGTGTATGATCTTATTGCGTTGGGAATCGGGCAAGGTGGAAACTGGGGTAGACTTCTAGGGGCTTACGCCGGCGTTACGGCGGGCATTTTGGGGTTTAGAAACTGGGGGAAGCGTCTCTGACTCTCGGAGAGCGAAGCAACAGGCTTTGAAGAAGACGACGAGGAAGAAGAAGTTTGACAACGGACTAGGAGTTGGGGCTATGTATAGGTACGTATCGGGGTTGATCATGCTGCAGTGTAAATATTCGCGTTGAAGAGACCTATCGGTGCTTTTTGGATATGTGAGTCGATAATTTGTTTGAGACTTCAAGAATGGAATAGGAATATTCTGTAACTACCGTTACTAGTTTTGCGAGAGTCTATTAGTTTGAATGTGTTCTTGGCCGCGCTTAAGGCAGGCATTCCTGACTCGCGATCTGGCGACCATTTCTGGAAGCGAGACTCCACCTCTATGGCAGGTGTCGATACTATCAATCTTCTCCGAAGAACTTCTATTTCGAATTTCTAGACGTGGGGAGAGTACCGCCAACGTTTGAGAAGTTACAATCCAGCTTGTGTGCTGGACCACATTTTGGAGGGGAGAACCATACTTGCTTTGCATTCGGGTCCGAGTTTAAGAGTGCGCAGGCGTGGCCAACGACGAAGATACATCTCCCCATGTGGCATTATGCGAAGAGTGATGAGTAGATTTCAGACGGCCTATGCGCAATTCATGCGAAGCAGGAATGGAGCAAACTCGCCGAGTCGTACGGGCGAGATGTGGAACAGATATTGTAAGTCTTTTCCTCCTGTTTCTCGAAGTCATCTCGCACTTTAGTTGGTTGTGTTTTATAGTATTGAGCCTGCCATGCCCCATTCCGCCGGAACACACCCCGACCATTCCTTATCTGACTCAACGACATGCTCCATCGCCGGTCGGGGAAGGCAATCCCATGATGATGATGATGATGATGATGATGGGCCCATCTGGTAGTGGGTCGCCGTTGCCTCTGCGCATTCTGCAGGCGGCGTGGCCGGTTCTGAAGTGGATAGTTCCTGGGCAAATCTAGGAGTAGAGGATGAATAGTAGTCAATCTTTAGGATGGAATAGAGGGCATCTTAGGGGTATGGCGCTCGGGGAAAGGGGAAATGGATGACTTCAGGAGCAGCACAATAAAGCTGTGTAGCACTTTCACCGCCCTATTTGCCACCGACTCCTTCTCACGGCGTATCAATCAATATGACTAGCATCCCCACTGTCCTGTATATTTTACACAAGTGGAATTATTAATTCCTTGTGTTCAGCAGCCTTGCGTGTGCGCCGTTCCATCCACTTCCAATACATGAGTGTCAGCAGAGTTAAAGGGACTGCTACTGCGAAATACACCCCGAGATAGGGCGAGCTAACCCACTCATGACCAGATTCTCAATGCTCTGTAGAGAAAACCCCCATACCGAAAAATCCCTGGTGTGATCAGCCTTTGTATCGAATTTGACATGCCTTTTTGTACCAGGGCAGGGGATACAACGTACCGCAACAAACGTTGCTGGCAGATATATCAGCGTTACCAACGTGATGACGCGTACTGTACTGCTATCCCGGAGCATCTGTTTGGACATTACTTCGGAGGTGTTTTGACTCTTCAGGGCGATTGTGTCAGATATTAACTGCGAAGTACTTCGAACTCGACCGAGCATGTACTCAGTTTCCCGCTCATACGCAGAAGCGCTCTCACGTAAACTTTCTATAATGCCAGTGTTGGAGTCGAATCGTTGCTTTGATACAACAGCATTCCCCAAGAGGGTTGAGTTGATCTGAAACAGCTTAGAAAGCACGTTCCGTTGACCACAAAAAATGGCCAGAAACGGAGCTAGCTTTCTCTCAATCACTCGGAGGCTTTGTAAATTCTCATACATATCTACAAAGGGCAGTAGATCCTTGATCTCGAAAGTGAAGACGTCATCAGCCTAATTGTTGTCAATGTCTTACAGTTAGCGACAGTCCCAGACTCAACACTTACAATGCGTTCGAGACGATGCTCATGTTTTGCTAAACATAACCTTGTTTTATGAATATGTTCGGTGAACAGTGCAAGATGGAGATAGATTGGGTTCTCCAGGACTCTCTCCTGTATTGCGGCGCTTCCTTCGATCTGGGCCTGCATAGGAAAGGTGGCAGGTTCGTGATTAGGCAAGACAAGCATAAATACGCCCCGGTTCTAATCTTTGTGGTATCGCTGGTAGACACCGAATTGACGATTGACCCATTGCCTTGAACCTCCGATGCCCTTGTAGTCCGTGAACTTGAATAGATATGCGAATTCTGTACGCAGTCAAAGTCATTAACTTCTACGCATCAATGTTGGCAGATCCTGTTGATAGCATACCGAAACTTCCGTTCATGCTTGGCTTGTACATGCTATACGAGTACGTTTCCTCGAGGTCATTTGTTCTTGATCTGAAGGAGAACAAAATATCCCAAACCTCTAGATCCATCTTGTGACCTGTTATAATAGCTTCGATCATCTCTTCGGACACATCCAGGGCAGCATAGGAGTTCCTCTGGCGTAGAAATCTCGTGAAATTAGTTCAATCCGGTATTGTAGTAGGGGTCTAGTAGCCTCACATTATTTGTACATGATTCCGATTATCTTGAACGGCGTTGACACTCTCCTGAACTTAAACGGTATCGGAAACTTTCCGTGTCTGCAGACTTTGACTAACTGCCGCGGAATGCTTTCCGAATTCCAAGAACTCCACCATATGACGGTCCTGTTTTGCAAAGAGGCCAAGACTGAAGGTAAGATGACATTGGATTGATTGAGTGTTGAACACCTTCTCTGATTTCAGACCGTTTGTCATGTCCGCATAAAGAGAATTTGAATTTATCAAGATGAACTGAAAGATTATTTAGGGAATAGGTAAGGTTTAAGAGACTGCCGATAAGGGCAGCCTTGACTCAAAAGCGAGCTTCACTTCTGACCGGTGTAGTTTCAGGCTAGACTTCCGGTCGTACGTGGGCGATGACGTCTGTGCGCCATTTTGCATGCGAGACAAAAAGGTAAAGAATCATCAGTCTGTTGGATCACAATTTTGGGCATCTCTGAAACGCTCTTAGCCATTGCTAGGATGTGCGATGCTCTTTTCTTACTCTATATCGTTGTCATCCGGTTCTTTGGGGGCATGGTAGCTCCATATGTCGTTCTTGAGCTAATGCATCGAATTAATAGGACAGATTAGCCTATTCGAGAGACTAAATACCTTTATCCTGAAATCAGCGCTATTAGTGCCAGGGAACTTCTTTAAGAGCTCTCTCTCAAGCTCAATTTGATTCTTTATGTACCTCTTTTTTACTGTATGTTTTGGCATCGCTGTAGTTTGCGGAGGCAATGTGTCAAATTTTGGCGCGCAGCAATAAGAATTATGGGTTCGGAGCCTTGGTCAAGAAGCGGCGCAGCTCAATTTGAAATCCCTTCAGCCTTCAAAAATCCCCAATACCTCTGTTCTGCCATCCCCGGTTCTGTTTTGGGGCCGGATAGCAATTGGTAGACGATAGGTCGAGAAAACTTCACGTCAGGGTGAAGCGTAGCCCAGGTTCCTACCACCGTGGCCGGTGAACACGAACTGAGGACTCACCGGAAGAGAAGCGAAGCATTTATAGTCTATTAGATTAATGTGGCGCATCTTTCAATACTTGCGAAGACTTATTGGGTTGGTACGGTTCAGCCTTGCCGCATGTCATTCCTGTCCACAAATCAGCGCCCAAGGACTTATCAGTAAGGCTATATTGCAGCCTTTCGGATACGAGCGACCGTAGAGTTACTTGTTCTCACCACCCCCGGGGGCTTCGAAAGGCTTATACGCGTACATATGGGTTCATAAAGCTCTTGTGGCATGGCGTAGCGCGGACAATGAGCACTTGGAAAACGCGAAGGTTGTAATTACGCTTTGACCGGAATTTGCAACATAACTCTGCTATATGCTCATTGATCATCACCAATCGAATCACCATTTCATTCTGGTTCATTGCTCTGTAATGTCGCAAGAATTCTATCCGCCCAATTTTGACGCGATTGCCACTTCATTGCAGGATCCGACCATTTCTCACCATGTATCCGATGAACCATTTAGCGAAGCGTTCGATAGACAAGCGACTCAAGTCAACCCTTGGAACTCACCCGGCCAAAATCATGCGATGTCCGACATCCCCAGTCGTGCCCCAAGAAGACGGTCCACTCGGACCAATAGCAGTGTTGTTCAGGACTTACAGGGACGGCTGCCACGGCTCTCAACACCAGAGCTTCTCACGGTCACTACATCCCGTGCGGTTGGATCGAAATCTGCTTTGAAGTAAGACTGTCGATAGAGCTCTATCAACATATGCTAATGAAGAAAGACGTGCTTTATATTGGAATCACATCTTCATGATCTCCTTCGGAGCTACTGTCGGCATGGGATTTTATGCCAAGACTGGCACTATTCACCGAATCGGAGGATCTTCAGCTGTTGTATATTCTTACGTCTTGCTCGGCCTTCTATCGTTCGCTGTCATGCATCCATGCTAAGAATATGCCCAGTACGGGCTCCTTTGATGTCATTTGTCAGGATTTTTGTAAATGAAGAGATAGGTCTACTGGCTGGTATTCTATACTGGTGAGTGATTAACGCAGATCCAAAACGAATTACGTACTAAAGCAGTACTACAGGCTGACTTACTGTTTCTCTTACGCTGCCCTAACCACAGCCATTGGAGAGCTGTTCGAATCCCTTGGTACTCCAAGGAGTTTGCAAGTGTTTTGTACATTCGCAAGTCTAGCAATACCATTGCTTTGCAACTTGATGGATATCCGTGTATGTCCCCTCTTCAACTCATCCTTCGGCTTGGAACACTGACGCTTGTTCAGTACCTCAGGATGATCGAGCTAACCTACGGAACGTTGAAACTGGTTACGGCTCTTGCAATCATCATCATGGCTAATTTCATCAACGAAACAGGTAGTCTTCACTGACATCACAATCGGATGTCCGATGCTGATCATCTAATTGAGTAGTTTCAAGCCAAAAGTCCAGTCACTGCGAAGACAAGAAAGACACGATATTTGTTAGCGAAGGCCCCGCACATTGGTTCGGAAATTTATGGTA